TTAACCCTAAAAAAAGAGAATACGGGCCTACTTTCCAAGCCCTACATCCCTAAACTCTAAACCTACTTTCCAAGCCCTACATCCCTAAACTCTAAACCCTAAACCATAAACCCTAAACCCTAAACCCTAAAACCCTGAACCCTAAACCCTAAAACTCTAAACCTAAAACCCTAAACCTTTGAACTAACCATAAGCCCTACACGTTGAGAAGTTGGTTCCAGTACGCCATGTGGCTTCAGGGCTTGCATGTACGGCTTTGCTTCTTAGGTGGCTGAGGCCTTAGGGGGTTTAGGGCTTAAGGGTTTCGATGTAGGGTTCAGACAATCAAGGTTCGGGGTTTAGGGGTTCGGCTTTCGGGGTTCAGGATTTAAGGGTTCAGTGTTTGCTTTTTGGGGCTTTAGCTTGAGGTATTGTCTACAGTGCCAAGAAATGCGCGAACCTCCTACGCACACACTTGCGACGACAACTACCACGTCATGCTTGAAGCTTGAACACTCTCGAGCCTACGCTTAAACATGCAAGCCCCCGAAGCTCCCGAAGCCCTGAGCCCTGAAAATCCAAACGCCGAGCGTTTTAAGCACCGAATTCCAGGCCCTGAGTATAGACAAAACCAAATACACACAAACAAACATGCCAACAAGCCGACCCCCTGAACGAGGATTCGTGGGCGGGCCAGAAATGGGAGTCGACAATGTCGCGATAATCCTGAAACCTGAACCCTGAACCTCCAACCCGAAAGCCCTAATTCCTGCCTCGGATGCAATCGCCACGCGCTTCGCACCTGGCCGGTCCAGTGGCACTCACGCGGAACCGTCACAGATGAGAGTTCAGAGTTTAGGGCGATCGACCTCCGATTGGGGGCTTTGGGTGACCTCTGTCGCGTATCGTGAGCACATTTGGGAAAACCGCGACCCAACCATAATGCCTGTGAACAAAAAAAAGAAATACACACAAGCGAGCGTGCGGTAAATCAGATGCACACATAGCACGCAGATCATACATACAGAAAAACACATACGCGGCAACGACATACTGGGAGGTCCATGGGATCTTTATAAGTAGGGTTACAAGTAGGGCAACCATACTTATAACACTATCTAGGGTACTTATAACCCTTCTTATAGCTACCCATGGACCTCCAAGTAGCTTCTGGGTGGCTGTGATTTTTCAAGGCCTGCAGCCACGTCCGCGAGGAAGACATGAAGAGCCGAGCCGCGGGGCAACAGTTTAGGAACCCCAAACCCCAAACCCTAAACCCTAAACCCCAAACCCTAAACCCTAAACCCCAAACCCTAAACCCTAAACCCCAAACCCTAAACCCTAAACCCTAATTACACCATAAAGCCCCTTTCACGGCCGCAAGCCCTCTGGGAACTCTTTGCGCACGGGCCCTGCGTCCCGCCTTAAACGACAGGTCAAGTCAGACCACGGGCGCGCCCAGGGACCACCGGCTAGAGTTTAGGGTTTATAAGGTTTAGGGTTTATAAGGTTTAGGGTTTATAAGGTTTAGGGTTTATAGGGTTTAGGGTTTATAGGGTTTAGGGTTTAGGGTTTAGGGTTTAGGGTTTAGGGTTTAGGGTTTAGGGTTTAGGGTTTAGGGTTTAGGGTTTAGGGTTTAGGGTTTAGGGTCTAGGGTTAGAGGACTCAGGGAGTTCATGAACTTAGGGTCATGAAGGGTTAGGGTTTAGGGTCCTTTGAGTCTAAATCCTGAACCCACAGGATCCTTGCACTCCTAGCCATCAAGGGCTACAAAATCCAAACTGAAACTATCTGGCAGGTTTAGGGTTTAGGGTTTAGGGTTTAGGGTTTAGGGTTTAGGGTTTAGGGTTTAGGGTTTAGGGTTTAGGGTTTAGGGTTTAGGGTTTAGGGGTTTATCCATGAGAGGTCACAAAGCTACGAAGGGTACTGCTTTTTAGTTCACGGGGTTGAGGGTCTAGGGCTTCGGGAACCCCAGCCCCTAAACAAAGAGCACAGGGTCCCAATCTTGGTCCTAGCCCTAAACCCTAAACCCTAAACCCTAAACCCAGCATGGGAGGTCCAAGGCTCGTCCTGCGATGCTCTTATCCGGGATACAAAGCTGGCAGAGCGGCGAGTTTGCCCCCGTACCCTCACGAGACCGAGCTGCTGGAGCCAAGCAGGGGGCTTGAGGGTTCAGGGCTGAGGGCTGAGGGTTGAAGGCTTCAAGGAATCAGACCCCAAACCCTAAACCCTAAACCCTAAATCCTAAACCCTAAACCCTAAACCCTAAACCCTAAACCCTAAACCCTAAACCCTAAACCCTAAACCCTACACAGCATGCCCTGCATCCAGCGCGGAATGGGTCTCGGGCTTAAGCCTCGGGCTGTTGTATCGGAGACGATGAGGATGAGAGCGCCCTCAACCCTAGGCCTCATCATGATGACTCTAACATAGTTGAGGGTTTAGGGTTTAGGGTTTAGGGTTTAGGGTTTAGGGTCTAGGGTTTAGGGTTTAGGGATTAGGAATTAGGGTTGCTGCGGTAGGGGGCTTTGGGCAGAGTTCTGATAACTCCCGGTCGCGAGTCTCTGAGTAACGGTTCTGCCAGCGGAAGCGCGCACATTGGCGCTGTGATTTCGAGGAAGACTCCACAGAGGCCCCAGACCCTAAACCCCAAAAAAGGTCTAGGGTTTAGGGTTTAGGGTTTAGGGTTTAGGGTTTAGGGTTTAGGGTTTAGGGTTTAGGGTTTAGGGTTTAGGGTTTAAGGCTAGGGTTTAGGGTTTAGGGTTTAGGGTTTAGGGTATAGGGTCAAGGGTTTAGGGTTAAGGGTTTCGCTGGTTTCGCTGGTCCAACTCTGCGAAACTACCTCTGGAGCGTGAGAAGTCACGATCCAATCCTAAAATCTAAACCTGACAACCCCGACGTCCTTCATCTTGAATCCAAAAACCCTGTAAACCCCAACTTCCTAAACCCCAAACTAAATTCTAAGTAAGCCCTAAAGCTTCAACCTCAACGTGAACTAAGTCCTCAACAAAGCTTCAACCTTAGACCAAAAACCCTAAACGCTTGACAAAATAGAGATATATCCTGAAACCTACCCCTAAACCCTAAACCCTAGACCCTAAACCCTAAACCCTAAACCCTAAACCATTTTGGGGCTTAAGAACCTTGAATGGGTTTTAATTCGAAACCCTCAGCCCTGCACCAATGTGGGCAAAAAGATCCGAAACACCAGAACCTAAACCAGTTGAGAAGTACATCCTGACCCCTAACCTTAAGGTAAGTAGGTCCTAAAGCCGTAAACCTAAACCCTAAACCCTAAACCCCGAAACCCCGAAACCCCGAAACCCTAAACCCTAACCCACACACCAAATGGAAATAAGTCCCCAACACCAAGCCCTAAACCCTAGACCAAATAGCAAATGAACCCTAAACCCTTAACCAAAAACCCCAAACCCCCAAACCCCAAACCCTAAACCCTAAACCCTACATCCTATACTAAACGGGGTTTTGAGTCATAAAACCCTCTGGAGTCTCCCAGCCTGCGCTGTTCCCATGGGGGAGAGATGCGCATTGCTGATGGCAGCACAGGTTCGGGTTTAGGTGTAGGGTTTAGGGTTTAGGGCTTAGGGTTTAGGATTTAGGATTTAGGGTTTAGGGTTTAGGGTTTAGGGTTTAGGATTTAGGGTTAGGGTTTAGGGTTTAAGGTTTAGGGCTAGGGCCGATTTTGCACACTTTCCTCGGGCTTCAGGGATCCCAGGATACAAAGCTTCAGGGCTTCAGGAGTACTAAGGTTTAGGGTTTAGGGTTTAGGGTTCAGGGTTTAGGGTTCAGGGTTCAGGGTTCAGGGTTCAGGGTTCAGGGTTCAGGGTTCAGGGTTCAGGGTTCAGGGTTGAGGGTTCAGGGTTCAGGGTTTAGGGTTTAGGGTTTAGGGTTTAGGGGTAGGGTTTAGGGTTTAGGGTTTAGGGTTTAGGGTTTAGGGTTTAGGGTTTAGGGTTTAGGGTTTAGGGTTTAGGGTTTAGGGTTTAGGGTTTAGGGTTTAGGGTTTAGGGTTTAGGGTTTAGGGTTTAGGGTTGCAGATCGGAGTCGCGAGGCTGCTGTCAGCATGCACAAAGGGAACCTTCGAATTCTCGTGGGCGTTTAGGGCTCCGGGGTCCAGGCTTGGTGGTTGAGGCTTCGAGCTTCGGGCTTCGGGCGTCGGGTTTCGGGTTTCGGGTTTAGGGTTTAGGGTTTAGGAGGGAGGAGGGTTTAGGGTTTAGGGTTTCGGGTTTAGGGTTTAGGGTTTTGTGGCTCTCCCTGTGTTTGTGGGTCGAGAAGTATTGAACCCCCCCAACCCCCCCCCCCCCGCCCCCCGCCCCCGAGAGCCAGGATACAGCAAACCCCCAAGCCCCCCCTAAACCCTCAACCCTCAACCCTAAACCCTAAACCCGGAACCCCCAAATACTCTAAGCTCCTAAAACCCCTTAACCCCTAAGCCCCTAAACCCCTAAAAGCCCGAACCCCTAAACCCCCAAATCCCCTGGACCCCGAAAAGATTGATCCAGCAGGCACCACTCAAAGCTCTAAGCCCCAAAACCCTAAACCCAAAACCCTAAGCCCTCAATCTCGGAACTTGCCACCCCTACAGCCGGTGTTCAGCGGAAGCTACCATCGAACCCCCCTGAGCCCCTAAACCCTAAACCCTAAACCCGAAACCCTAAACCCTAAACCCTAAACCCTAAACCCACCTACATCGTCTATTTCGGGTTTTGGGGGTTTGCGGGCTTTGGAACGGTCCCATAGATCCCCGTGCCAACGCTGCGTGCTCAGGGTTGCCCCTACGGGCGGCGCGAAACTTGGTATTGTACAGAGGGTTTAGGGTTTAGGGGGTATACTAACAAGTCCTTCATAGGGATTAGAATAGGGCTACTATAATCCCTACTTAAGGACTGTTCGTATAAGGGGGAACATGCCAACCCGAAACCCTACACCCCAAACCGGTGTCTGGACCCAGATGGTTCAGAATCGCATTCACGGCGTCTTTGGTTCAGGTGCCAGGGAGCCGCTTAGGCGAGCGACCTTGGAGATGGGAAGAAGAAAGCGCTCCTACTTCTGAGGGCCGCGCAGAACCAGACTAAACCACGCTGGAGATGGGAATGGGCCAGGTCGTACCAAAAAGTGGGCTGGCGAAGAGGCAAAAGACAAGAATGTGCGTGCATGAATATGGCTCTCTCTCTCTATATATATATATATATGTATATATATATATATATATACATATAAGTCTCAGTGCGTGTGCGTGTGTGCGTGCGTGCATGTGCTCTTTGTTGTAAGCAAAACAAAAAAGTACATTTCTATATATTCACATTATGCAACACGCATAACAGGCAGGGGGGTGCTGGTGTGTGGCACAGGGTTGAGGATCCTTGGCTTGGGGTTGGGAGACTAGCGGGTGCCAGGAGCCTGTGGTTTGTGCCCCTCAGGGGAGCACGTTTACAGAAGCCCGTAGACTGTGTAAAGGGCCGTACTATGAAAGAAACCCTTCGTGGGTACAACCTTCGGGGATACGAGCTTGGATCTCTTGAAGGCTTCCGTAAGACAGAAACGAACTCTGCTCAACTCTAAACCCTGAGCCCTAACCCTAAACTCTCAATGACTCAACAAGGGAGTGGCTCAAGAACATGAGCTGCATGCCACAAGCACCACATTACAACTACCGTGCCCTAGGGTCCCGACTCCCCCTAAACCCTAAACCCTAAACCCGAAACCCTAAGCCCTAAACCCTAAGCCCTAAACCCTAAACCCGAAACATTGTGGTACCCTTACTGCTCCTGCCGATGGGCACCCGAAGGCGGGTGGTTTAGGGTTTTGGGGTTGGGATCTGCGGCAGCAAAGACGAACTTTCGCGACCAGAAGCTCCACTAAGCCGGTACTGCAAAGCCTGAGCCTTAAAGCCCTAAACCCTAAACCTTAAAGCCCTAAACCCTAAGCCCTAAACCCTAAACCCTAAACCCTAAACCCTAAAACCCTAAATCGATCTGAAACTTGGGCCAAAGATCGCCAGCTCCCTCAGCTTCTCAGCCAGCTCATTCTCAGGAGTGTCCCTCGCCTGCCGCATCGGGGTCATTCAGATGGAAAGGATCGGGGAACTTGATACGTAGCTGGTAGGTGATAAATTATATAAGCTATGATTCGAACGGCCCAGCTTGTGGAACCTGAAGTGGTGCTGGTAACCTGCTTCCTCTCGACCCAAGAGTAATCTCGTAAAAGGGGTGGCTTAAAGGGGCGGAGAAAAAGGCCTTCAGGAAGGGAATTCAAACCTACTCTGGGTCCTAACCCTCACTCAACTACGGAGGCGAGAATGGAAAGGCCCACATGGACAAGCGCTTCGAAAACAAGAAGTTCTTCACAACCCTAGACCCTATCTCAGCCTCTCAACTGGGAGGGTCGGGTCTGGGAGCCCTGAAAGGTTGAGGGTTTAGGGTGGGATTTTGCATGAGGACCCGTAGAGTTTTGCAAGCACTTCCAGATCAACACCAGAAAAGATGTCCTTGGCCAGGCGCCTCACCTAACGGGCGGATCCCTGCAAAACAAGTTCAAGAGAACTTGTCTAGTGCATGATGGGTCGTGGGTAGCTACGAAGGTTTCGGGTCAACCTTTCCAGAGACCCCGCCCCCCCAATACCTCTGAAGTCAGCAAACATTCCTAGAATCGTCGGGAGATCCTACCCCAACCCTAAACCCTGAACATTAAGTTATTCCCTGAACGCTAAACTGTCAATTTTGAAGGTCCCAAAAACACAAGGCCAAAGATTGGTCCCTTTGCCTTGTGCCCCCAAATCCCCCCAACCAAGGAACCTTCCTTAAACATGACACAATGAAGGTTGCTTATCATTCAGGGCTGCTCCCCTGAAATGATGAAAGGAACCCTGAACCCTAAACCCGATACCCCAAACCCTAAACCCTAAACCCTAAACCCGAAACCCGAAACCCTAAACCCTAGCAAAAGATCCGGGGACAACCTGAGGGGCATGTTGGGAGTCCCCATGCCTCCTTGGTGCGCCTCGCGTCCTGCGCAGTGCTTGGACGGGTTTCGGGCTGCCGGTTTAGGGTTTAGGGCTAGGGTTTAGGGTTTAGGGTTTAGGATTTAGGGTTAGGGCTCGGGTTTAGGGTGTAGGATTTAGGTTGAGGGCTTAGGGTTCCGTTTTGGATTTAGGGTTTAGGGCTCAGGGACTCGGGTTTAGGATTCAGGGCTTAGGGCTTCGGGTTTAGGAGTTCGGGTTTAGGGCTCAGGGTTTCGGGTTTAAGATTTAGGGCTTAGGGCTCAGGGCTGCGGGTTAAGGATTTCGGGTTCAGGGCTTAGGGTTCCGTTTTGGATTTAGGGCTAAGGATTTCGGGCCTTTTGATTTAGGGTTTATTTCGGGTTTAGGGTTCAGGGCTTAGGGTTTAGGGTTTCGTATATACAATTTAGGGTTTAGGGCTTAGGGTGTAGGGTTTAGGATTTAGGGTTTAGGGCTCAGGGTTTAGGGTTTCGGGTTTAGGGTTTCGGGAGCCCTCTACGAAAATGAATCCAAGGGTTGAAGACCCTTCCGAGTTGAAGACCCTTCCAAGTTGGATGCTAGGGTTTAGGGTTTAGGGTTTAGGGATTAGGGTTTAGGGTTTAGGGTTTAGGGTTCAGGGTTTAGGGTTTCGGGTTTAGGGTTCGGCCCCTGGGACGCAGTCCTCGAACTTCTTCTGCCGGGCCTCAACCACGTGGCTGAAGCTGAGATGTCCTTTCCAATGGAGTTCAAGTTGTATAAGGGGTATACGGTAAAAGCGGGTGGATAAAGGGGGTTATAAAGGGGTTATAAGGGGGGTATTAGGGGGGTAGAAGGGTGTTGCACTTCCTATTCAATATTGTTGGTAGTTGCAATGAGGTATTATGCCAAACTCTTCCTCAACACCCTTCTTGGCCCCGCTACTTCCCCACCCTTTAACCCGGACATTGTGGGGTCTAGGCTTTTTTTTTTTTTTTGCTGCGCGCCCGCGTGGTGTGGACCCGGCCGGTGGCTTGTTTTGTCTTGCCACTCCTACTTTTGGGGTGCCTGGTCTAGACATGAGCTACACCCCAAAAAAGGGAATGAATGCACAAAGCCTCTCAAGGCCCTGAAGCCTAACAGCACCTTCACACCCGAGATCTCCGGTTTGAAATGCCTATTTAATCTTTAAACTTGGGATGTTCCCTCGTATACTAGCAGTCCTTAGTCGGGATTATAGTACCCTGAACCCTAAACCCAAACCGGGCTGTTGGCATAAGGGGGAACATCCCAACTTAAAACCACTCCAGGCACAGGTTCACTTCGAAGCTGCAAAATTTCCACGGGCTCGCAAGTGGCGTGATAAATTCAAAAAACTGGGCTGAGGGCCTAGGAAGTAGGGTTTAGGGTTGAGGTGGTGTTTTCAGCCAAAGCAAGCAAACAACATTGCGCAAGACCCACGATGCGTGGGTCTACATGCTCCTCTGCTTTTGAGAGACGAAAATCGGATTGCATGGACCTTCGCCGCGTTTTCTCAGCAAAACCTTGAAGAATGTCAGGGTTTAGGGTTTAGGGTTTATAGGGTTTGGCTTGAGGGTTGAGGGTTCAGGGTTTCTTGCGTTGAAACCCACGTTCTCAACAAAACCCTTGATGTCATCAAGCGTGCTAAAACAAAACCCCTGGAAAATCCGTTTCCCAGCAGATTCCTTGAAACCACCTGGCTGCATGTGTCCCCATCTGGACCTAGATTCCAGATCTCACTTGAACTTCAAAACATGCTTGCCTAACTCTCGGGTTTAGGGCTTCGGGGCCAAGGCTTATCATAGTGTCCCAACCGGCTCCGCACAGGTGTAGCCCCCAAGAACTTTCAACCCTAAGCCCTAAACCGGCAGGCTTGGCTAAGGCTTTGGCGGCTGCGTGCTCAGAGCTTAGGGCTTAGGGCTTAGGGGTTAGGGCTTAGGGCTTAGGGTTTAGGGTTTAGGGTTTAGAGTTTGGAAATGCTTAAAGTGTTGATCTTAAGGTCTTGGGAAATTCGGGTTCTCATGGTTCCAGGGAATTTGGGGCCAAGGGCTGCCATGTCCTTCGTTCCACCAGTCCGGTTGGTCGTTGAAGCGCCTGCATCTTTGGCTTAGGACTTCGGGCTTAGGGTTCAGGCAGGGTTTAGGGTTTAGGGCTTAGGGTTAGGGTTTAGGGTTCGGGGTTCGGGGTTTAGGGCTTAGGGTGCAGGCCAACATGACAAAGTCATGGGCAAACTGGGTGGGGACCATGGAGTGATCGGGCAGGCATGGATCCGAGGAAACCGTGAACTTTGCCATGAAGCAAGGCTAGTAACCCTAAACCCTAAAACCTAACCCCTAACCCCTAAACCCTAAACCCTAAACCCTGAGGCTACACTGTGGGGGAAATGCCCCAAATCCTCAACCCTAAACCCTAAGCCCTGAACGCCCGACATCCTAAACCCTAAACCCTAAACCCTAAACCCTAAACCCTAAACCCTAAACCCTGAACCCTAAACCCTAAACCCTAAACCTTAGTACTCCTGAAGCCCTGAAGCTTTGTATCCTGGGATCCCTGAAGCCCGAGGAAAGTGTGAAAAAACGGCCCTAGCCCTAGACCTTAAACCCTAAACCCTAAATCCTAAACCCTAAACCCTAAACCCTAAACCCTAAACCCTAAACCCTAAACCCTAAACCCTAAACCCTAAACCCTAAACCCTAAACCCTGCACAGGCTTCTCTGCAATCGAAGCGACGGTTCGGCGCCGGTCTCCTCGTTCCAGGGGATCAGGCCCAGGAGCCGCAGATGCCTAACGAGGGCTAGGGTTTAGGGTTTAGGGTTTAGGGTTTAGGGTTTAGGGTTTAGGGTTTAGGGTTTAGGGTTTAGGGTTTAGGGTTTAGGGTTTAGGGTTTAGGGTTTAGGGTTTAGGGTTTAGGGTTTAGGGTTTAGGGAGCGCAGGTGCCGGGAGCGGAGAGGTTTGTTGGCCTCAGGGAAGAGGGTTGCGGGTTCAAGGAAGAGGGTTTGGGGTTCATGGTTTAGGGTTTAGGGTTCAGGGTTTAGGGTTCTGAAAAAGAGTCTTCAAGCCTAAACCCCGAACCCCTAAACCCCAAACCGCAAACCCTAAACCCGAAAACCTGTTTCTCCTTCGTTCGGTAAGCCCCAAACAGGAGGGGAATCAGGGTACTATGGGGAGGTTTCAGTTTTCAGACTAGACGCTCAACGCTAAGCCCAAAATCCTAAACAACTTGAAACCCAAACCCTGCACCCTTCGCACCCCAAAACGCCCCCGACCCCCCTCCCCCTAAAACCCCCCTAAACCCTAAACCCTAAACCCTAAACCTTAAACACAACCCCCCCCCCCCGCCCGCCGACCCCACCCGCCTCTCAGAGAACTTTCCGAGGCCTGCCGCGATGCGCAGCTCGTGTGCGCGGTCGGAGTCAGACCTCGTCGTAGGGCTTGGTTCAGGGTTTTAAGGGTTGAAGGGTTGAAGGGTTTAAGGGTTTAAGGGTTTAGGCTTTAAGGGTTTTGAGGGTTTAAGGGTTTTAAGGGTTCAGGGTTTAAGGGTTCAGGGTTGAAGGGTTGAAGGGTTGAAGGGTTTAAGGGTTTAAGGGTTTCAGGGTTTAAGGGCTTAAGGGTTTAAGGGTTTTCAGGGTTCAAGCGTTTAAGGTTTAAGGGTTTAAGGGTTCAAGGCTTCAAGGGTTTAGGGGTTTAAGGGTTTAAGGTTTTAAGGGTTTAAGGGTTTAAGGGTCTAAGGGCTTAAGGGTTTACTGTAAACTCCAGAAAGTTGGAACATGGTTTAAGGATGATTAGGGCTGGGATTCCCTTTCCTATACCTTTTGGGGTATGGGGATAAGGCTGTTCCAGCTTTCTGGAGTGTACTGTAAGGGTTTTGGGTTTGGGGATGGTTGCCCAAACTATACAGGGGGTCGGGTTTTCAGGTTTCGGGCCTGAGGGTTTTGGGGTTCTTGGGTTTAGGGTTTGGGGATTTTGGGGGTAAACCGTAGACCCGGGAGGCTGGGAGTTTAGGATTGAGGGCTTGGGGCTAACTTCTAGCTTAGAGGCATTTCGGAAGAGGCCCGCTGGCTTGTGGGATGCTAAGAACTCACTGTCTCAACCTTCGAAAACCTTTGTCTCAACTCAGAATGCCCATTCCCGAACTCCAACAAGGGTTTAGGGTTTAGGGTTTCGGGTTTCGGGTTTCGGGTTTCGGGCTTAGGATGCCCAAAATACGCCCTGCTCCGCTGGCCCCTGCCTCTCCCAGCTAACACGGGAAGGAAATCCATCTTGTATCTCGAGCTTGATCAGGGCCTGGGCTTCGGAGTTTCGGGTTTAGGGTTTTCGGGTGTAGGATTTAGGGTTTCTAGGGCCTTCGGAACAAGGCACTTTGTAGAAAGAACTGCTCCCCCTCAGAGGCCCGCGCAAGAGCCTTAAGCCCCAAACCCAAACCTTGCGCTACAAGTCGTGCCAGGCCTTTTCCAGGCTCGTGTTTGAACCGCCTTCACGGTTGGAGACGTGAACCCTAAACCCATAAACCCGTAAACCCTAAACCCTGCTACAGTTTGAGTTAAGCTGGTTTCTCCTCATCTCCCTACACAAGCCCGAAGCAGCCAAATCCACAAGCTGGAAGACGAAGCCAAGGATGTCCCGCATTAGGGTTTAGGGTTTAGGGTTTGGGGTTTAGGGCTTAGGGCTTAGGGCTTAGGGTTTAGGGGCTTGGGGCTTAGGGTTTGGGGCTTAGGGTTTAGGGGTTAGGTAAAAAAATTTCCGGAAGGGCCTACCTGGAAGCCCTTTCTACAGCCTAACCCTCGAGAAAAAGCTGCAACGCCTCTTATGATAACAGACTGACCCGCGGCCTGCTCGAAGTCCTGAAACCCTAAACCCTAAACCCTAAACCCTAAACCCTAAACCGGACCCTGAAGCCTAAATAAGGGGGCCCAATGAATTCGAATGGATATTGCTGGGTAGGCTGCAATCGACGTATATAGGGCTTTTCAGGGAGCACGATGGCAATGATTGGGGTCCTGCATTGGCCGGGCCCCTGTTTGACCCGAAACACCAGCACCCTAAACCCCAACACCCTAAACCCCAACACCCCCCCCAACCCTAAGCCCTAAACCCAAACCCTAAACCCAAACCAAACCCTAAACCCCAGACCCCAAACCCAAACCCTGAACCCTGAAACTTAAACCCCAAACTCAAGGTCGTTCGCCGCCCCTCTACGTTTGGGGCGGCGCCTAAGCCCCTCGACCTCGATGGCACAAGCCGATGTAGGTCATTCCCCGCCCCCCACAGCTCGGAGGTCCGTAGCACCCACAATGAGCTCCTCGCTGCAGCATGCCCAGGGACCAGGGGCCCTCTGGCCGGCGGGATCTCAAAACCCTCCCATCCCCCCCTACGATTCTTCGTTGCTAAGAAAACTCTTTGATAAAAGCGTTCAAAAAAAATGACTTGAGTTTAAGCCTAACTTTGCCGCCTTGGACGGCGTGGGGTGGGAGAAAAGTGTTAGATGGCCTTCCGCAATCGGGCCAGAACTGCTCTTCGCACCTGCCGAGGCTTTTGAGCATCTGCTACATCCTAACGTTCCCAGCATCTGCGCTCTATTCCAGAAAACCCCAAACCCTAAACCCCAAACCCCAAACCCCAAACCCTAAACCCTAAACCCTAAACCCTAAACCCTAAACCCTAAACCCTAAACCCTAAACCCTACCCCCCCCCCCCCCCAAAAAAAAAAAAAAAAAACATAAATGCGGGCAGCGCTCCGTCAAGCCGGCCTCGAGGGCATCGCAGCCGGCGCCTTCGAGGTGACCACGGGGAGGACGAAGCTTTGGGCTTTGGGTTTTTTTTTGGATTTTAGGGTTTAGGGTTTAGGGTTTAGGGTGTAGGGTTTAGGGTTTAGGTTTAGGGTTTAGGGTTTAGGGTTTAGGGTTTAGGGTTTAGGGTTTAGGGTTTAGGGTTGAGGGTTGAGGGTTGAGGGTTGAGGGTTGAGGGTTTAGGGTTTAGGGTTTAGGGTTTAGGGTTTAGGGTTTAGGGTTTAGGGTTTAGGGTTTAGGGTTTAGGGTTTATTGGGGTGCATTTGGGGGCTCAGGGCTTGAGGCTGCGTTTTGGGTTCGGGCTTCAGTCTCAGAGTTTGGGGCTAGGGCCCTAAAACCGAAACCCTAAACCCTAAACCCTAAACCCTAAACCCTAAACCCTAAACCCTAAACCCTAAACCCTAAACCCTAAACCCTAAACCCTAAACCCTAAACCCTAAACCCTAAACCCTAAACCCTAAACCCTAAACCGAAACCCTAAACCCTAAACCCTAAACCCTGCTCGGCCTAGGCAAAAGTATTTGCCGTGCCCCGCTTCGTCCGGGCCCTCCACACGGAAATCGTCACCCCAGACCTTGGCTCCGGCAGGGGACTTCGGGTTCGGGGGTTTAGGATTAAGGGTTTAGGGTTTAGGGTTTAGGGTTTAGGGTTTAGGATGTAGGGTGTAGGGTTCTAAGTTTACGGTTTAGTGTGGCTCAGTGCGGTTCAGGGCGACTCAGGGCTTAGGGTTTAAGGTTCCCCCCCGATCGTTTTTTATTGGGTTTAGGGGTTTGGAGCTTAGGGCTTGGGGTTTTGGATTCTTGGGGCCTGTGTTGCTGTGAGATGCTTTATTCTCAACAGGAATTAGGGATTTTTAGGGTTTGGGGGCTGAGGGTTTAGGGTTTGGGGGTTAGGGTCCGCATGTGGGGCATGAGGGCCTGGTGGTGGGTTTGGGGTTCAGGGCTTAGGCTCTTGTTGGGGTCTTAGGGCCTACTTGTCTTGGGTTGTAGGGTTTAGGGTTTGTCTGAGGTCTTCAGGGCTCAGGATTGGGATGGGGCCGTAATTCAAATCAACTGCCAAGCCGGCCAGAAGAGGCGCAGCTCAGTGGTTTAGGGTTTAGGGATTGGGTTTAGTGTTTTAGGGTTTTGGGGCATGAATGCAAAGCCAGCAGGGCGCACGATCACGTGAATCGGTCCCATTCCACCCTAAACCCCAAACCCTAAAACCTAAACCCTAAAAACTCCACGGGGTGCACTGTAAGGGGGATTTCGCATGGAGTCGGAAAAATGGAGACGAACTGACCCGGGAACCGCAAACCACTGCTGACGGAGGCGCAGCTCGGCTTACGTCCGGGTGCACGGTGGCAAACCAATTGCCTGGAGTTTTGGGCTTCGGGCTCAGTTTGCGGGATTTCAGGTTTAGGGCTTTGGGCTTTGGGTTCGGGATTTATGGTTTCGGGTTTAGGGTTTAGCGCTCAGGTTTAGGGGTTCCGGCTTCGTAAGACCAATCCCAGCGTACAAAAGGACTCTCGGGCTTTCAGAAAGCAAAGCTTTTGGTTTTGGAAACCAGAAACAAAGGCAGCCCGCTATGAATACCCGAAACTCTTTATATCCTAACTTGCAAAAGGGGTAGGCTTGAGGGTCGATGGCAACTCCCTCAACCCCTGAACCCCAAACCCTACACACTTAAACCCTAACCCTAAACCCTAAACCCTAAACCCCAAACCCTAAACCCTAAACCCTAAAGGCTACTTTGGAACCAGAGCTGGCTCCAGGCCTTGGGTTCGGGTCCTTACAAAAGAGCCTGTGTCTAGGGCTTGGGATTAGGGTTTAGGGTTTAGGGTTTAGGGTTTAGGGTTTAGGGTTTAGGGCTTAGGGTTTAGGGTTTAGGGTTTAGGGTTTAGGGTTTAGGGTTTAGGGTTTAGGGTTTAGGGTTTAGGGTTTAGGGTTTAGGGTTTAGGCTTAATAAGGCGCCCCCAAGGAGCGGTTCAGAAGGATCTGGAAAGTTTCCACGTTCTTCTGCAACGTGACCTGCTTGGAGGTTTGTAGTACTTACTAACCAGTCCTAAGTGTACTTAGATAACCATATTAGGGCACTTAAGGGCTCATAAGTGGGCTGCTATAAGTACAGTTATAAGTGGTTAATAAGTACCCTGGACCTTCAAGTGCCCACTGGATCTTCCCTAAAAGCGCAAACTCCCGTATTCGGAGTATATGAAGGGAAAAATGTTCGGGGTACAACCTGAGGCGTACGAGCCTTCATCCCTTGACCGATTACTTGCATGGAGTGACCCATCAAGCCATAGCTTCCTCCCCCCAAAAAAACCACACAGAGTAGGGCTTGGAGCTTCGGGTGACCCGAATCCCTAAACCCTAAACCCTAAACCCTGAACCCTAAACCCGAAACCCCAAACCCTAAACCGTACAGTAAACCGTTTCGAGCTTGGGGCTTGGAGTTCAGGATTTAGGGCTTTGAGGTTTGGGGATTCCCCGCACCTTACAACTTTGCACCCTAAACCCGGCAAAGCGTTGCGAGACGAGCCTCATCCAAATGGGAGCACTTGAAGCCGGTTAGAGCTTTGGGGTGAGGGTCTAGGGTTTCGGAGGGTAAGCTGCGGGTTTAGAGTTTCGTGTTTGGGGTTTAGCCTATGTTTAGGGTTTAGGGTCTAGGGTTGCTTAAAGCAGGGGATGCACGCGTTAACACTGTGATTATGACTATGATTATGATTATGATTATGATTATGATGAGTATTATTATTCTGACGATTGCTATTACTATTATCATTATTACTACTATTAGTATTATTCTGATTACTGGTATCATTACTACTATTATTGCTTATAATTATTAATATTAAGGTGATTGTTTTTTTTCTTTTTTTATTCCTTCCATGAAGAGAATCAACAAGCGAGTTTATGAAGCGAGTTGCATGAACGAACAAACGAGGTGTGTGTGACTGAACGCAGTAAAACCACCATTGGCAAGTTACCGCATTAAAGGACTCGTTAAAAGGCCCTTCCCTCTCCCAGCTTCTTTCATGGGGCCGTTTATTGTCGGGGAATGGTTTCGTTCACAACATGATTATGAAATTCACGCACTCATTGCATTCGTTTGTAATTACATGAATACTGTTCTCTTCAATGTCACTACACGGGCCGGTTAATACATATCATTTTTGATCACCAGACTATTACCAAAGGCTTGAGTTCTACATCCAAGTTCTCAGGGTCTTGTGTCCCCAACCTTACGGACGCTTCCTTGTTAGGGTTGAGGGCTGAGAGGGTTCCAACCCTGCGGGATCACCTCGACGGACCAGTTGCCGCAAGAATCGCGAACCATCTCCTGATCGGAGGGCAGCAAGTGGCATTGAGGGTTTAGGGTTTAGGGCTTAGGGCAGCAATTGGCATCGAGCTCACAGGGGTGAAAGCCCCCTGATCTCTACTTGGAGGTTCAAGATACACGTACAACCCGACTACACGTGCAGATGGTCAGAGTTGGGTTATAGGCACAGCTGAAGTTGGGTTCATAAGTGCCCTCCCTAAACCCTAAACCCTAAACCCTAAACCCTGAACCCTAAACCCTAAACCCTAAACCCTAAATGTGCACAACACAGAGATTGTGTCGGACGTTGGCAATGTAGGGCCGCTTTGGCAGCCTTGGGCCTTGCTCTTCGCGGCTTGGGTCCTACAATTTGCTTAAGAGCCCCACCCCTTGAATAACAGATAATAATCTCTAAGTAGTGTGTGCGTTTTTTTGGGGGGGTCTTAAACAAATCATAGAAGCAGCCTAGACCCTAAATCCTGAATAGCTTCGACCTCTGTGTGCCGTAGGGGCGTTAGGCTGCTGCATTACTAGGGCTCTTGAACCCTAACTCGTTAGGGTTCAAGCGGCCTGCCTGAGGACTGCGATCTGCATGCCTGTTGTAGGGCTTGGGGTTTGGGGTTTAGGGCTTAAGGTTTTGGCTTGAGAGTTGCGGCATCAGAGGTGAGGATTTCAGGGGAGCAGCGCTGGCTGCGGGGCAGACTGCCCATTGCCCACCGAGCAGCAGCATGCCCCATTTGCCACCGAGCCCTCCCAACATCTCGACCATCGCGCCCGGCAAAGCTCCCCTCAACCGTAACCCTAAACCCCAAACCCTAAGCCCCTAACCCTACACCCGAAACAACCCCTCAACCCGCTGCTGTCGGGGGCCATGAGGAGGCCACTTCCACACGGCCACCTCCGTGTGGGTTTCAGGGATACAGCTCGGGAGGGTTCGTGGTTTGGGGCTTGGGGGCTAAGATTTAGGGTCAGGGTTTAGGGTTTAGGAGTTAGGGTTTAGGGTTTAGGGTTTCGGGTTTAGGGCTTAGGGCTTAGGGTTCAGGGCCTGGGGCTCTACAAGTCCTTGCAGCTCGCGAAGCTGTCCCAGGATCCCGCCACGAAGTAGGTGTGGGACTTGACAATCTCCTGCGATGGACGACGAAACCCGAAACCGTGGTTCTTAGTAGGGAATGAGGGAATTAGCGCCCTATGTATACCCCTTAAGGAATTATACTAGGACCCTATATGTAGATACGAAACCCGAAACCATGAGCATTGGGCCCAAGGGGCCAAGAGCTCCTTGTCTTTGAACATGATCAGGGGGAAGCACTTAAGGAACCCTAAACCCGAAGACCAAAACTCTTAGAAGCCATCAGCAGCGGAGATTCTGGGACCTTAGGCGCTGGACAAGAAGCACCGCCAGACGATCAGGGTATGGAAATGGGATTGGGGGGTTTGCGAAGGTTGAGCCCGGCTGTGGGGGTGTGGGATTTAGGGGGCTCTGCGACCTGCGAGAAACGAATCCGAACCCGAAATCCGAAGAACCCTAGGACTTGATTGTTCTGGATGAACCTTACACAGCTTCATCCCCAGGCGTACCTGAGAACCTTGAACAGATGCAAACCCTGAACCCTAAACCCCACCCTTAACCCTCAAACCCCCAACCCCCACATCCTAACCCTGACACCAACCCTACGGCCTCAGCCACAAACCCGAAACCCCAAACCCTAACGCCTAAACCCCTAACCACAAACCCTAAACCCTGTATAAACCCTAAACCTCAAACCCTAAACCCTATATAAACCCTATATAAACCCTAAACCCCAAACCACAAACCCTAAACCCTATATAAACCCTAAACCTCAAACCCTAAACCCCAACCTGCCCATATTCTCGCCTGGAAGTCCACAGCGCGCCATCCAACCTGCTTCCAAGAGATGGAGGAGGAGCCGGCGCGCCTGGTGTAGGGCCGCAGGGAATTTGTTTCCCACGTTTTCGGGTTTAGGGTTTGGGGCTTAGGATTTAGGATTTAGGATTTAGTGTTCAGTGTTTAGTGCTTTAGGGTTTGAGGGTTTGAGGGTTCCTGTACAGGAACCTGTTCAACGAGAACGGGTGAACTGTTTGATTTCATTACGTTGGCCTTGATTAATTGGTGAAAAAAAGGGTATTTGCAAATACTCACCTAGAATGGGCTTTCAATTCTAAGAGTTCTAAAGAGTGAGCCATTGTGACAGCGAGAAGGGTCGGACGACTGAGATTTGGACACTATCACCGAGGCATGAAACAGACCTGTCGGATGAAGTCCGTCAGTCTGCGATTAACTCGGATCTTGTTCTTGCTGCTCCTGATTAAACCAGCCACCACAGCAGGTGCTGCTTTGCCCAAGGAGCGGCAGTCAATCGGGACATCTGTCGCCAAGGAATGAGACAGATCTGTCGGATGACATCCGTCAATCTGCGAATTGCATGGCTCACATTACTGCCGCTCCCCACGAAAGCCGGCATCACATCAGATGCCGCTCTGCCATACCATCGGGCGGCACGGATCAAGGCTCCGCTGCAGCAGGTGTCCTACATGAGCAAAGCAAGCCTGAAAGGCCTGCAAATGTACATCTATCATATCTATCACCGAGGCATGAAACAGACCTGTCGGATGAAATCCGTCCGTCTGCGATTAACTCGGCTCTTGTTCTTGCTGCTCCTGATTAAACCAGCCACCACAGCAGGTGCTGCTTTGCCCAAGGAGCGGCAGTCAATCGGGACATCTGTCGCCAAGGAATGAGACAGATCTGTCGGATGACATCCGTCAATCTGCGAATTGCATGGCTCACGTTACTGCCGCTCCCCATGTAAGCCGGCATCACATCAGATGCCGCTCTGCCATACCATCGGGCGGCACGGATCAAGGCTCTGCCGCAGCAGGTGTCCTACATGAGCCAAGCAAGCCTGCAAGGCCTGCAAATCTATCATATCTATCACCGAGGCATGAAACAGACCTGTCGGATGAAATCCGTCCGTCTGCGATTAACTCAGCTCTTGCTCTTGCTGCTCCTGATTAAACCAGCCACCACAGCAGGTGCTGCTTTGCCCAAGGAGCGGCAGTCAATCGGGACATCTGTCGCCAAGGAATGAGACAGATCTGTCGGATGACATCCGTCAATCTGCGAATTGCATGGCTCACGTTACTGCCGCTCCACATGTAAGCCGGCATCACATCAGATGCCGCTCTGCCATACCATCGGGCGGCACGGATCAAGGCTCTGCCGCAGCAGGTGTCCTACATGAGCAAAGCAAGCCTGCAAGGCCTGCAAATCTATCATATCTATCACCGAGGCATGAAACAGACCTGTCGGATGAAATCCGTCCGTCTGCGATTAACTCGGATCTTGTTCTTGCTGCTCCTGATTAAACCAGCCACCACAGCAGGTGCTGCTTTGCCCAAGGAGCGGCAGTCAATCGGGACATCTGTCGCCAAGGAATGAGACAGATCTGTCGGATGACATCCGTCAATCTGCGAATTGCATGGCTCACGTTACTGCCGCTCCCCATGTAAGCCGGCATCACATCAGATGCCGCCCTGCCATACCATCGGGCGGCACGGATCAAGGCTCTGCCGCAGCAGGTGTCCTACATGAGCAAAGCAAGCCTGCAAGGCCTGCAAATCTATCATATCTATCACCGAGGCATGAAACAGACCCGTCGGATGAAATCCGTCCGTCTGCGATTAACTCGGATCTTGTTCTTGCTGCTCCTGATTAAACCAGCCACCACAGCAGGTGCTGCTTTGCCCAAGGAGCGGCAGTCAATCGGGACATCTGTCGCCAAGGAATGAGACAGATCTGTCGGATGACATCTGTCAATCTGCGAATTGCATGGCTCGCGTTACTGCCGCTCCCCATGTAAGCCGGCATCACATCAGATGCCAAGAAGCAGCGCATCAACAGGAACCGCACTGGAGTCAAGTGAATTAGCACGGCGGCATATGTGGGCCTAAACCCTCAAACCCTAAACGCATGTGGACCATAGGCCTTCTTGGGGCTCATCACGTTGAGGGAAACCACCGTGTGAATCTCGGGGCTCAGTGCACGTTTATATCTAGATATATATGTATATATATATATACATATATAAATAAATCGATCGATAGATAGATAGATAGATAGATAAATGGTATATATATATATCATCTTGCATATGTGCAGACCCATGTGTATGTTATTCTACGTTATATGCATACGCGTATGTGGGTTACTTGAGGCCTCATCCCCAAAGTCTGAGATTCCGAGCGCAGACACCGTCAAAGCCCCGACTCAGGGTTTAGGGTTTAGGGTTTAGGGTTGAGGGTTGAGGGTTTAGGGTTTAGGGTTTAGGGTTTAGGGTTTAGGGTTTAGGGTTTAGGGTTTAGGGTTTAGGGTTTAGGGCTTGAGGTTTCTGAAACCATTGGAGCCCTGTCCCCCCCCCCCCCAAGCCCTGAACAGCGACTGGCCTGCTGAAGACCACGCCTTGGCTCAGTTTGGGGGGGCCGTCATGACAGGAGGGTTTCTGGAGGGCAGGGCTTGTAACCCTAAACCCTAAACCCTAAACCCTAAACCCTAAACCCTAAACCCTAAACCCTAAACCCTAAACCCTAAACCCTAGGGCCAGGGCTCAAGTACCCTGCAACCCTGCGCCAAGGAGAAAAGATGCCGACACACCCTCATCGGGCCCGGGTTGGTTCCTGATGGCATACCCACAGTTGGCCCCCGCCACGGTGGGCTCTTGTTAAGACATTGACTTAAGAACCCTAAAACCTAAACCCTAAACCCTAAACGGTTAACCCTAAACCCTAAACCCTAAACCCGAACCCGAAAGCCTAAAGCCGTGAACCCTATTCACATTGAGGGCTTCCCCCCCCCCACCCAAAAAAACCCAAAGCCCTAAGCCTCTGATTAGGGCTTTGAAGGGTCAGCTCCATGCCCAGAACGCAAAGAACCTGAACCCTAAACCCTGAACCCTAAACCCTGAGACCCTGAACCCTGAGACCCTACGCCTCAGCCCTGAGCCCTGAACAAACAAAACTCTGAGCTCCACCCGCTGCCGGCCACCGGGGTGCGAAAGATGGCACCGACCTGGCCTGCCACCTCGCAGTGGTCCGAAGATGGGGACGTTTGTTTTAGGGTTTAGGGTTTAGGGTTTAGGGTTTAGGGTTTAGGGCTTAGGGCTTAGGGCTTAGGGTTTAGGGTTTAGGGTTTAGGGTTTAGGGTTTAGGGTTTAGGGTTTAGGGTTTAGGGTTTAGGGCTTTGTAAGGTTTGGATTTAAGGTTCAGGGTTTAGGGTTTGAGGTTTTAGGGTTTATAGGGTTTAGCTCGGCAGCCTCGCCCCCTCCAGACTGCGTAGGTAGCGCTTGTCATGGAAGCCCTAAGCCTCGAGGCGCATCTCAACCCAGACACCCAAAAGGTTAAAAAATAAAAATGGAAAAACGCTACTACTAAGAAAAACAACAAGGAGAAGAAGAAGTAATACTATGATTATGATTCGCACAAAATACATGACGGTATGCTTTGATTTTCGTAACTCTATCTATATGGGTGGTTGTCAAAATGATGGTCCCTTTTTGGATCCCTATCTTAATACGGCACCTAATATTTAGGCTACCCCAAAAGGGATCATAGTTTTGACAACCACCCATATTGATCGTTGGCCAGGTCTCGCAACTGTGGTCCCTTGCACCCCCAGGCCTTAGGTTTTGGTGGACCCGCAACTTAGAGAACTGCCTCTAAACCCTTAAACCCTGAACCCTATACCTTACATACTAAACCCTAAACCCTATAGCCTGTAAGCGTAAACCCTAAACCCTAAACCCTTAGCCCTAAACCCTAAATCCTAAATCCTAAACCCTAAATCCTAAACCCTAAACCCTAAACCCTAAACCCTAGCCCCCACTTTGGACGCGCCTGGAAGTTATACCCATGGCCGTGCGGGTCCGGGCCGAGGATGTCCTGCCGCTGAACAAGCCCAGGGGTGGCAACAGGGTTTAGGGTTTAGGGTTCGAGTTTAGGGTTCGAGTTTAGGGTTTAGGGTTTAGGGTTTAGGGTTGAGGGTTTAGGGTTTAGGGTTTAGGGTCTAGGATTTAGGGTTTAGGACTTTAGGGTTAGTTTAGGGTTCAGGGTTCAGGGTTAAGTTTAGGTTGAGGTTTTGGGGTTTGGAGATTGGGGCGTTCGGGCTTTAGGTGTTTGAGGGGTTTGGGGGTGCACCCTACCCCTTTGTGATTTTTTTTTGGCTTGGTCGAGGCTTTTAACCCCATCCAACTCCACAAAAACCACCCTAAACCCTAAATCCCCCGAAGCTGCAAATCCTCCAAACCCTGAATCCCCCTAAACCCTAAACCCTAAACCCTAAGCCCTAAACCCTAAACCCTAAACCCCCAAAATCCTGCTTTTGACTGCTCGCCCGGCCTCCCCACTCAGCTGGACCGTGCCGTCGGACTCATCGGGGGTGGCTCCTCTTCGGTTCTCAAGAAGGCTGCGGGTGAAGGGTTTTTTGTTGGGTTTAGGGTTTAGGGTTTAGGGTTTTTGTTGGGTTTAGGGTTTAGGGTTTAGGTTTTTTGTTGGGTTTAGGGTTTAGGGTTTAGGTTTTTTGTTGGGTTTAGGGTTTAAGGTTTAGGGTTTAGGTTTCGGGTTTAGGGTTAGGGTTTAGGTTTAAGGTTTAGGGCCTATAGGGTGAGAGAGCGAGAGAGAAGAAAACACAAGGTTTCTGGCAGAGAGAGAGCGCCAGGCACGTGGCAAGAGAAAAGGAACTGGAGGAGAGGAATGGCGTCGGCACCACTACGAGGAGGAGGACGAGGAGGACGAGGGGAGGAGGAGGAGGAGGACACTTGCAATTCAGCCTCGCACTTCAAGAAAAAATTGCTGCGGAGCTATGTACTTCTTGAGTGAAAAGCTCGCGGTGGTGCAACTTTTGCCTCACGGCTTCCAGGTCGGACCAATGCCGTCCATGAAATTCTGCGGACTTCCTCGCAGAGACCAGCGCTGTCTCGCTCCTGAACCCTAAACCCTAAACCCTAAACCCTTCTGCCGCGAGCTGTTGCGAAGTGCCAGGCCACGACAACGTCGGCAGCTCTTGTCATCTTGCCCTCTCCATGTTCCAAGGGTTTAGGGTTTAGGGTTTAGGGTTTTTAGGGTTTAGGGTTTAGGGTTTAGGTTCTGGGGTTTACTACCCGAACCTGCCTTTAGGCCGGGACGACTCCCAACCCTAAACACAACACCTTGAAACCCGAAAACCTTCCATGAGCCATTAAAGCCGTTCGTGGCTTGGGTAGTCCTAAACCACAAGAAGCCCTCAGCGTAGGACCCCAAATACGAAACCCTGACAACTCTCCTTTCAATCTACACTGTTACACATATACGTTTACAAAAAAGAGAGAGAAAACAAACGCACACGCTTCAATGTCTCTAAAGAGCCCCGATATACACCCTAAACCCTCAAACCGATGTCAAGCCCCACGTAGACCCCAACTCTCCCACCTTTTGGGTAGAAGCCTTGCTCGAAGTCAGCGTCGCGGAAGATCTGGAAGTTGCTGAGGGCCTTCGTTAATGCAGGCCATATTTCGGGTTGGGGGTGAGGGGAATACGGGCCCTAAAAACCCCTAAACTCGTACCCCCTGAACCCGAAACATCCCGAGTCCCTCAACCCTAAACCCTAAACTTGGCCCTAAACCCTAAACCCTAAACCCTAAACCCCAAACCCTAAACCCTGAACCCTGAACCCTGAACCCTAAACACTAATAGAGGATCCCACGACCTGAGGAGGCTACGGGCTCATGAAGGCCGGGATGTCTCTTGCAACTCTGGGTTCGAGCCTTTGGGGTTTAGGGTTTAGGGGGTTTAGGGTTTAGGGTTTAGGGTTTAGGGTTTAGGGTTTAGGGTTTAGGGTTTAGGGTTTAGGGTTTGGGGTTTGGGGTTTGGGGTTTAGGGTTTAGGGTTTAGGGTTGCATTTACTTGGGTCTGGTATTGGGTGTGGAGGCAGGGCACATGGGCCTACTCTAAATGAGAGCTACCCCCCTAAACCCTAAACCCGAAACCCTAAACCCTAACCCCTAAACAGGGATTTCCTTCGAAAAGTCGCCCACAAGCTCAAACCTCAGAAATCCTGAACAACATCCCCAAGCCAAGCCCCTAAACCCGAAACCCCTAAGCCAATAAACCCTAAACCACTAAACACCCCTAAACCCGAAACCCTAAACCCCTAAACCCCTAAATCCCTAAATCCCTAAACCCTAAACCCCAAACCCGGGCCTTTAGAAGCTGCACCTCCGCGCTGAAAGACCCATCTGGCTCCTGCAACATGGCCCCAAAGGTCCAGGCGTTGTGATCCCCGATGATGCCTGGGCTCCAAGAATCTTTCGGGTTTAGGGTTTAGGGTTTAGGGTTTAGGGTTTAGGGTTTAGGGTTTTAGGGTTTAGGGTATAGGGTTTGGGGCTTTGGGCTTAGGGTGGTTTACTCCCCTCCCCCAAGACATCAGCCCAAATCCCAAAAAGGTGCCCATGTTTTTGCTTCCAGGGGTTGCAGGGTTTAGGGCCTTTGGTCCTAGAAGCAATTTGCCCCCTTGATAGCTAACTCTGATAAACTCGAGTGGGAATCTTGAAATGACAGCTTTGGAAGCACTGAACGTAACCCTAAACCCTAAGCTCCAAACCCTAAACTCCAAACCCGAAACCCTAAACCCTGCACCCTAACCCCGGTGGAGGTCGGCCTTCAGATGGTTCAGGGTTTAGCTCCCAGGGGGCTGCCAAGGCCATGACGGCAGGATTTTCAAGCCTAAACCCTAAACCCTGAACCCTAAACCTTTGAGAATTTTGAGGCTTTGGGTGAACAGGCTCAGGTCGCTTCCCTGCTTCTTGTGGGATGTTGGGCTGCAGCCCTAAACCCTAAACCCTAACCCAAAATCCTAAACCCTAAACCCGTTTGGGGCACCTTGAAGAAGACACCCCTGGTTGCCTTGGGCTTCGGTGGCCCCTGAACCCTAAACCCCAAACTCCAATCACTAGACCCTAAACCCTAAATCCTGAATCCTAAACCCTAAGCCCTAGGCCCTAATCCCTTTTTGGAATTTGAATTCTTAGTAGGATAGCGGAAACTAATTCATTCCCTAAACCCTAAAACCCTACAAGCCACTCAACCCCTCAATCCCCCAAACCCAAAAACCCCCCCGGAAATCTCCAAACCCCTTAATTTTTAACCCTAAACCCTAAACCTTAAACCCTAAGCCCTAAGCCCGAAACCCTAAACCCTAAACCCTAAACCCTAAACCCTAAACCGTAACGAAATTCCGAAGTGTCCATGGGCGCGGCACTGAAGCCATGGGGGCAAGGAGTCCCGAACAAGGAAGGTGAGGCCTGCACAAAGGCGGATTCTTCCTCAAGGGCTTTAGGGTTTTAGGGTTTAGGGTTAGGGTTTAGGGTTTAGGGTTTAGGGTTTAGGGTTTGGGGTTTAGGGTTTAGTGTTTTAGGGTTTAGGGTACCCTGCACCCTAAGCCCGAAAGAGTGGGGTTCAGAGCGTGTAGTCACAAGGGCTCAAGGTCAAAAACACAAACAGAAAGCCTGAAGGCCAAGTCCTGCACCCCGGAAGCCCAACTCTTCGGTTTAGGGTTTAGGGTTTAGGGTTTAGGGTTTAGGGTTTAGGGTTTAGGGTTTAGGGTTTAGGGTTTAGGGTTTAGGACTTTAGGGGTACTTTAGGGGTTAGGGTTTCGGACTACGGTGTGGACACAGTAGCAACATAACTACCAAGGCGCTTACACTCTTACGAGATTCCTACTTTTTGTACTTGGGCGGCTTCCTAACCCTGAACCCGAAACCCGAAACTCTCCCAGATCTTCCTCCAGGTGCCAGCCCTGTTTCCCCTCCCCCGGGGCCCAGGGTTTAGGGTTTAGGGTTTAAGGTTTAGGTTTTAGGGCGATCTTATGCCCTAAGTACCAAACTGAGTGCTGGTCAGGAAACCCCATCATCATCATCACCATCATCATCATCACCATCATCGTCATCGTCATCGTCATCCTCCTCATCATCATCATCATCATCAAATTCTTCTTCTGCTTCTTCTTATTCTTATTCTTCTTCTTATTATTATTCTTCTTGCTCGTTCTTAGTAGGACAAAGGAATGAGGTACCCTGTACTACCCCCTTAGAGAGTAGAATGAACTGCAGCGATGCGACGCACCGAAGTCCTTCATCCTCTACAAAGAACCAGTAGGTCATCATCGTCACTATCACTGCAAAAGAAGGGACTATTGGGCTTTTCCGACCTGGCGCAGCTTCGTCCAGGCCACTCGCCGAAGCTTGCCGTTGACCTGAAGCCTGAAATGTCGGAAAGGGCTCTGGATTTAGGGTTCAGGGCTGAGGGTTTATGCAGGGTTAAGTGTTTCCGTTTTTGGTTTTAGAGCAGCAGGATGGGCTTAGGGCACCCTGAAAGCCATGTCATCCTAAGCCCTAAACCCTAGACCCTAAACCATGAATCCATACATCAGGGTCGGGGCGCCAGATGCGGTAGCCGTCCCCGGCGCGGCCGTCCTTGCCAATCTGCCAGCAGAGGGACCTCCCACACAGGTGGATGGGGGGGGGCTGATCGAAACGGTGAGCTCGTTGGGTTTAGGGTTCAGGGTTTAGTTTGGGGCTATTGTACAAGCCAAGAGCCAAGACCCTGTTCCATGCAGACCCAGTGCTCTGAAAAGAACCCCGAAGCCTGAAAACCCTGAAAAGCCTGAAAAACCTGAAAAGCCTGAAAAACCTCAAACACTGAAAACCCTGAAACCCGAAAAAACTCTAAATCCCCCAAAATCTCCCCCCAAAAACAGCCTAAGTCCACAAAAAAAAAAACATTAAAAAAAGATGAAAAATGAAACCTAACCCCCTCCCCCCCAAAAAAAAAATGGAAACTTCGCGCGCGGCGCCTGGGAGCGGCGGCGGGGCCCAGCACGGGCGCCTCAGCGACGGAGCCCCGGCTCGGCGGGTGGAGCGCCTCTCTCTTGGGCTCATTTTTGCAGGGGGTGGAAGGGAGTTTAGGGTTTAGGGTTTAGGGTTTGGGGTTTAGGGTTTAGGGTTCAGGGTTTGGGTTTAGGGTTTGGGGTTTGGGGTTTGGGGTTTAGGGTTTAGGGTTTAGGGTTTAGGGTTAGGGTTTAGGGTTTAGGGTTTAGGGTTTAGGGTTTAGGGTTTAGGGCCTGGGGGTTTGAGGGTCTAGGGGTTTGGGGTTTAAAGTTGCGGGTTTAGGGTTTTCAGGGTTTTGAGCATTTCTGCTTGTTTTTGGGGGTGTTAGGGTTTTTTGGAGTCTTTCTCTTGTGGGCTGGGCTCTTTGGTTCTATGGTTTAGGGTTTAGGGTTTAGGGTTTAGGGTTTAGGGTTTAGGGTTTAGGGTTTAGGGTTTAGGGTTTAGGGTTTAGGGTTTAGGGTTTAGGGTTTAGGGTTTAGGGTTAGGGTTCGGGGCTTGAGGTTTAGGGGGTATAAAGGGATTAGGGTTTGGGGCTGGTTCCAAGTGTGGGCCCTGCCTGTCCTTGTTATGTAACCCTCTTATGCACTATGCAGACTATGCAGACTAAGAGCCCCTACCCCTAAACCCTAAACCCTAAACCCTAAACCCTAAACCCTAAATCCTAAACCCTACTTCGGATTCCTATAAACAACTGTAAAGGGACGATACTGAGAACCCATGGTTGGCACTTCAAGGGGTTTAGGGCCTGGGCTTGCTAGGCTTAGGGCATTTAGGGTTTAGGGTTTAGGCTTTAGGGTTTAGGGTTTAGGGTTTAGGGTTTAGGGTTTAGGGTTTAGGGTTCAGGGTTTAGGGTTTAGGGTTTAGGGTCTAGGGTTTGGGGCCAGGGGCCGGGGGTCAGGGTCCAGGGCACTTGTTGGGCTGAGGCCTTGAGATGTTTCGGGTTTAGAGGCGGCTGTGCGAAGCACCTGATTTACACCACCAGCACTTACTTGCTGCATCTTGTGCAAGCGGTTGGGAACCAGGACCTAGTAAACATTCCTAAGCTAACTCACCCCGAGCCTCAATAGGATCCGAACCTTGCAGACTCCTAGCTACCCAGATTCCATGAACTAGCGCCTACGCCGCGCTAGGGTTGAAGGCTTGACTCCCCCCCTCGCCCGCCCCGCGCCAGGGCGGTTAACCCTCCTAAATCTTAAACCCTAAACGGCCCTAAACTTCAAAACCCCAAACCCCAAGGGGTGCGCCCCGACCTTGTCTGGGTCCTCGTCCACCCATATCTGGAAGCTCTCGGGATCTTAGTGGCCGATGGCTCTGCATGGTTCTTAGGTTCCTACCTGTCCAATTTCCGAAAAAAACTAAGAGTTGCGAGATTCTTTAGTCGGTTTACAAGCCCGAAATGCTAAACTGTAAGCTTTTCGGGATTGAACTACCCTAAATGAAGAAGGCTCAAGATTACCACAGTGCCTGTTGGCCCTGGTTGTGGAGTCTAGCGTCGTGGCTGGACCCCAAATAGTTTGTTGGGTTTAGGGGGCCCTACACTAAGTGTTACACCCTAAACCCTACACCCTACACCCTGAACCTTAAACCCTGGACTCTAAACCTTGAATCCTAAACCACGATGTTGATCCTCGAACCCAGTGGGGCCACGTGCATGGCAGGCTGTTCCTGGATTGGGACATGAACGTCAAGAAAGCTTGTGCTTCAGTCTCAAGTAACCCCTCAAAAAGCACCCTATCGGGACTGTAGCACTCTATCGGGGCTACGTCCCTGCTTCTTGCATGCTCACCCTCGGGTGCTGGAACAAACATGTTTCTTCTGCATGTGGGCGCAATCTTTTGGGTCGCCCCTGTGCGTGCCCTCTGTGATTTTGAAGTATATCTCGGCAATGGCCGCAGTCCTTCGCCTAACGCGTTTCAGATTGATGTTGCATGTCTGGCCACGTGGCGCATAGCATATCTGACCAGGGGACTTCCTAAGAAGTCATCCAGCTTGGAGGAACGCTGAGCTATCAAAACGGAAAACGACCGGCAAACCCCTCAACCCTCAACCCTCAACCCTCAACCCTCAACCCTAAACCCTAAACCCTAAACCCTAAACCCTAAACCCTAAACTCCCTAAGTCCTAAACCCTCAACCCTTAACCCTACACCCTAAAAAGATTACACCGTGAGTCGAGCCACAGTTGAGCTTTGGGTTGAGCGTCCAGGGAAATCCACCGAGTCTCTTGTCAGTGCAGGTCATACTGACACATCCAATAGGGTTTAGGGTTTAGGGTTTAGGGTTTAGGGTTTAGGGTTTAGGGTTTAGGGTTTAGGGTTTAGGGTTTAGGGTTTAGGGATCCAAGGACCTACCAAGCCATGTAATGGTCACTTCCCGAAATGATGGTCCCTTCTTGGGGTTACCATTCTAAGGCGACCTCTAAGAGTTGGGTTACCCTAAAGGGACCATCATTTTGCCATGTGCGGGTTGCCCGGAAAGGTCTGGACCTTGGGGGTACCAAGCACAAACCCCCAACACGATGTAGGATCTGGGATCCAAGCAATCGCCTTCAAGGCGGACGTACCCCTCGAAGGTGTCGATCTCATCCTGCAGGGTTACCCCAAAACCCCCAAATCAGAGCTGCACCCTAAAACGTTAACCCCTTCGGACCAACAACAGCAGCAAAAGCGCAAGCACCAAAACTCATCCTCAACCCAAACTCTAGCCAGAATCCCTGAACTTACTTCTCCAGTAGCCAAGAATACAAAAAAGTTCAACTCTCTTCTTCCTACAAGAGAAGGAAGCCCAAAACAGTGTAAAGTTCAACGATGGCAAGGTAAGTGCACTCCCCGGCAAGCGAAACTGACCCCAAACCCTAAACCCTAAACCCTAAACCCTAAACCCTAAACCCTAAACCCTAAACCCTAAACCCTAAACCCTAACCCTGAGACCCCCCGCCCCAGGTCCCGCCTCCCCGCTGACGCGGGTCATGCGCAGGCCCTCCGACCAGGTGGTCATGGTGCCCTGGAGGTAGTAGCCACGGTAGACCAGGCCATGATCCTGCAATGATGTGGGTTTGGGGGTTTGGGGTTTAGGGTTTAGGGTTTAGGGTTTAGGGTTTAGGGTTTAGGGTTTAGCGTTTTAGCGTTTGGGGTTTACGGTTTGGGGGCCCGAGCCAAGGGTTTAGGGTTTAGGGTCCAGGAGTGAGGGCTTAGGCTTTAGGGCTTCGGGAATGACGTGGCATGGGCAGCCACCTAGAACCAGGCCTTGAAAGCCCATGTGCACTCGATCGCTCGCGCGCTCAAGATTCCACAGCATAGAAGCCCTGCTGCTGATGGTCCGGTCACCAAGGCCTCAACCCTCAACCCAAAACCCTCAACCCTAAACCCTCAGCCCACAACTCTCAACCCTCAACCCTAAACCCGAACCCTAAAACCATAAACCCCATCGCCCTGCTGATCCCCAAAACCCTAAAAAGCCCTCAACCCAAAAGATCCATAAGCCCCTCAACCCGAAACAGCCCTCAAGCCCTCAGCCCTCTCTCCCCTCCCAATCTCTAAACCCTCAAATCCTAAACCCCTAACCACTAAACCCCTAAATCCTGAAACCCGAGATAGAGGCAAACCCTCTAAAACTCTGAACCCTAAACCCCAAATCCTAAACCCCTAAACGCTTGGTACCTCAACCCTAAACCCGAAACCGTAAATCCTCTAAAGCCAGGTCCTTCCGCTTCACTCGGTTTGGCCACCACAACAGCGCTAGGTCGTGGCTCGCCTCCACCGTCTACAGATCTTTCCGGAGTTGAAGAAACCCCGAAGTGGGTTTAGGGTTTAGGGCTTAGGGTTAGGGTTTAGGGGTCTAGGGTTTGGGGCTGAGGGTTTAATTTAGTGGATCAAACCCGAACCGAAGACGCCATCAACATTGACCCCCAAACTGAAGCCTGAACGCCAAGCCCCAACGCCATTCAGCCTTCCTTGGGGACCGAATGAACCCCAAAAGGGTTTAGGGTTTCGGGCTTAGGGTTTGTGGTTCATACCTCAAACCCTAAACCCGAAACCCGTACTTGTATAAGGCATCGACTTGAGGGTTCACGTGGTCGCCAAAGGTTGAAACTCCCGCAGAGTGCAGCAAAAGTCTGGCTGCCCCCTCCCACCCTAGATCCAGTCTGTCTCTGCAAAACCAATGAGCCCTAAACCCTGAACCCTAAACCCTAAACCCTAAACCCTGCTTGAGTAATTAGGAGATGGGGCTTGTTTGTCGGGGGGGGGGGGGGGGGGGGGGGGGGGGGGCGGGGGAGAGTTGCACTTTGATGTCAGGAAAAGGTCAACGAGAGTGAGCCGATGATGGCGATGAAAGCCCATACGAAGCCCCCCAAGTCTTTGTTTTGACTGCTCGTCAAAACTAACGAACACCTGAGTTGCCCTAGAAGATCTAAAGGTCCTCAGCCCTAACTAGTGATTTGAGCGACTGCCAAAACAGGCTGGCGGTGCTACTGGACAGGGTTCTAGCATCAGCTATCCACGCTTTATGTCTGAAGGTGTCGCTTTGAGAAAATTCAAGGTGACAACCCGCCACGGTGATAGCACGCCACAACGCTTCAGAAGCTTAGGGTGTCGCTTTTTAAGTGTTCCCATCGCTTTACAGGGTGTTGGACATTCGTGTCCACCCCTTGCCTACTTGAATGGCTGGGAGTTTTCATTTGGGTCTTGGGGCTTCTGAGATTAGGACCTCACTGGCCACTAAACCCTAAACCCTAAACCCTAAACCCTAAACCCTAAACCCTAAACCCTAAACCCTAAACCCATTCATGCTGAAAGTTTGAAAGCGCAGGCGACAAGCAACGACCTGTTGCTTCGACGATCTCCAGAGCACTGGCTCCCAACACTGTTCTTGTCCAAGGCCACGTGGGCCCCGGGTTCAAACTTTAGGGTTTAGGGTAGGGTAGGGTAGGGGTAGGTAGGTGTTAGGGTGTTTTGGGAGTTTAGGGTTTAGGGTTTTCGGTTTAGGGCTTAGGGTTTAGGGGTTGGGGTGTAGGGTCAAGAAACACAGGACCCCAAGCACGCTGCACGCTGCACGCTGTCTTGAGAAACCTCATCGTGGACGTGTCGCGACGCCTTCATCAGAGGTCGATGTGGACGCCGGCCTCCAGTGACAAACGCACGACCTCAATAAGACCCGAGCTGAGCCACCATCACCCCTAAACCCTAAACCCTAAACCCTAAACCCTAACTGCTCAAGTCCATCCCGGCCTCAAGCAACAAACGCACGACTTCATCGTGGCCGGGTCGAGATGCCAACATCAGAGCTGCGTCACCATCCCTGCTGACCACGTCGATCCTGGCACCAGCCTCAGGCAACAAACGCGCGGCCTCAACGTGGCCGTGTCGAGAGGCCTCCCCTGCTGGACTGAGCGTCCCTAACCCATTCCCACAGCTTCCGAGAAGCTTCACTTTTTAGCTGGCAGCTTGAACATGAAGAGGGACCGGATGACCCCGCATGTCTGTTCCTTCCCTTGCCTGCCCCGAGGGGGGGGGAAGGGAACGGCGACGCGCGTCCGTCGACGTGCTCGGATGTGTTTGAACGTATCATAGCTGTGTCACCGTCTTTGTCGGCCAACGCCCATGTTGCTCCTAGCACCAGTGTCAAGCAAGAAACACGCGACCTCATCATCGTGGCTATGTCGAAATGCCAGCAGCAGAGCTGCGTCCCCGCAACAAAGTTGATGTGGGCACCGGCCTACAGCAACAAATATGCGACCTACATGTGGCCGTTCTACAAGGGATCATACAGGGTACCTCATGGCCTACTTCCCTATCAAGAAACAGCATAGAGAAACCTACTAAACTAAACCCTAAACCCTGAGCCCTGAACCCTAAACCCTAAACCCTAAATGACCCAACGTCCCCACAAGGAGCCGGCACCTTCGAGGGAGCCGAGGGAGGTTCGGCCAGGACAAGGTGGTGGGCGTAGAGGCCTCCACAGGGCTTTCGGGGTGGGTTGAGGGTTGAGGGTTGAGGGTTGAGGGTTGAGGGTTGAGGGTTGAGGGTTGAGGGTTGAGGGTTGAGGGTTGAGGGTTGAGGGTTGAGGGTTAGAGGGTTAGAGGGTTGAGGGTTGAGGGTTGAGGGTTGAGGGTTGAGGGTTGAGGGTTGAGGGTTGAGGGTTTAGGGTTTAGGGTTTAGGGTTTAGGGTTAGGGTTTAGGGCTTGGATGTTGAGCTTTGAGGGTGCAACGCTTGGGGCTTGAGGGTGTCCTAAACCCTCATGAGTTCCCAAAACCTAAGCTCTGCAAAGCTCCAGGCCATCCCCTTTTCCCCTCTGCGCCTGACGAGCCAAAGGAGGAAACGCCAAAGATCTGCGAGGCGTGGCGGCCTCTGCGGCGTGGTCTTGCGGGTAGGGTTCAGGGTTCATGGTTCAGGGTTCAGGGTTCAGGGTTCAGGGTTTAGGGTTCAGGGTTTAGGGTTTAGGGTTTCGGGTTTAGGGTTTGGGGTTTGGGGTTTGGGGTTTGGGGTTTGGGGTTTGGGGTTTGGGGTTTGGGGTTTGGGGCTTGGGGTTTGGGGTTTGGGGTTTAAAGTTTGGGCTCACGGTCTAGGGTTTAGGGCACAGGGTCTAGGATTTGGGTTCAGGGCTTCAGGGGGCTCCTACATCTTTGGCCCCCCGCCCCCTTTGTTGAAGAGTTGGGTTAAGAATGTAAAGGAGTGGAATTACTTAATCTTAGGTCCCGGAGGTACCATAAACCCCAAACCCTAATTAAGCCCCAAACCGAAACCTGTATGAGGTCCCGGAATAACATAGACATTTGAGAAAAAGGTTTAATAATGGGGATAGGGGGTTTCACCTGAATCCTGCAAGCAAAGACCCGAAAATCTGAACCGGGCCTGCGACGACTTCCGTTGGGATGTGCATGCTCCTGCTTGCAGGGTTCAGGTTGTAGGGTTGAGGGTTTAGAGTTTAGGGTTTCGCGTTTCGGGTTAAGGGTTGAAGGGTGAGGAATGAGGGTTTAGGGTTGAGGGCGGAGGGGCCACATGCGACAAAAGCAAGAATCACCGAGCCCAAGGCACAAACTCCTGTTGAGGGCTTTGCGCTCCCTAAACCCCCAAAAGCTAAACCGGGGGCCTAGAGTCTGAACCCCTAACACCCAAAACCCTCAACCCCAAAACCCCAAAACCCTGAACCCTTAAACCCCTCAACCCCTAAACCCTAAACCTCTAAACCCTACACCTCAAAGCCCCTAAGCTAAGCCCCTAAACCCCTGAACCGTAAGCCCAAACCCTCCCAACCCCCCCCCCCCCCCCCCCCCCACAAAACCCCAAACCCTAAACCCCCAGAAAACCCCTACACCCAAAACCCTGAAAATTGCGATTGAAAACCCTAAATCCTAAGCCCTAAACCCTGAACCCTAAGCCCTAAGCCCTAAGCCCTAAACCCTAAACCCTAAACCCTAAACCCTAAACCCTAAACCCTAAACGCCCCAAACCCCTCCTCGAGTCGCCATTCCGCTTCGCCCCCGGGAGCACCCGCAGGTGTAGCTGAGGCCCATGGAGTCCACGGCCCTGAAGGGTTTAGGGTTTAGGGCTTAGGGTTTAGGTTTAGGGCTTAGGGCTTCGGGCTTAGGGTTTAGGGTTTAGGGTTTAGGGCTAATCGCACCACTTGTGTTATTATGACTGTTCTTTATAGCCACGATTGCTATGATTAGCTGTTGTTCTTGTTATTCTTATTGCTATTGACATTTTTTGCTGTTGTCAGGTATATCAAGAGTTTGCGAAGATTGATGCATGATGAAATCAAACTGGGGGGATGGGTTGTTGGGCGGTTGAGGGGTTGAAGGTTCAGGTTGTGGCCATAAACCCTAAACCCTAAACCCTAAACCCTAAACCCTGAACCCTGAACCCTGAACCCTGAACCCTAAACCCTCAACCCTAAACCATGGCCAGTTGCAACAGGCTCAAGCTGGGCAAGGGCCAGGTGCGCGCAAAGATGGGCCGGGGCCGGGGAAGGCGCTGAACCCTAAACCCTAAACCCTAAACCCTAAACCCTAAACCCTAAACCCTAAACCCCAAACCCTAAACCCTAAACCCAGCCTACCGCTGGGTGGGGAAACACGGGCTCTTGGAGAAACCCGCAGGAACACCCATGGCCCGATTCAACAACTTGCAGCATCTTCACCCCAAGCTGCTTCACAAAAACCCCCGAAACCCTAAACCCTAAACCCTAAACCCTAAACCCTAAACCCTGGCGGGTCCACAACAGACCCGCGCAAAACTGAGATGCAGGACTTAGGTCACAGCCTTTAGTGTTGAGAAATGACGCCTTTCTTCTCCCCAGTGCGCCTAAACGCAAGAACTTCCAGCCATTTCTGCCCAGAAGGTTTAACCTTCTCGGAACGGATTAGACAATGTAGACCATGGACGTCATCATGCTTGGGCCATGGATGCTCTCTGCTCATCAGAGCAGAATAGACCATGGACGTCATCATGCTTGGGCCCTGGATGCTCTCTTCCCAGAACGGAGTAGACTATGGACGTCATCATGGTTGGGCCATGGCAGTGCAGAAAACATGTAGACCATGGACGTCATCATGCTTGGGCCATGGATGCTCTCTTCTCATCAGAACAGAGTAGACCATGGACGTCATCATGCTTGGGCCATGGATGCTCTCTTCCCAGAACGGATTAGACTATGGACGTCATCATGGTTGGGCCATGGATGCTCTCTTCTAATTATGGTGAAGCAAGCGTGTTATTTAGACCCAGGGCTGGGCAGAAGCGGATGCAAGCAAGACCGGGCTTAGTTTAGGACACGTCGAAAGTGCGAAGTAGTGCAAAAAAACCCACAAATACCAGTGTAGTCTACGGATGCCAAAAAAATTGCAGGATAAATTTAGAGAAAAACTGCGGGGATGAAGTGATGGGCGAAACCCAGGAAACATCGGCATTTACAGGGGATTCTGAGGGCAACAGAGCTAAACTGCCGAAAAAGCGTGGGTCTGTTATGGCCCCGCCTAGCCCTAAACCCTAAACCCTAAACCCTAAACCCTAAACCCTAGCCACAATTAGTCGTGTGCTCGTGGGAGCAAGCGGTGGAGGGGTCACGGGCGAAAAAAATCGAAGCCTGGCTTGGCAGTCCAGATGTACGCACGTCGATGGCTGATGAGGCTGTCGTCTGTGTGAAGCAACAGGTCCCAGCTGGGATGTTCCCCCTGATATTTAACCGTCCTTAAGAGGGATTCTCGTACCTCCTATTTCAATCCCCATTCATGACTGCTAGTATAAGGGGGAACCTCCCAAGGTCCCAGCATAGAGAGACAGAGAGAAAACAAAAAGAGGGAAACTCGCCATAGACTCTAGACTCTAGAGCATGACCAAGACAGAAGCAGCAGCGAAAGGCCGGCGAAACCGCACGTGCTTAGATGGGCTGGGCAACGGCTCTAATAACATGAATCAACATCTAGAAGCATCATCATAGTCATCATCATAACCAGGGTGCGTTTCCATCATCAGCATCGTGAAAGAGGACTCATCATCACCACGGAATCATCACCACCACTAGTTCTCGCGTCTTGCTCTGCAGCCCTCAGACCCAGCCCCCCAAGCGCTGCCCTGAAGCCACACCCCAGACCCCCCCCCCGTGGCAGGCGCGCCAGCAGCAGCAGGCTCCGGGCCATCCCTACCAGTCCACTGGTGGGCCCGGCGTGGCCGAAGGAGGCCTCTGAGGTGAGGCACGAGGATGGTTTTGGGCTTCTGGGGTTTAGGGTTTAGGGTTTAGGGTTTAGGGTTTAGGGTTTAGGGTTTAGGGTTTAGGGTTTAGGGTTTAGGGTTTAGGGTTTAGGGTTTAGGGTATTCCTCAAATGGCTTGTAAATGGATCTAGCGAAGCCTTCCGGAAATTGAACGCTCCTCACCAAGAACGAAACCAGAAGCACCCTAAAGAATCCTGACCGTCACACCCCCAAGCCCTGAACTCAATAGTAATGGCTGCTAAACCCAAATAAACATAAGGATCCTGCTATTGGGGCAGGGCGCCCTATAAGGGGAATTCTGGACAACCATGCCTGTAGAATGCTGATGCTTATCTGATTTTTTGAGCCCCTTGTGGAAGACCCCGAACTCTAAACACGAGCCCTGACTCAACCCTAAACCCTAAACCCTAAACCCTAAACCCTAAACCCTAAACCCTAAACCCTAAACCCCAACTTAGGCCCTAAACCCTGAACCCTTAACACTAAACCCCAAACCCTAAACCCTAAACCCTAAACCCCAAAACCTAAACCTCTGCCCCACGCCTTGGCACAGGACACGACCTCAGCACCACGAGGGCCCAGGGCCGGGGGGGAGGAAAGGGTTGTTTAAGCTGCTTAGGGCCTAGGGTTTAGGGCTTCGGATTTAGGGTGTAAGGTTTAGGGTGTAGGATGTTTAGGGTTTAGGGTTCTTAGCAGGGAATGTAGGGCCTTGGGCTTAGTTTCGGGGTAGGGGTTCAGGTCCAAGCCCGAAAACCCTGAAACTCCAGAATCCAACAGGGTGCATTGGGATGTTCCCCCCTCTAATAACAGTCCTTAGTAGGGATTAGAATAGGGTGTACTATAATCCCTATTAAGGACTGTTAACCCTAAACCCTAAACCCTAACCCCTAAACCCTAAACCCGAAACCCAACCCTGTTAGTAAAAAGGGGGAACATCCCAAAGGGCACTCCCCAAAGCTCCAAGACTCGAAACGAGACCCTGATGCTCCCGAAGATGGAAGGGTTTGGCCTGGGGCCTATAATGCTTAATTACCCTCCCCCCCCCAAAAAAACAAAAAAAAACTTCCTTATAAGGGCAATGTATTGTGAGTGTTACTAGTCTTTAAAACTTTGTGGGTTTCTTACGCAAATAATGGTAAAGGGATGTTCGGGTCTTTGACTTTGTCGGGTTTAAAGGGCTTATATACAAGGTTATACTTGGAAGCTGTTTTGACTTCGTAAGCCTACTTGATATAGAAACCCTTATCACTGTATACTCCCCACAACCAATCTTACTGACCACACTTCCTAAGTCAAACGGGCTTCCAAGTAAGGTTTATAGGGTTCGTAGGGTTCGTAGAATGCATAGGATTCATAGACTTTATAGGCCTTACAAGGCTGCAGGAGGTTTAGGGTTCATGGCGTTCTAGAAACAGGGAAACAGAACCCTAAACCCCAAACCCTTAGCCATAGACCCCAAACCCTTGACCCTAAACCCTATAAACCCTAAACCCTGAACCCTGAACCCTGAACCCTAAACCCTAAACCCTGAACCCTAAACCCTGAACCCTAAACCCTAGAAACCCTAAACCCTGAAACCCTAAACCTCGCCAGGCGTCCACGGGCTGGCCCCCGTCGCGGTGCTGCAGGGCCTTGCCGAGCAGCGCGAGCTCCGAGGTGTCTGCGGCCCTTAGGTGCGTGAGCTTTATTGGGTGGGCGGTAGGGTTTAGGGTTTAGGGTTTAGGGTTTAGGGTTTAGGGTTTAGGGTTTAGGGTTTGGGGTTTGGGGTTTGGGGTTTGGGGTTTGGGGTTTAGGGGTTGGGGTTTGGTTTTAACGGCCGCCATGCGCATCCGAGACTTCTCTTGTGTTTTTGGCTAGGTATTGTTTTAGACTTAGTAGGTCGGATTGCTCAGAGGATCGGGTTGAGAGGCAATTCGTGCAGCTTTTGTTATTGCTTCTAGCCAATATCTCTGTGGATGTCCTCTACGCAGGTTTTTAGTGCGTTTAACCCTATCTTTTGTGCCCGGGGAAAAGACTACGTGGTGGAGGGGATTGGTAGGCGGTGTAAGCAGATTCTTTGCAAGTTGCTGAAACTGTTTTGAAAGGAGGGTCTGTGAGGGTACTGCTGGTCGTCCAGCTTGCTCTTAGACTTGCCAGTGATGTGGGAGTAGTAAGAGGCTTTGATTTCAAGGCATTTTCTTAAGTGTTGATGATGCCAAGCATTAACTGATTTTAAATGCTTCATGTCTAGTGTGAGTGTGTCTAGACCGTAGAGTAGTGCGGGAGACCACTATCGCATGATAAATGTGGACCTTGGTGTTGCGGTTTACTCGGCTGCGCTAGAGCGGTTGAAGCTTCATGCGTGCTGCCTGGGCTAGCTGCTTCCTGGCATTGATGGCGGTTAGGTATTTAGACTGCTTTAACAGAGATACTTCTGTACATTCATAGAAGAGATCTGGGGTGGGGATTTTGGCTGGATGAGCAGTTTTGGTTTTTCTGGGTTCAAGTCATACTATATGGAATATTACCGGCGAACAACGAAAAAGTCATCATGACAACGAAAGACAAGATGTGACCTATGGATGTTCGCCGGTTCCCGTTCGATGTCCGCCAGTTGGTTTTCGATGTCTGCCGACGGGACGGGACGGGACGGGACGGGACGGGACGGGACGGGACGGGACGGGACGGGACGGGACGGGACGGGACGGGACGGGGGATCTGGAAGGGATCTGGGGGGGGGGGGGGGGTCTGGGTCTGCGGGGTTTTGAACTGAAGTGAATTGAAGTGAATTGAAGTGAATTGAAGTGAATTGAAGTGAATTGAAGTGAATTGAAGTGAATTGAAGTGAATTGAAGTGAATTGAAGTGAATTGAAGTGAATTGAAGTGAATTGAAGCAAATTGAAGTGAATTGAAGTGGATGGAAGTGAATGGAAGTGAATTGAAGTGAATTGAAGCGAATTGCGAATTGAAGTGAATTCAAGTGAATTGAATATTCGGCTTGCCAAAAGCAGTTTGAACTGATTTACTTAAACTCGGCTTGTCAGCTGTTTAGACAAATAACATGAGAAATTCAAAGTGATATCACATACAATTTCGTTTTATTTCGTCCTGAGGGTCTAGGGTTTAGGGTTTAGGGTTTGGGGTTTGGGGTTTGGGGTTTAGGGTTTGGGGCGGGTTGAGGGCTGACTGTTGAGGACTTAGAGTTTGGGATTCAGAGTTCAGGGTTTGAGGTGGGTTTCGGGCTTAGGGCTGAGGGTTGCGGGTTTCGGGCTGCACGCTTGTCTTTAAAGCATCTTGAAGAAGTGAAGGCGAGCATTCGCATACGTAAAAGCAGAGGCCACAGGCGGTGGAAGTACAGAACGGGGTATATGGAAGGACCCCTAGAAGGGACCCTTAATCTTATTCCCCTATATACCCCCTATATACCGTATATTATTCGTGTATGCCTAAGTCGCCCCTTTAGTCCCTTGAATCTAGCAAGCAGACAGCACGGCCAGGGAGAGACAAGCCCAAGCCCTAAACAAACCTCAGCCACTACTGAACTGATGCCTCGAACCCCAAGATCCTAAACCGACAAGCCTTTTGACACGCCCCAAAAGCCCTAAACACCATAAAACCCTAACCCCCTTAACACCTCAAAAGCCCTAAAAGTCCAAAGCTGAACAGGCCAACCCCCTAAACCCTAAACCCTAAACCCTAAACCCTAAACCCTAAACCCTAAACCCTAAACCCCCTGCTTGCTGCAACCCCGGGAGCGGTATGCCACCTGCAGAAGCCTCCACGGCATCTAAGATCGCCAGGGGCAGCGCGCTGTCGCGGGCAGCCTGGAGCAGTGGTGGGGGTTTGGGGGTTAGGCTTGCAAGGATTAGGGTTTAGGGTTTAGGGTTTAGGGTTTAGGGTTTAGGGTTTAGGGCTTAGGAGTTTAGGAGTTTTGGAGTTTTGGAGCAGTGGTGGGGGTTTGGTGCCGGACTTTTGGGTTTAACCAGCCCCCAACTATGATGGGTACTTGAGGGGTGCAGGAAGGGTTAAACCTAGGCGTCGAGGGCCTTGGGAGCTTAGGCTGCTAGGGCCGGTGACAGCTTCCTGGGCTCAGGGGTCCAGGGGCTTCGGGGTTCAGGGGTTTAGAGTTCAGGGGTTTAGGGATAGGGAGGGGTCTAGAGTTTAGGGGTTTAGAGATTGAGGGATTTAGGGTTTGGGTCTCAGGGGTGTAGGGGTTTTGGGGCTTCACGGTTGTTGAGAACGGCGGGACAGCAGGAACCTTGCACCAGGCTTGCTGAGGAAGAGGAATTCAGGGGGTTGGCAGCCTGAACCTCCTGGGTCCAACACCCGCCAGGCCCGAAAACCCTACACGAGCTTAAGGAATGCTAAACTCCAAACCCTGAAAACCGAAGCTCAGAAAAAACGGCGCAACCAGTGCAAACCCCCTTTTCGCCCTCAGAACAAACATTTTTGAAACCCTGTCAGAGCGCATTCAAGCTAACGACATATCATATCGTGATCAAACTCAAGATACGAAAGCTACATGAAAGCAAGGTCCTGACATGCATACAAAATGCTTACTTTCTCTTTCCTCAAGTGCGCTCATAAGAGCACTACCAAGATCTGAAATACTAAGTACACTTAGTTAGGCCTAAGCAAGCCTACGTACATTCAGTTTTGCTTGTCTTTTCGGTGAGACGAGATGAGCCATGGGGGAAAGCCCTCGCTGACAACTTGCAGCTCACAGCAAGATTGCATGAACATACTATAGGGGTCGGACTAATTACCAATAGTACGCCCTTATCCTTTGCAAGTATACTACAAGAACCCTAAACCCTGAACCCTAAACCCCTATTCTCATGTTTAAGGCCCCTATATTACGCCACGATGGAGGCTTTCACACAGGCTTCAAAACACGGTGGCATGTCAAGTTCAGAGAGAGGCATCGGTTGGAGGGCTTCGGGTTTAACGGTTTAGGGTTTCGGGTTTTAGGGTTTAGGGTTTAAGCAGATCATGCAGAAGGCGCACTGCGGGTTTAGAGCCGGGGTTACGGTGCTTATTCATTTTTGTGCTTATGCCGCGGGCGGGGTTGGTGAAACAGGTCAAGCATAATTGAAGCCCAAGCCCTAGAAACCAGGAAGCCCGGAGCCCAAAGCAATGCAACACAACCCCAAGCCCTTATGCAGTCAAGCCCAAAGCCCATGAAACCCAAGCCCTAAGCCCACAACCCCAAACACCAAAGCAGCGCAAGCCCGCCAAAATTGTATTTGTTGACAATTTTGAGATCTCGCCATAACCCGAGAGACAAGCTGACTAACGCGGCGCCTCCGCTAGTGTGTCTATTAATACCGTTGACTTGCTCTGCAAAGATAGCATAGGCACCATGGCTCATGCGTCACTCCCGCAGGGCTGAATAATTAGCGCGCGCGATGCGGATGTCTATCTCAATGCCTGAGAATCCCCTGCGTAGTGCAGGGGTTCTTGTTTCAGGCCTATTTCAGGGATGGAGAACATGAACGCAAAGACTTTCTCCCAGTGGAACGTTGGGTCTGGCCCCGACTTTTTGTCAAACATTACCCAGACTTGTCAGAGCATTCACAACCCTAAGCCCTAGCCCATAATCCTTGAACCCAGGAACCCCTGAACCCACGAACTTGCACGTGCCTTCGCCAGCAATTCCTTGCCAGGGTTTTGTTTCGGGTTTAGGGCGTAGGGTTCAGGGCTTGGGGCTCACGACTTTGGAGGGCTTAGGGATGTTGAGGGATGGCAAGGGTTTAGGCTGAGACAAGATGAGCCCCTCATCGCTCCACAAGCACCTTTAGGGCCTTTAGGGTTTGAGGTTTAGGGGTTTAGGGTAAGAACTCGTGTAACTCCCCCCCACCCCGCCCCCCAAACGAAGCCCCTGAAACGAAACACACTCAAGTCAAGCCTTGGGTTCCTTGAAGCCTCGGGTTCCTGAACCCTAGGGTTTAGGGTTTAGGGCTTCGGGCTTCGGGCTTAGGGTCTAGGATTTAGGGTTTAGGGTTTAGGGTTTCGGGTTTAGGGCTTAGGGTTTCGGGTTTTGAGGGTTGAACCCTGAAACCTGAAGCCCCCCAACTCCCTGAACCCCCCCTAGAATCCCGAAGCTTCCTAGACTCGCTCAACTCCCCTACACCCCCCTGGAACCCCCTGAAACCTCCCCAAGATCCCCAAAATCCCCAACCCCCCCCTAAATTCCTCTAAACCCTGAACCCTGAACCCTAAACCCTAAACCCTACACCCTACACCCTCCACCCTAAACCCTAAACCCTAAACCCTAAACCCTCAACCCTACACCGCACTAAGGGCCCCTGTTAGCGGGGCCACCCAAGCGAAAGCCGGAGCGCGGTGACGCTCGGGGCGTGTGGCGCCTTGAGGTTGGAGGCCTTTCCTTGGAGCCCGAGCTGCTGCAAACCCTAAACCCTAAACCCTAAACCCTAAACCCTAAACCCTAAACCCTAAACCCTAAACCCGAGCTGCTGCAAAGCAGCAGGGGTTTGGGGGGTTGGGGGGGGGTTTGGGGGGGGGTTTTGGGTCGGTTTTGGGGGTTTTCTGGGGTTTTCTGGGGTTTTCTGGGGTTTTGGGGTTTTGGGGTTTGGGGTTTAAGGCTTCGGGGCGTAGAGTTTATAGGGTTTAGGGTGTAGGGTTTGGGGTTTAGGGCTGATGGTTTGATGCATTCGTGCGCAGCATTGAGAGCAATAAGTTCGCCAGGTTCGAGGCATCTGAGTCAACTTGTGATTCTGACAAGTTTACCCCCTAGCTTGGTACTTTCACAAGACTCATCTTCGTAAACCCTAATTACGCCCTATACACCCTATACACCCGACACCATAAACCCCCAAACCCTAAACCCTAAATCCTGTACCTCATCTTCCCGGCTGCTTCGGAAGCATTAATCATCCATGCGGCAAGACGCTTCTTTGGGGCCGCAGGGGGTTCGCCGTTGAACAACCCCTGAAACCCCCTACAACCCCCTACAACCCCCTTACAACCCCCTTACAACCCCCCCTTCAACCCCCCGGAACCCTCCTGCAAGCCCCCTAAACCCCCTTAACCCCCCTAACCCCCCCCCCCTTAAACCCCCTTGAACCCCCTCAAACCCCCTCAAAACCCTGTGAAAGCTCCTCAAGCCACACCAGGGGGCCGGATGACTTCACGCCAACGCCGACCTCAATTGTTTACCGTGGAGGGCTTGGGGCTTGGGATTTGAAAACCGGAGCCAGTTCAGGGTTCAGGGTTCGGGGTGTCCCCAGATCCTCAAACCCCAAGGCCCCCCAAAACCCTGCCCCCCCCCGACCTCTTGGACCCCTCAACCCCTCCCAAATCCTTGGAGAGTTCGCAGTTCAGGGTTCAGGAGGTTTGGTGTTTGGGAAGGGCTTAGGGGGGTTTAGGGCGTTTGGGGGGTTTGGGGGTTGAGTTGGGGGGTTTGGGGGTTGGGGGGGGGTGGGAGGTTTAGGGAGGGTTGGCGGGGGTTGGGGTTTGGGGGCTTGTGGGGGCCCCCGATTCTAATCTGACCGGAGCGCAATGCAGCTTCGCTCGCTGTCGCCCGCCCCTTGCGGGCTCAGCATGCAAACCACCACGCCTCCCGGGTGAAAGGATTAGGTCGTCTACAGGGCTGAAATTTGAAAACTCTGGCGTTGGCACTTAAGGTTGAACGATTTTGGGGTTCCACATGTGTTGGATTTGAGAATTTGAGCCATTGAGTTGGGCGGTTTCGGGTCGAGACCCTGGGGGGTCTGAGGTGCACCTAGAAGCAATGCAGAAGGTTAGGAAGCTGATGCTCATGATGCTGGGTCGGGCGGGCCAGCGCGGGGAAAGGTTGGAAAGCTGATGCTCATGAGTGGAAACGTTGGGAAGCTGATGCTCATGATGCTGGGTAGGTGGGCCAGCGAGCGGAAACGTTGGGAAGCTGATGCTCATGATGCTGGGTCAGGTGGGCCAGCGAGTGGAAACGTTGGGAAGCTGATGCTCATGATGCTGGGTCAGGTGGGCCAGCGAGCGGAAACGTTGGGAAGCTGATGCTCATGATGCTGGGTCGGGCGGGCCAGCGCGGGGAAAGGTTGGAAAGCTGATGCTCATGAGTGGAAACGTTGGGAAGCTGATGCTCATGATGCTGGGTAGGTGGGCCAGCGAGCGGAAACGTTGGGAAGCTGATGCTCATGATGCTGGGTCAGGTGGGCCAGCGAGTGGAAACGTTGGGAAGCTGATGCTCATGATGCTGGGTCAGGTGGGCCAGCGAGCGGAAACGTTGGGAAGCTGATGCTCATGATGCTGGGTCGGGCGGGCCAGCGCGGGGAAAGGTTGGAAAGCTGATGCTCATGAGTGGAAACGTTGGGAAGCTGATGCTCATGATGCTGGGTAGGTGGGCCAGCGAGCGGAAACGTTGGGAAGCTGATGCTCATGATGCTGGGTCAGGTGGGCCAGCGAGTGGAAACGTTGGGAAGCTGATGCTCATGATGCTGGGTCAGGTGGGCCAGCGAGCGGAAACGTTGGGAAGCTGATGCTCATGATGCTGGGTCGGGCGGGCCAGCGCGGGGAAAGGTTGGAAAGCTGATGCTCATGAGTGGAAACCTTGGGAAGCTGATGCTCATGGTGCTGGGTCAGGTGGGCCAGCGAGCGGAAGGCTAAAAAGCTGATGCTCATGATGCTGGGTCAGGCGCCAGCAAGAATGGACACGTTGGGAAGCTGATGCTCATGATGCTGGGTCAGGTGGGCCAGCGAGCGGAAACGTTGGGAAGCTGATGCTCATGATGCTGGGTCGGCCGGGCCAGCGCGGGGAAAGGTTGGAAAGCTGATGCTCATGAGTGGAAACGTTGGGAAGCTGATGCTCATGATGCTGGGTCAGGTGGGCCAGCAAGTGGAAAGGCTAAACAGCTGATGCTCATGATGCTGGGTAGGGTGGGCCAGCGAGTGGAAACGTTGGGAAGCTGATGCTCATGATGCTGGGTCAGGTGGGCCAGCGAGCGGAAACGTTGGTGGGTAGGTGGGCCAGCGAGCGGAAACGTTGAAAAGCTGATGCTCATGAGTGGAAACGTTGGGAAGCTGATGCTCATGATGCTGGGTCAGGTGGGCCAGCGAGCGGAAACGTTGGGAAGCTGATGCTCATGATGCTGGGTCCGGCGGGCCAGCGCGGGAAAAGGTTGGAAAGCTGATGCTCATGATGCTGGGTCAGGCGCCAGCAAGACCGGAAACGTTGGGAAGCTGATGCTCATGATGCTGGGTCAGGTGGGCCGGCAAGTGGAAAGGCTAAACAGCTGATGCTCCTGATGCTGGGTCAGGCGGGCCAGCGAGTGGAAACGTTGGGAAGCTGATGCTCATGATGCTGGGTCAGGTGGGCCAGCGAGTAGAAAGGCTAAAAAGCTGATGCCCATGATGCTGGGTCAGTGGAAAGGCAAAAAAGCTGATGCTCATGATGCTGGGTCAGGCGGGCCAGCAAGACTGGAATCGTGCTGATGATGCTGGGTCAGGGGTAAAAAGCTGATGCTCATGATGCTGGGTCAGGCGCCAGGAAGAGTGGAAAGGTTGGGAAGCTGATGCTCATGATTCTGGGTCAGGCATGCCGGCGAGTGGAAAGGCTAAAAAGCTGATGCTCATGATGCTGGGTCAGGCGGCAGCAAGAGTGGAAACGTTGGGAAGCTGATGCCCATGATGCTGGGTCAGGTGGGCCAGCGAGTTGAAAGGCTAAAAAGCTGTGCTCATGATGCTGGGTCAGGCGGGCCAGCGTGTGGAACGGCTAAAAAGCTGATGCTCATGATGCTGGGTCAGGCGGGCCAGCGAGTGGAACGGCTAGCTCATGATGCTTGGTCAGGCGCAAGCAAGAGTGGAAAAGTTGGGAAGCTGATGCTCATGATGCTGGGTCAGGCGGGCCAGCGAGTGGAAAGGCTAAAAAGCTGATGCTCATGATGCTGGGTCAAGCGCCAGCAAAAGTGGAACGTTGCGAAGCTGATGCTTATGATGCTGGGTCAGGCGGGCCAGCGAGTGGAACGGCTAAAAAGCTAATGCTCATGATGCTGCTGGGTCAGGCGCCAGCAAGAATGGACACGTTGGGAAGCTGATGCTCATGATGCTGGGTCAGGCGGGCCAGCGAGTGGAAACGTTGGGAAGCTGATGCTCATGATGCTGGGTCAGGTGGGCCAGCGAGTGGAAGGGCTAAAACGCTGATGCTCATGATGCTTGCTGGGTCAGGCGGGCCAGCAAGTGGAAACGTTGGGAAGCTGATGCTCATGATGCTGGGTCAGGTGGGCCAGCGAGTGGAAAGGCTAAAAAAGCTGATGCTTATGATGCTGGGTCAGGAGCCAGCAAGAGTGGAAACGTTGGGAAGCTGATGCTCATGATGCTGGGTCACGCGGGCCAGCGAGTGGAAAGGCTTAAAAGCTGATGCTCATGATGCTGGGTCAGGCGCCAGCAAGAGTGGAAACGTTGGGAAGCTGATGCTCATGATGCTGGGTCAGGTGGGCCAACGAGTGGAAAGGCTAAAAAGCTGATGCGCATGATGCTGGGTCAGGCGGGCCTGCGGGTGGAAACGTGCTGATGCTCATGATGCTGGGTCAGGTGGGCCAGCGAGTGGAAAGGCTAAAAAGCTGATGCTCATGATGCTGGGTCAGGCGGCAGCAAGAGTGGAAACGTTGGGAAGCTGATGCCCATGATGCTGGGTCAGGTGGGCCAGCGAGTTGAAAGGCTAAAAAGCTGTGCTCATGATGCTGGGTCAGGCGGGCCAGCGTGTGGAACGGCTAAAAAGCTGATGCTCATGATGCTGGGTCAGGCGGGCCAGCGAGTGGAACGGCTAAAAAGCTGATGCTCATGATGCTGGGTCAGGCGCCAGCAAGAGTGGAAAAGTTGGGAAGCTGATGCTCATCATGGTGGGTCAGGTGGGCCAACGAGTGGAAAGGCTAAAAAGCTGATGCTCATGACGCTGGGTCAGGCGCCAGCAAGAATGGACACGATGGGAAGCTGATGCTCATGATACTGGGTCAGAGGGCCCAGCGAGTGGAAAGGCTAACAAGCTGATGCTCATGATGCTGGGTCAGGCGCCGGCAAGAGTGGAAACGTTGGCTGATGCTCATGATGCGGGTCAGGTGGGCCAGCGGGTGGAAAGGCTAAAAAGCTGATGCTTATGATGCTGGGTCAGGCGCCAGCAAGAATGGAAACGTTGGGAAGCTGATGCTCATGATGCTGGGTCAGGCGGGCCAGCGAGTGGAAACGTTGGGAAGCTGATGCTCATGATGCTGGGTCAGGTGGGCCAGCGAGTGGAAAGGCTAAAAAGCTGATGCTCATGATGCTGGGTCAAGCGCCAGCAAAAGTGGAACGTTGCGAAGCTGATGCTCATGATGCTGGGTCAGGCGGGCCAGCGAGTGGAACGGCTAAAAAGCTAATGCTCATGATGCTGGGTCAGGCGCCAGCAAGAATGGACACGTTGGGAAGCTGATGCTCATGATGCTGGGTCAGGCGGGCCAGCGAGTGGAAACGTTGGGAAGCTGATGCTCATGATGCTGGGTCAGGTGGGCCAGCGAGTGGAAGGGCTAAAAAGCTGATGCTCATGATGCTGGGTCAAGCGGGCCTGCGAGTGGAAACGTGCTGATGCTCATGATGCTGGGTCAAGCGGGCCAGCGAGTGGAAACGTTGGGAAGCTAATGCTCATGATGCTGGGTCAGGTGGGCCAGCGAGTGGAAACGTTGGGAAGCTGATGCTCATGATGCTGGGTCAGGTGGGCCATGGAGTGGAAGGGCTAAACAGCTGATGCTCATGATGCTGGGTCAGGCGGGCCAGCGAATGGAACGGCTAAAAAGCTGATGCTCATGATGCTGGGTCAGGCGGGCCAGCGAGTGGAACGGCTAAAAAGCTGATGCTCACGATGCTCGGTCAGGCGGGCCAGCGAATGGAAACGTTGGGAAGCTGATGCTCATGATGCTGGGTCAGGTGGGCCAGCGAGTGGAAAGGCTAAAAAGCTGATGCTTATGATGCTGGGTCAGGCGCCAGCCAGAGTGGAAACGTTGGGAAGCTGATGCTCGTGATGCTGGGTCAGGTGGGCCAGCGAGTGGAAAGGTTGGAAAGCTGATGCTCATGATGCTGGGTCAGGTGGGCCAGTGGGTGGAAAGCTGAAAAGCTGATGCTTCATGATGCTGGGTCAGGTGGGCCAGCGACATGCCCTGGACCCCTCCCACCAACCCCAACCTGTCGCGCTTTGTCTCCCTCGCTCTCTCCCTCTCTCTCTCATCTCTCTCTCTCTCTCTGGCTCCCTTTCCCTTCCCTGTCCTTTTTCATTCAAAATGTTGTTGACTCTCTTCCGTCGTTCCTTCTTCTTTCCCTCCACCATTCCTCACATCAAACATCTCCCAATCCATTCAGCCACATCTTGGCCCAGAGCTTGTATACTGAGCGACGAAACTCGGAACCCTGAAGCCCCTGAAGCCCTAAACCGTGGAAACCCTGAAGCCCTCACGCCCAAAGCCCCTCGAACGCTTCACCTCAAAAACCTGAAGCCCCAAAGCCCTGAACCCTAAACCCTAAAACCTTCAGCCCTAAAACCCTGGCAGCGCGAAAGACACCATAAGTTATACGATCAACACCCTACGACCTGAAACCCTAAACCCCCAAAACCCTCAGCCCTGAAAGGCTCAACCCTGAAACCGTAAACCCTGAAGCCCTCTAAACCCTGAACCCTAAACATCTAAATCTTCAACACCACCTAGCTCCTCATCCCCCAAACCTTTAAACCCTTGAACCCTGAACCTTTGAACCCCGATGCCCCAAACAAATGAGCCCTGAACCCCCCCCCCTTAACCCTAAACCCGAAAATCCTACCTAAGCCTCCCAGCCCTGAAGCTCTCAACCCTGAACCCTTAGGCCCTGAAACCTCCCTAAACCCTCAAAGCTCGAGCCCTGAATCCTTGAGACCCTAAACCCTCCAACCGCGAACCCAAGACCCTAAACCCTAAACCCGAAACCTTAGACGCCCTGCTGAGAGGCTCATGCTACTTCTCAGTTAACCCGATTAGAACTGCACTTAGCAACACACCTAGAACCTTTTTTAGAGAGGTCTGGTTAACCCTACACTTAGGGATAACTAACCCTCAGCCCTACACCCTAGAGCCTACAAAACCCCTGAACCCGAAGCCCCTAAACCCTAAACCCCCAAAGCACTAGACCCCTAAACCCCAAACCCCTAAATCCTACACCCTAAACACCCTAAACCCCTTGAACCCTAAACCCTAAACCTAAACACCCTAAACCCCTTGAACCCTAAACCCTAAACCCTGAACCTCCAAGTAAATTCTCGAGCGGCCTTCGCCCGGCACGAAGCCGTCGGCCGCAGCGTCGAAGACGCGCGTCTGGCCACTGCGTGAGATGAGTCCTGGATCTCAGGGGCTTCCCTCAACCCTAAACCGTGAACACTAAACCCTGAACCCTAAACCCTGTACCCTAAACCATGAACCCTAAACCCTGAACCCTAAACCCTGAACCCTAAACCCTGAACCCTAAAACCCTGAACCCTAAACCATGAACCCTAAACCCTAACCCAGGGTTGCGGGCTTACGCTTTTCAGGGCTGAGAGGCATTCGGAATTTGAGGGTTTTGTGGTGATCTCTATTTGGACTTTCAAGGCTTTGAGGCTGTTTGAGGGTTGAGGGAAAAGAACCCCAAAACCGAAACCTTAAACCTTCTGTCTTGCCAGGTATGCTACGTCGTACGCCTCCAGGAATTCCCTTCAGAAATTCTGAAGCGATGAGCTAAAACGCAAAAAAAAAGTTTTAAAAAAAAACAGCACCGTTAGGGTTTAGGGTTCAGAAACCCTAAACCCTAAATCCTAAACCCTAATCCTAACCCCTAAAACCCTACGACCTACACCCTACACCCTACACCCTCAACCCCATAAACCCTAAGCCCCAAAACCCAAAACCCAAGACCCTAACCCCTAACCCCTAAAGCCTAAACCCTAAACCCTAAAACCCTAAAACCCTAAACCCTAACCCCTACACCCTTAACCCTAAACCCTAAACCCTAAACCCAAAACCCTTACCCTAAACCATAAAATGGACAGTGGACTCGGGGTTTTAGGGGTTGGAGAGGGCATTGCCCGGTTGAATTTAGGAGGGTTTAGGGTTTAGGGTTGAGGGTTGCGGTTTAGGGCTTAGGAATTGGAATGTTTGGTTCCACTCCCCCTGAATGATACCCTAATTTAAATTCAACCCTCGACCCGAAATCTAAAAGTCACGGCATTCCTATTCCCTAAAACCCCAAACCCTACATGGGTATTTCCCAAAATAGGGTGCTCCAAATAGTGTAGAATCCCCTTAAAGGGACCCCCCCCCCCATTTTCGGAAACCCCCACATCCCGAGCCCTAAACCCTCAACCCTAAACCCCAAACCCCAAACCCTAAACCCTAAACCCTGTCCCTAAACCCCAAAACCCTCCACTGTGAGGCCCCGCTGTCGCGGCACAGCGCCAGGACCTCCCCCGGGCCGTTGATCCAGTGCGCGGAGCTCCTGCGGTTTAGGGTTTAGGATTTACGGTTTATAGGGCTTAGGGCTTAGGGCTTAGGGCTTAGGGCTTAGGGCTTAGGGCTTAGGGCTTAGGGCTTAGGGCTTAGGGCTTAGGGCTTAGGGCTTAGGGCTTAGGGCTTAGGGCTTAGGGCTTAGGGTTCGAGACTTGGCTTAGCCCTGAACCCTAAACTCCAAACCTGTAAACTCTAAGGCTTAGGGCTTTTGTAGGGCAAGTAGGGGGATTGGGGGCCTTTCAAGTCTGAAAAGGTATGCCTTGCATATATATATATATATATGCATATATATATATATATATGATCCCGTGAGAAAGGCCCAGCTCGACCATGTGTAAGGGGCTTGGTTTAGGGTTCAGGGTTGGAATGTCTAAGGGGTTTGGAGGGTTTGAGGGCTTGAGGGTTTGAGGGTTTGGGGGTTTAGGGTTGGAGGGTTTAGGGTTTAGGGTTTAGGGTTTAGTTGCCACCGAGGTTCGCCAGGGCAGCTTCGCACTCGGCCTGGCGAAGAGCCGCCCGAGGCGGCAACACTAGCACATGATGACATCAGTCACAGCAACTGCAAACGGAAGCAAAGCACCCTGAGACCTTTAGGGTTTAGGGTTTTGGGTTTTGGGTCTAGAGTTTAGTGTCCCTAGACCCTGATTGGCTACCTTCAAGCCTCCTTGAAGAAGAACAGGAAGAACATCAACATGAAGGTTCCTCTTGGTGTTAATCTATATCTGTGGAACTTACATGTATACTTATGCTTCTATATATATATATACATACATACGTGTATATTCCAGGAAAGCATATTCATATTCCAGCATTTTTGATGTTGATACCATGAAGATACCAGGGTCACAGAGAGCCCTTCGGGGCCTTAAGGGCTTGGGTATCATAAAGGGGCCTTACTAATTAGAACAGGCCTTGGGGGGGGGGAAAGGAAGGGGGGGGGGGGGGTAATTCTAGTATAGCGATAAAGGGATCACAGGGTTTGGGGGTTATTCGAGTACAAAAAATAGAGGGACCAGAAGGGAATACCTTTGGTAACCTTATTGTCACGAGGCCTTGCGGAGGCTGACGACAGCACGTTCGACCGCCAGCAAGGAGGATGCGTCGCCTCGCAGAAGCACTTTGGAGGTTCGTGACGCCTTATTGGGGTTTAGGGTTTAGGGTTTAGGGTTTAGGGTTTAGGGTGTAGGGTTTAAGTAGCGGTTGTCCCCTCTGCTGCATGTTCCTGCAAACAGCCCCGGCGCCCCCTCCTACACCTCTGCTGCCTCCATATCTTCACCTTGTTGACTCTGAGGTGTGGGGTTCTGCTTCCAAAAAAACGATTTGAGGTCGATTTTAAGGGTCCCCTATCTTCGTAGACCCCCAAAGAACGTTTTGGATAACTCATCCCTTCCACGAGCCCTTCTCGTCAGTGAACTGATCATAGCTGTGCCGAACGCTTCTGATGCCAGATTCCTCGAAAAGTTGATGCTTTCTGCCTTTATTTTCCAGAAGGTAGGAGGAATGAACGATGGCTAAAGTTGGAAGTTAGAAGGAAGGAACGCGGTGTTTTAACAGGCGGTCCCTTTGCGGGACCCTCACTATGAGACCCCCGTAACCCACCTTACTACTCTACTTACTAAGTCAAAAGGGCATCCAAGGGGAGTGGGAACCCCAAAAAACCTTTGTGTTGAGAGAACGACTGCCGTGTTCAGGGAAGTTCGGAATCCCCGAAGCCTTAAGCCCTAAGGCTTCAGGGCTTGGGGTTTAGGGTTTAGGGTTTAGGGTTAGGGCTTAGGGTTTAGGGTGAACCCCCAAAACCCTATACCCTAAACTTGAGCCCTGGGTGGCTCAGGCCTGCGTCCAAGTTCATGATAGGCCCTGTGAAGTTCAGAGGCTCACTGACCTGCACGCTTTAGGGCTTCAGGCCCTGAGGGGTTTAGGGTTTAGGGCTTGGGGTTTGGGGTTTAGGGCTTAGGGTTTAGGAGTTAAGGGTTTAGGGTTTAGGGCTTTTGGTTACTTAAGTGTAGTGGGTTGAGGGTTTAAAGTCTGATGCACATCTTCCCAGAGCCCTGACAGCTGACAGCCCATGTTGAGGGGCGCAGCCTAAGGCCCCAGCATGTTAGGCCAAAATCGGGTTTAGGGTTTAGGGCTCAGGGTTTTTAAGATGCATAGACATACTGGCAAGTGAGACATACAAGTATAGACAGCTGGAAAAGTAGATAGATCTGCAGACAGCAACTGAACAGTCAATCAAGCAGAGGCCTTTCTGACGTGTACCGATAATCGAATGATGTAGACATATGCACAAGAACATGCCCAATGCAAGCGGGAGTTTCCAAAAAGCAGAGTCTCCTGTTGATGCCTCTATGACAAGGTGGCCCTGTTAAGTATTACCCCCCCTCCGCCCAAAACCCCAAACCCTAAACCTAAACCCCAAACCCCAAACCCTAAACCCTACACCCCAAACCCCGAAGCCTAAACCCTAATCCCCAAACCCCAAACCCCTCAAAATACCTAAACGGTTTCAAATAAAACAAAATATATTAAAAAATGTGACGCAAAGCCCAGGGCCTGGCCCACGATCACCGAGGGGTTGGACTTGGACATGAAACCCAGGCCACCTCGAGGCGTTTAGGGTTTAGGGTTTAGGGTTTAGGGTTTAGGGTTTAGGGTTTAGGGTTTAGGGCTTGGGGTTTAGGGTTTGGGGTTTGGGGTTTAGGGTTCAGGGTTTAGGAATTAGGTTTGGGGTTTAGGGTTTCGGTTTACATTTAAAATTTGGGGTTCAGGGTTCAGGGTTCAGGGTTTAGGGTTTAGGGTTTAAGGTTCAGGGTTTAGGGTTTGGAGCTTAGGGTTTGGGGTTCAGAGCTTAAGGTTTGGGGCTTGGGGTTCAGAGCTTATAGGGTTTGGGGTTTGGGGTTTGGGGTTTGGGGTTTGGGGTTTGGGGTTTGGGGTTTGGGGATCAGAGTCTCGGGTTTAGGGTTTGGGATTTGGGGAGGGATTTAGAGATTTTAGAACTGCGCTTCTCTAAGGTTTAGGCTTCAGGGCTTGAGGGTTCGAGGGTCTGTTGTTTAGGTCAGGCCTCAGGGCTTGGGAGTTTTTGGGTTGGACCTCACTCACGCACCACGACAGCCTTGGTGGATGACTCTCACAGCGTCCTAAACCCTAAACCCGTAAACCCTAAACCCTAAATCCTAAACCCTAAACCCTAAACCCTAAACCCTAAACCCTAAACCCTAAACCCTAAACCAAGACCTTGTCTCTGTGAACAAGACCGAAGAAGCTCAGCTGCAGCTCCCATCCGCTGAGCGACGTACAGCTTGGCACTTCTAGCCGGCTCAAGCACGGGCTTTTACCGTCTGCTGTGTTTGCCCTAAACCCTAAACCCTAAACCCTAAACCCTAAACCCTAAGAGCTTTCAGACGGGTGTCGTGTCTGCAAGAAGCACGTGGATCCGGCTGGCCAGGATACACTTCATTCAAGCACGGGCTTTTGCCTTCGCCAAACCCGAAGATAAAAACCTTAAAAAAAATCCTAAATCCTAAACCCTAAACCCTAAACCCTAAACCCTTTCTTTCACCTTCGGGGCCTTAAGGCTTGAGGGTTTAGGATTTCATGGTTCAGGGCCGGAGGGTTTGTGGTGTTGCGGCCAAAGGGAGGAGTGGAAGGGGCTGCAAGTTCAAGGTGGCAACTGTGGGGTTCAGGGTTTAGGGTTTAGGGTTTAGGGTTTAGGGTTTGGGGTTTAGGGCTTAGGGCTTAGGGCTTAGGGTCTAGTACACATTCGGCCACTGAGAGCAGGAGCTCGGGGTCGAAGGCGTGCTAGTCACTGAGCATGCCAAAAGAACTCCGTAGCGTCAAATCGCCCCCCTAAGACCCAGGGTTTAGGGTTTAGGGTTTAGGGTTTAGGGTTTAGGGTTTAGGGTTTAGGGTTTAGGTTTAGGGTTTAGGGTTTTAAACCCAAAATACCCTAGCCCACAAAAGGTAAACTTTTATAATATGCACAGTAGGATTCTCTATCACCAAAAAGGTTAAAGGTTACCTAGCCAGTCCCTAAAAAGCTGGTCGCAAGAGCAGCCGCAGGATATATTACAACTTCGCCTGAGCCCGAGACCGTCCCAGCCAATTTCAACCCTGTGGATGTATGAACCCTGAACCCCGGGAAAACAGCTGAGTTCCACACTGCACAAGCCAGAGAAGACACCAAAGGGACGAGACGCAGACGCAGAGTCCCTGCGGCTCAGGAATCTAGGGGAGTTTTTTTGGGGGGGAGAGGGGCTCGAAACTTAGAACCCTCAACCCCAAACCCTGAATCCTCAACCCTTCACCCTCAACCCTTACCCCCAAACCCGAGATTGCTACTTGCTCAACTCGAAACCCTTAACCCTCAGCCCCTAACCCTTAACCCTCAAAGCCCAAACCCTTAAACCTTCACACCAAACAAACATGAACCCCGTTAATCGTAAAAAGCTACGGTGATCACCACAGAACTTGCCAACCCTCCTGGACAGGGGCGGGAGTTTTTGGTCAGAATCCTACACCTATGCTGAAAGCCAAAAAACTATGCGCAAAGGCTCTTTGGCAAAAGCCATAGTTCAGAGAAGGGCTCACCTGCGGCCTTTAAGGGCTTTACCTACTAACTAGGGGGGGGGGGGGGGTACTTGCCACAAAAACCGTGGGAAAACAGAGTCCTAGGCAGGGCTTTGAGGTTTCGTCTGGCTGGTGCTTAGTAGGGAATGATGGAATTGGGGCTCCATCATCCCTTAAAGGGTATATATAGGGCCCTCATTCTGTCATTCCCTACTGAGAATCAAGGGGTATCCCTAAACCCTAAACCCTAAGGTCTAAACCCTAAACCCTAAACCCAAGCCCTCTCCTCGTTCCAGCTGCATGGAGCGCGGCGGTGTGGCCCTGCGGCCCCATCGTTGTAGGGTTTAGGGTTTAGGGTTTCGGGTTTAGGGTTTAGGGTTTAGGGTTTAGGTTTGAGTGTTTAGATTGAAAACTGGAAGAGCTTTGCCTGGAAGGCCTTTTGACTGGGCAAGTAGGGTTAGCATGTTGGGTTACTACTATTTGCTTAAGAATCCCAAACGAACAAAAACAGTAATCCCTATATTACCTTTAATAAGGAAGAATATGTTCATTCTCTCGGCAATTTGTAGGTTATGGGGACTCTAATGGGGTTTCTAGGGGATACTAAGTAGACATCCTAAAGTCAAAACAGCTTCCAAGCGGGGTGGGGTTTAGGGTGGCTTGACGCTTCGGGCTTGAAAGGGTTGTGACTTGCGGTGGCCTTGACAGGAGAGCCACAGGAGAGCCCGAGAATCAAGGCGTCCAAACCCTGAGCTTAATCCGCAAACCCGAAAACTTCAAGTGAGACATGTTCGACATACCCCTTGGGCATACCCCTTAGAAGAAACTAAGGGGCTCGGTAAATCCTTCCTTATATTCTCTAAAGTTTGGGGTATGTCGAATTCTTCTTAGAATCCCGGTTTGAGGCTGATCGACCCCAAACCCTAAACCCTAAACCCGAAAGCCACCGAAGGCTCTCCTCGAGGAGTAGCAGGCAGCGGGGGTCCAGGTTGTTTGCCTCCATGGCCGTCATGCCAAAGTACCTGCCGTTTAGGGTTTAGGGTTTAGGGTTTAGGGTTTAGGGTTTAGGGTTTAGGGTTTAGGGTTTAGGGTTTAGGGTTTAGGGTTTAGGGTTTAGGGTTTAGGGTTTAGGGTTTAGGGTTTAGGGTTTAGGGGTCGGTACATAGTATGGGCCCCTCCTTACCAAACCCCGATAAAACCCCAAGGGCCCCATCCTTCAGAACCCTTGAAAGGAGGTAAGGGACCAAAATTTAAGTTTGGGGTCTCAAGGAGCCGGGTTCCTAGGAGGGATTGAGTGGCTTGTTTTGGGGTTTGGGGTTTGAATCGTTTGAGGGGTCTAAGGGTTTTGGGTCTTGGGGTTTCGCGCGCTTTTGTTTGGGGCCTTGGGGTTTGAAGGCTTGAGGGCGGGTTTTCAGGTTTGGGGTTTACAATCGGCAGCCGCCCTAAACCCTAAACCCTAAACCCAGCAACAAAGCCTCCTCTGTCTCTTACGATGCCCACAACACCCAGGGCAACTCGGGATGGGGGGGGGGGGAGGGGGCGCCGGTAGTCGAAGTCGGAGATGCCATAGCCTTGGACATCGGCTTTAAGGGGCATTTTAGGGTTTAGAGGGTAGAGGGTTTAGGGTTTAGGGTTCAGGGTTTAGGGTTTAGGGTTTGGGGTTGTTAGGCCCAAGAGTAACCTAGGAACAACAAGGGGAGCCCCTTTTTTGGTTTCAAGGGAGCGTAGAAGGGAACCAAAGAAAAGGGGAATAAGGGCCCACTTTCCGGGTTTTAGAGGGGTTTCTGGGGCTTCAGAGGCTTCAAGGGGCTTAGGGGCATGACGGGCCGTGCGGGGGCTTCCAAGAGTTGCTCCGCATGGGGCTACTCAGAGACTCCAAAGTCCTTCAGATAGGGAAGGTTCCTTAAGTTGTGAGAGGATCCCTATCTCAGTTTCAGGAAAACTCTTCACTTTAGGCAGAATGGATTATAAAGGCCGGTGGCCTCTTTATCTGCTACCCTTATACCTTAATATAGCCCCAAGATACCCGAATAGAACCCCGAGTATATACCCCTATAAACCAGACACCCTACTTAAAGAGACCACCAACCCATATGAAGTAGGATATATATATATATATTTATTTATTTATATATTTCTTGTACCCCCAAAAGGACGCCAGGTATATACACTCTCCAAAATTAAACAGGAACCCTATACAAACCCTGTTTCATATAAAGAATGGAGTCTCTGATTACTGTATGTCAACTCGGCGTTCGACGACTTCCTTGGCGTTGCGGTTTGGGATCTTGGCTGTCGGGCTTTAGGAGACTCGTGGTTTGTTCAGGGTTTGGGGTTTAGGGATCAAAGTTTAGGGTGCCCTAAACCCTAAACCCTAAACCCTAAACCCCCTAAACCCCCCTAAACCCCCTAAACCCCCTAAACCCCCTAAACCCCCTAAATCCCCTAAACCCTAAACTCCCTAAACCCTAAACAGTGGCTCCTGCCAAGGAACTGCGATACAGCACGGAGAGGTGCTTGCAGTACATCTGCGCAGCAGGAGCTGTCAACTTGGGGTTCGACCCTCCCGTACGGCAACAGTCTTCTGAAGACCTACCGTTTAGGGTTAGGGTTTAGGGTTTCGGGTTTCGGGTTTAGGGTTTAGGGTTTAGGGTTTAGGGTTTAGGGTTTAGGGTTTAGGGTTTAGGGTTTAGGGTTTAGGGTTTAGGGTTTAGGGTTTAGGGTTTAGGGTTTAGGGTTTAGGGTTCCAAAGTTCATAAACTATTATTTGTGTGATTCTTCGCAAGAATCTAGCAGTCTGATTAGCTTAAGACCGAATAAAGTTCATAAACTAGTATTTTGTGTGGGGGGAAGGGGGGGGGGGGGGCCTGGCACTGTTGGATTTGGGCGTTGGAAAAGCAACGACGTTTTTGCCAGATGCTGGGGGCAGGCGCTCTTCTTGGGGGGCCAAGGAAGTGGAGGTGCTGGAGAGTTTGCTTCATCTTTGGCTTTTGTAAGGACAATCCGGAGATATACCAGGAGCTGAAAGACCGTCAGACTTCCACAGGCAGTGAGAAGCGGCTAACCGCACCTGACCAATGAATGTGTCACAACCTGGCCCAGGTGTCTCACTGGCACGGTGTATCAAGACAGGCCCCACCAGCACTGCCGCCTTCTCACTGCTTCGGTGCATCCTCAGAGAGAGCTTTAAGCACTTTAAGCAGAGCTCAGAGAACAGAGCTCTCTTTGAGCAGAGCTCTCTTTGGTCGCATTTAGGGTTTAGGGTTTAGGGTTTAGGGTTTAGGGTTTAGGGTTTAGGGTTTAGGGTTTAGGGTTTAGGGTTTAGGGTTTAGGGTTTAGGGTTCAGGGTTTAGGGTTTAGGGTTTAGGGTTTAGGGTTTAGGGTTTAGGGTTTAGGGTACCCCTGAATCTGAGCACTAGCACTGCTCTCCGGAGTCAAGGCTCGAAGCCCGAAAACGAATCCCAAAAGCCTGAGTTCATAGAACCCTCAGGAGCCAAAGGCAAGGAGCTAGGGCTTTAGGGTTTAGGGTTTAGGGTTTAGGGTTTAGGGTTTAGGGTTTAGGGTTTAGGGTTTAGGGTTTAGGGTTTAGGGTTTAGGGTTTAGGGTTTAGGGTTTAGGGTTTAGGGTTTAGGGTTTAGGGTTTAGGGTTTATGGTTTATGGTTTAGGGTTTAGGGTTTAGGGTTTAGGGTTTAGGGTTTAGGGTTTAGGGTTTAGGGTTTAGGGTTTAGGGTTTAGGGTTTAGGGTTTAGGGTTTAGGGTTTAGGGTTTAGGGTTTAGGGTTTAGGGTACCCCCTGAATCTGAGCACTAGCACTGCTCTCCAAAGTTGAAGCTCGAAGCCCGAAAACGAATCCGAAAAGCCTGAGTTCATAGAACCCTCAGGAGCCAAAGACAAACCCGCAAGAATGCTGTGCGCTCTAAAGAACGGAAACAAACCTATGATGACAGCAACCTCTGTCTGAACCACACCTCGAAGTTTGACTGTAAGGTTTTGGGTCAATGGCCTGATCCCTAAACCCCTGAACCCCAAACCCGCTAAGCCTAAATCCCCTGCCCCCCGACCCACTTAACCTGAAAGCCCTCACTTACACCTCCCTGGCCTCGGAAGAAGCCTCGCCATCTGGGCCAAAGTACTCATTCAGGTCCCACTTGGCGCCGTAGAACTGCCTTGGCTTCTTGGCATAAAGGGGTTTAGGGTTTAGGGTTTAGGGTTTAGGGTTTAGGGTTTAGGGTTTAGGGTTTAGGGTTTGGGGTTTACGGTTTGGGGTTTACGGTTTAGGGTTTACGGTTTAGGGGCCTACAGGTGGGGAGGATGCCTTGGGTAGGTGAGGATGCCGGATTACGGTTGGAGGTCTACGGTTTGGGGCTTGTTGTGCTTGGGGTTGCGGGCATTGGGAGGCAGTCAGTTCGGACCCTCAACCCTAAACCCTAAACCCTAAACCCTAAACCCTAAACCGTCAACCCCAAGAAAACAAAAGCAAACTGACCCGCCCCCGCGGTGCCGCTCGCAGAATTGCCGGCGCATGGGCGGGGGCGGCGCAACGGCCGTCGCCGTGTCCAGGCCCCCGAGGAGGCAGGCCTTGAGGTTTGGGGTTTGGGGTTTAGGGTTTGGGGTTTAGGGTTTAGGGTTTAGGGTTTAGGGTTTGGGGTTTAGGGTTTAGGGTTTGGGGTTTGGGGTTTGGGGTTTGGGGTTTGGGGTTTGGGGTTTGGGGTTTGGGGTTTGGGGTTTGGGGTTTGGGGCTTGCGGTTTGGGGTTTGGGGTTTGGGGTTTCGGGTTTCGGGTTTCGGGTTTCGGCTTTAGGCTTTAGGCTTTAGGCTTTAGGCTTTAGGCTTTAGGCTTCAGGGTTCAGGGTTCAGGGTTCAGGTTTAATTGGGGTTTAGGGTTGAGAAAATGGCTTGAAGCCGTTTGTCTGAAGCCTCGTCCGAAGAAAACACATATGGGGGTTTACGAAGATAGGGGAACCCTGAATTAAACCCGCAAATAGTACGATTCCCTTATGATAAGGACCCCAAGAAGGTACCCTAATATCGTAAACCCCCACATCTCGCCCTTAAGTCGATGTGAAAGCTCAAGCAACGACAACAGGGTCTACATCAGGGGTCATCAGGGTCTCAGTGTGGGGTGGGCGTGTTGAGAGCTCTTGGGGCAGTGCGCTGGTTCTTGAGGAACCTAGGGTTTAGGGTCAGAGTTGAAGGTTTAGGGGTCCCAGAATTTTAGCTTGAAGGGTCGAGGGGTTCAGGGTCGAGGGCTGAGGGGGGGCTGCTAGAACCTGCACGATTCAAGAGCCTTGAAACCCTAAACCCTAAACCCCAAACCCCAAACCCTAAACCCTAAACCCTTGAAACCTGAAAATACCCTCATTCCTCTAGACTTCAATTTGTCAATCAGCCTTGGACCCCCGTGGACCTGGATCCTGAACTGTAACACAAACCCCAACACCTTTGGCTCCTAATAGAGGGGTCGGAAAATTTACTAATCGTATTCCCTTATGGTCCCTTTATGATGGCCCCCAACCACCATATTCTAATCATACTAAGGCGCCTAGATTACCCCCAGACCATCACCTCCAAACACGCCCAAACACCCAGTCCTGAGAAACCCTAAACCCTAAACCCTAAACCCTAAACCCTAAACCCAAACCCTGGAATCCTAAAACCCTGCTCCGGGACCCCGAGCCCCTCAACCCCTGAACCCTCAAACCCCGAAGCCCCAAAACTCCAAATCTCTGTACACGAAACCCTACACCCCTGAACCCTAAACCCTAAACCCTACACCCTAAACCCTAAACCCTAAACCCCAAACCCTAAACCCTAAACCCTAAACCCTAAAACCTAAACCTTCGGCACGGAGCACCGCCAGAGGGGTGGGGCCACTTCCTTGTAAGCACACGGAAGGCAGCTCCACATGGAGCGAGGCCTGGGGCTTTTTCTTAAGGGTTTAGGGTTTAGGGTTCAGGGTTTAGGGTTTAGGGTTTAGGGTTTATTTAGGGTTTAGGGTTCAGGGTTGAGGGTTTAGAGTTTAGGGTTTAGGGTTTAGGGTTTAGGGTTTAGGGTTTAGGGTTTGGGGTTTAGGGTGAGCTTTTGGAGGGCTTGGGGGCTCGGGGATGCTAGGGGCTTTCCCGAAGGTTTTAGGGGCTTGAGGTCCACACTTCCGGGTACAGATGAGGCCCCGCGACTTCGCGCTTCGGAGCTTCTGCGAAATCAAGTGGGCATTTCCCAAACTACGTTGGCAAGCTGATGCTCAGAATGCTGGGCCAGGCGGGGCAGCGAGGGCTCATGATGCTGGGGCTTATGATGCTCATCACCCGGGCCGGCGAGAAGAAAGGTTGGAAAGCTGATGCTCATGATGCTGTCGTCAGGCGGGCCAACGAGGGGAAAGGTTGGGAAGCTGATGCTCATGACTCATGATGCTGGGTCAGGCGGGTCAGCGGTTGGGAAGATGATGCTCATGATGCTGGGTCAGGCGGAAAGCTGATGCTCATGATGCTGGGTCAGGCGGGCAAGCGAGTGGAAAGGTTGGAAAGCTGATGCTCACCATGCTGGGTCAGGCGGGCCAGCGAGTGGAAACGTTGGAAAACTGATGCTCATGATGCTGGGGCAGGCGGGCCAGCGAATCGAAACGTGGGGAAGCTGATGCTCATGATGCTGGGTCAGGTGAGCCAGCGAGTGGAAAGGTTGGGAAGCTGATGCTCATGATGCTGGGTCAGGTGGGCCAGCGAGTCGGAAGGTTGGGAAGCTGATGCTTATGATGCTGGGTGCGGTGGGCCAGCGAGTGGAAAGGTTGGGAAGCTGATGCTCATGATGCTGGAGACAGGCGGGCCAGCCAGTGGAAAGGTTGGAAAGCTGATGCTCACGATGCTGGGTCGGGCGGGCCAGCGAGTGGAAACGTTGGAAAACTGATGCTCATGATGCTGGGGCAGGCGGGCCAGCGAATCGAAACGTTGGGAAGCTGATGCTCATGATGCTGGGTCAGGTGAGCCAGCGAGTGGAAAGGTTGGGAAGCTGATGCTCATGATGCTGGGTCAGGTGGGCCAGCGAGTGGAAAGGTTGGGAAGCTGATGCTCATGATGCTGGAGACAGGCGGGCCAGCCAGTGGAAAGGTTGGAAAGCTGATGCTCACGATGCTGGGTCGGGCGGGCCAGCGAGTGGAAACGTTGGAAAACTGATGCTCATGATGCTGGGTCAGGGCCAGCGCGTGGACACGTTGGGAAGCTGATGCTCATGATGCTGGGTCAGGCGGGCGAGCGAGTGGAAACGTTGGAAAGCTGATGCTCATGCTGCTGGGCCAGGTGGGCCAGCGAGTGGGAATGTTGGGAAGCTGATGCTCATGATGCTGGGGCAGGCAGGCCAGCGAGTGGAAAGGAAGCTGATGCTCATGATGCTGGGCCAGGCGGGCCAGCGAGTGGAAACTTTGGCGGGTCAGGCGGGCCAGCGAGTGGAAATGTTGGGAAGCTGATGCTCATGATGCTGGGTCAGGCGGGCCAGTGAGTGGAAGTGTTGGGAAGCTGATGCTCATGATGGGCCAGCCAGTGGAAACGTTGGGAAGCTGATGCTCATGATGCTGGGTCAAGCGGGAAGCTGATGCTCATGATGCTGGGTCAGGCGGGCCAGCGAGTGGAAAGGTTGGGAGGCTGATGCTCATGATGCTGGGTCAGGCGGGCCAGCGAGTGGAAAGGTTGGGAAGCTGATGCTCATGATGCGGGGGCAGGCGGGCCAGCGAATGGAAACGCTGGGAAGCTGATGCTCATGACGCTGGGTCAGGCGGGCCAGCGAGGGTCAGGCGGGCCAGCGCGTGGAAACGTTGGGAAGCTGATGCTCATGATGCTGGGTGAGGCGCGTCAGCGAATGGAAACGTTGGGAAGCTGATGCTCATGATGCTGGGTCAGGCGGGCCAGCGAGTGGAAAGCTTGGGAAGCTGATGCTCATGATGCTGGGTCAGGCGCGCCAGCGAGTGGAAATGTTGGGAAGCTGATGCTCATGATGCGGGGGCAGGCGGACCAGCGAATGGAAACGTTGGGAAGCTGATGCTCATGATGCTGGGTCAGGCGGGCCAGCGAGGGTCAGGCGGGCCAGCACGTGGAAAGGTTGGGAAGCTGATGCTCATGATGCTGGGTGAGGTGCGTAAGCGAGTGGAAGGAAGCTGATGCTCATGATGCTGGGTCAGGCGCGCCAGCGAGTGGAAACGTTGGGAAGCTGATGCTCATGATGCTGGGTCAGGCGCGCCAGCAAGTGGAAAACGTTGGAAAGCTGATGCTCACGATGCTGATGCTGGGTGCCAGTGAGTGAAGGGTCGGGTAGCTCATGATGCCAGTTAGAGAACCATTGCCTGCTCGTGCTCATGACGCTGATGCTGGGCGAGGGAAAGGTTGGGAAGCTGATGCTCGTGATGCCTGTGAGTGTTTTCTATTTGGGGTAATCGGGGGACCTAAACCCTAAATCCTAGATCCTTCTGGAGTTCTTGCTAAGCTGCCCAAACCCGGAACCGAAAATGGGAGGCTGCAGGGTGTGGGGGTGCTCCGTGGAACTCGGGCTCAGGATGTTGGTTACTAGGGTGAATCTATGTAGGGTCTCAGGGCTTGGAGGTTCCTAAACCCTAAACCCTAAACCCTAAACCCTAAGCCCTAAGCCCTAAACCCTAAACCCTAAACCCTAAACCCTAAACCCTACTAGGGCTTTGGGGGCTTTTGGGTTTCTGACTCTCCGCTGGAGGACGATGCCAACGCCGCGCAGTGTCTGCAGGTGCCTGAGGTTGAAGCTTTAGGGAGTTTGAGGGGTTTTAGCGTTCTAGGGTTTTAGGCTTTAGGGTTCTAGGGTTTGGGGTTTAGGGTTTAGGGTTCTAGGGTTTAGGGTTCTAGGGTTTAGGGTTTGGGGTTTAGGGTTCTAGGGTTGAGGAGGGGTTGAGGGTTGAGGAGGGTTTGAGGTTTCGGGGTTCGAGGTTCGGGGTTTGGGGGGCGGAATTCGGCTTCAGGATGTAAAGACTTTCAAGGTTTAGGGTTTAGGGTATATAGCCGCACCCCAAACCTTGAACCCTGAATCCAGAGCAGGCTTGGAAAAAAAGAGAAATTGAAACAGTTTAGGGTTTAGGGTTTGGGGTTTAGGGTTTAGGGTTTACGGTTTAGGGACCCTGAACCCTAGCTAAACCCTAAACCCGAAACTTGCGACCCTGTGCCTAAACCCCAAGCAGTGAAACCTGAAAGTCCAGGCAAAAGACTGAATTTTAAGTCCAGAAGGGTTTAGGGGTCTGAGGACCCTCAAGCCTACTAACTGAAATCTTACACCTGACAACCAAAACCCTGAACCCTTGAACCCTAACCCTAAAACCCGCAACCCCAAAACCTCCAAACCCTAAACCCTAAACCCTTGCCCCTTAAATGCCCTAAACCCTTGAACCCTAAACCCTAAACCCTAAACCCTTGCCCCTTAAATGCCCTAAACCCTAAACCCTAAACCCCAAACCCTAAACCCTTGAACCCAGAAGCCTCCAGACCCACACCCCGCTGCAGGCTTGGGCACGCGTCTCGCAAGAACCGGAGCCCGACCTCCTCGCCGGGAGACTCCTGCAGGCTTGGGGTTCCATGCTTAGGGTTTTGGGTTTGGGGGTTTAGGGTTTAAGGTTTAGGGTTTAGGGTTTAGGGTTTAGGGTTTAGGGTTCCATGTTTAGGGTTTAGGGATTCGGGTTTAGGGTTTTGGGTTTGGGGGTTGGGGATTTAGGGTTCAGGGTTTAGGGTCAGGGTTTTGGGATTTGGGGTTTAGGGGTTTAGGGGTTTAGGGTTTAGGGTTTAAGGGTTCAGGATTTATGTTTAAGGCTTCCAGGAAGATGTTGCCCAGTCGTATTCGAGATGTTCGGGATTCGTCGGGCTGAGGTTTGTCGCGGGGTCCACGCGCCGACTCCCTAACCTGCTACATGCAACCCCCGAAGCCCTCCCTAAACGCTAGGGTTTAGGGTTTGGGGTTTAGGGTTTAGGGTTTAGGGTTTAGGGTTTAGGGTTTAGGGTTCAGGGTTAGGTGCTTAGCACCTTGACTTGTGTGCATAGTACAAGCCCGAAAACCCAAAGGCTAGCATATAAGCCCCTCGGGGTCATATAATTACCCTGACTGCTATAATTCCTATTCAGGAACTATGAAGTCCTAAACTAAACCCTAGCCCTAAACCCTAAACCCTAAACCCTTTTAGGGTTCATTTAGTCTCCCAAGACCTTGGTGGCTTCCAAGAGCTTCGAGTACCTCCGCAACTGCGGTAGTTCAGGCTCTGGACGAGCTCCGGGCTTAGGGTTTGAGGTTTAGGGTTTAGGGTTTAGGGTTTAGGGTTTAGGCTTTGGGCTTTAGGCTTTAGGCTTTAGGCTTTAGGCTTTAGGGTTTAGGGTTTAGGGTTTAGGGTTTAGGGTTTAGGGTGCAGGTTTAGGGTTTATAGGGCAATTTAAAGGAGGGAATGCGGAGCGAATCCGATGGGACTTCAGAAGGTATATGATCGGGATCCACTGTTTCTTCATTTTCTCTTGAGGGGGCCCAAGCCCGAAGTTTACATACAGGGCCATGAGCCCGCGAACCAATTGTAAGTCTACTTTGAACCACCTATAGGCCCCTCACGTACCTTCATCTGGCTCATACGCAAGTTATCAGCTGTAAGTATGGTTACAGGTTGGGCATTGTACCCGAACTTAGGGAATTGACGGAAGAACGGAAGAACCCCAACATCCCAACCTTCTGACCAGGTGTGGCAGGCCGACCACATTTACGCTCCTCCCCCCCCTCCCCCCTCCCCCCCCTCCCCCCCTCCCCCCCCACCCCCCCCTCCCCCCCCTCCCCCCCCCCTCCCCCCCCTCCCCCCCCTCCCCCCCCCCCCTCCCCCCCCTCCCCCCCCTCCCCCCCCCCGGCACTCAACTAAAACTCCCCCAACATAGTGACAGTTTTTTCATGCAACGAATCAACCTTACGCTCTGATGGGTCCAGAGCTGAGAGTCGCAGTTTAGGGGTTTTTAGGGCCTAGGGTGTATGGTTCTGGCTTAGGGTTCAGGGCTTGGTTGTCAGGGTCAGCTCTGAAATGAGGGTAACTTGGGGGGGGGGGCTGCGAGTGTAGGCTGCAGCAATCAGCAGCCGAAGCACCACGCTTAACTCAAAAGCCCCAAAAGCCCCAGAAGCCCCAAAAGCCCCAAAAGCCCCAAAAGCCCCAAAAGCTCCAAAGCCCCAAACGCCCCGAAGCCCTGGCAGCTGAGCCCTAAACCCTAAACCCTAAACCCTAAACCCTAAACCCTAAACCCTAAACCCTAAACCCTAAACCCTAAACCCTAAACCCTAAACAAACCCTAAACCCTAAACCCGGCTGCATCTCGGGCTGGCAAGGAGCAGTTGAATCAGAGGCTGTGGTACGTCCAGGAGCTCCTTCGAAAGCAAGTTGGGCTCGTGCAGTGGCAGGCGCTTCTGGACTCCCCCCAACCCTGAACCCTAAACCCTAAACCCTAAACCCTAAACCCTCAACCCTAAACCCTAAACCCTAAACCCTAACCCTAAACCCTAAACCCTAAACCCTAAACCCGAATCCCTAAACCCTAAACCTCAAACAGCAAAACCTAATGGAACCCTGAGCCTGGATCTGGCAAAGGCCCTTTAGTGTCCGTTGACGGCCCTGAAGGGAGGGGGGGGGGGTGTCCAAGAGTCCGCGCCCCTTCCAAAGAAGACGTTCAGGGTTTAGGGTTTAGGGTTTAGGGTTTAGGGTTTAAGGTTCAAACTCTGTTTCCACCCCGCAACCCGAAATCCTTAAATCCCCACAATCCCCTAAAGCCCCTAAACCTCCCTAAGCCTCCCCAAGCCCCCTCAAACCCTATGCCCTAAACCCCCAAGAACCCCTAAACCCTAAAACCATCCAAAGAACCCTAAACCCTAACCCTAACCCTAAACCCCAAAACCCCAAAACCATCTAACACCCTAAGCCCTAAAACCCGAAACCCTTAACCCTAAACCCGAAAACCTTGAAACCATCTAAACCCTAAACCCTAAACCCCTTACCCTAAAACCATCTAAACCCTAAAATCCTAAACCCCTAAACCCTAAAACACTAAACCCCCCAATACCTGAAAACCCTACAACCCTGACCCCGAGCCCCTAAACCCTAAACCCTAAACCCCTAAACCCTAAACCCTCAAATCCTAAACCCTAGCCCCGAAACCCCAAACCCCTAAACTCTAAACCCTAAACCCTAAGCCCTAAACCTTAAACCCTGAACCCTGAACCTTAAACCCCCTAAACCCTAAAACTCTAAACCCAAAAACCCTAAACCCTAAACCCTAAACCTTAACCCCTCTAAACCGCTAAACCCCGAAAACAAACCCAAAACCTTAAAACCCTCAAGCCCCAAAAGGGCCTCGGTCCGCTGGTCGCGGGGACGCTCGATCTTCAGGTCAACTTGCAAGAGTGGTCCTTCGGGTTTAGGGTTTAGGGTTTGGGGTTTAGGCTTAGGGTTTAGGGTTTGGGATTTAGGGTTTAGGGTTTGGGGTTTAGGGTTTGGGGTTTGGGGTTTAGGGTTTAGGGTTTGGGGTTTAGGGAGGGCTTTCGGCTGAGTGACAAGGTTTGTGCAGGGTTTTGGACCCTTTTTACAAGGGCTTGAAAAGAGGTTCGAGGGTTTTCCAAGGGCTGCTTCAAGGTCATAGTAGCTTTCGGAAGGGCTTTCAAAAGGGTTCTCAAAGGGCTTCCCATGAGTTTGTAAGTCTTCGGCTTCCCGGTGCTAGGGTTTGAGGATATAGGGTCAGGGCTGATGGGCTCCAAGGCTTTGGCACGTTTTGGGATGTAAGCTTTGGCATAGGAGAGGGGTTTTGGTGTAGGGGCATGCAAGTTTTGAGTCTACTGAGGGTCTTGGGAATCCCAAATCCTAAATCCTAAATCCTAAACCTGAACCCTGAACCCTAAACCCTACCGGTCGACATCGGCCGAGAGGCCCGGAGTAAGGTCATCGCTGACATGCAGGAAGCAGGCATCATGGAGGTAGATGAAGGCTTCACCCTCTCTCAGCTCCAGCCTCGGCTTGTGGGCTGCAGATCATTTTCGGGTTCAGGGTTTCGGGTTGAGGGTCCCGAAGCCCTAAACCCTAAACCTTAAACCCTAAACCCTAAACCCTAAACCCTAAACCCTAAACCCTAAACCCTAAACCCTCAACCGCGGCAGCGCGAAGCTTCCGCGAAGGCGTGCGTCTTGGAATCTGGCAAAGGCCCTTCCCGAGTCCAAAGTGTGATTCCTTTGGCACTTGGGCATCTGCTACACAGGGTTTAGGGTTTAGGGTTTAGGGTTTAGGGTTTAGGGTTTAGGGTTTAGGGTTTAGGGTTTAGGGTTTAGGGTTTAGGGTTTGGGGCTTAGGGTTTAGGGTTTAGGGTTTAGGGTTTAGGGTTTAGGGTTTAGGGTTTAGGGTTTAGGGTTTAGGGTTTAGGGTTTAGGGTACCCTAGATGTTCCTCCTTATACTAGCAGTCCTTTATAGGGATTATAGTATCCCCGATTGGAATCCCTATTAAGGACTGCTAGTATAAGGGGGAACATGCCAAGGATCTACATATTAGAGTATATACAAAATCTTTTTAAAAATGGGTGCAAGCAAGGTCCAAAATCCTGAAGCCCAAACCCCTCTGCGCCGACCCACTACGGCAACCCCTAAAACCCTCAAGCCCTCAACTTTCATGCCCCCCAAACCCTGAACCTTGAACCTGATTTCCTAGCCCCGCGCCTCAAAGCCCAACTCCTGAACCCCAAACCCTCATAAGGGAGCCCAAAGCCCAAAACAAAAATCGTACAGGGTACCACTGGGCTACCAAGACTAAAATCCCTAAGCTCCTCACAGCCAGGGAGCTGAACGGGATTGTAGGCTTTGGCCCTGCCAGGGTGGGCTCCGAACCGGTTTAGGGTTTAGGGTCTAGGGTAGAGGGTTTAAGGTTTAGGGTTTAGGGTTTAGGGTTTAAGGTTTAGGGTTTAGGGTTTAGGGTTTAGGGTTTAGGGTTTAGGGTTTAGGGTTTAGGGTCTAGGGTTTAGGGTTTAGGGTACGGGGGCAACCGAAAGGGAGAGGAAACCAACCCCAACAGTCGCCAAAGATTTCACCCTGAACCAACCAGCAAACAACAGGAACTCAAAACTTCTTTTTGCTACCAGGCGCATGGCCCAGTCTTGAGCCATGAAGATTACCGGGTACATTGACCCTTTCAACTCCCAACACCAACTCCTTTCTACAATACCAACTGCAGCTCCGCACTCCCCCTGTCCTAGGATTTCCTAGGACACATTGGAGGTGCAGATCTTAGGCCAAAAACTGCCATTAGGGCAGCAGCCAGCTGCTTAAAATGCACAATATGGTTTTACGTCATCCAGGACGAAATTATAGCTCATTGGCTAAACCCACTAACCACAGAGAATCTTTTTTCCACCATGATCCTCTTATCATTGAAGACTCTTCGGCCTTCTTCACCACAAACCGTGGTCTTCGCTACGCGAAAAGCTACTGACTTCTACTATCAGGGATTTCCATACCCTTAATAGTAACCACCACATTTTCAGCGCATTGGCCGATTCAGCACACTTGTCTTCAGAAAGAGAAAAACCATCCCTTCATCCATACCATCCAGTCACTTCTTCTTCCGATGGTTATCGATACTGAGGTGAAGTCGCAGCAGAACATACTCTAGGTCCGAAACTGTAAGAACAGGGTCCTGCACGCACCTTTGAATTGAAGATACCAATCCTTCTCTCTTCGCGTCCTCAATCGCTTGGCAAGATTGACCCAGCTCTGCATCCACAGTGATAGACGCTTGTGCATCCACATCAGAGGAACGATCCTTTTCCTCAGGACCTTTCACCACTACCACCTCTTCCTTCTTGGGGCTTTGACTTTTCTCCTTCTTCTTCGTCTTTCCCACGACGTTTGACTTTGTGCGCATTTTCGAGGCTTTTTCCCCTGCAGAAACCGCCGCATTGGATGATGATCCACCCTTCTCAATGTTCGCCGGCATCTTCTTCGGCTTTGGAACCATGAGGGTATAAGGATCTTCGATAGCTGCAGTTTTCTTCTTCTTTTTGACCTTTTTTACCTCCTCCTCAACGGCAACCTCCGTCTCCGAAGTCTCAACCACCTCCTTTTCGGCAGGAATATCCTTGCTGGACTCCCTTTCTAGGGACCTCTTTTTCCCTCTTTTGGGATCTCTCACTTCTTCCACGTTGGCTCGCTCAAACCATATCCTCAGGTCATTGACCCATTCTTCCACCTCCGCCAGCGAAACCTCATACGACTTCACTATTTCGTGAAGTTCCAGCAAGGACAGCATACCAGTGGTCCACGAACACCATTCTCTATCCATCTGGTCAGCGTCTCCCTTGAACTTCAGGAGTTTGAACAGTGGGTCCGCCTCTGCACGAGCCAAATCTGACTTGCCATTGGACAGAAATGAAATCGCCTCCATCAACAGTTCCACCATTTTGGTATCATCGTCGTAAACCATGAAATCCTCCTCACCATCATCGAACCGTTCAGGAGAGATCTCCTTTTCTCCACCTTTTGAACCAGAACTTCTCCTTGGACCATCCCTTGGGGGCGTCCTTGGAGACCTTGGCCTCTGTTCATCCAGCGGATTACCATGCTCAAAGACGCACATGTCCCCATAACGACACTTCCCAGACTGAGCAAACTGGATACACCTTACTCCAGTTGCGTCATGTGAGAACGCACATTCCTTTCCAGCGAAGCAGGGTCTCCCCGCCACATAGTACTTGCACCAATACGATTGCAGCATCACATCATCTTCTGAATGGATGAATTTGCAGTTTTCACCAAATTTGCAGCGATCTTTTCCCCTGCTGAACCAATAGCAGAAGCCTTTCTTCCTCTTCTCCAAGCGCTCCGCCTCGTACCGGTCCATAGGGCGATTCTGCTCTACATGAACATTGCCACGTACCTGAGAACTGCTCCCTTCACCCAAGATGCTATCAGTATTTGATGCTTGGAGTACAGCTGGAAAACCTGGCCTTGGTCCTACCACCTTCATGATTGGTTTTCCGCCAGCTCCTGAGCCACGCTGAGACGATCCAAAAACATTGAACATTTTCATGAAGGCCTTTCTAGCGCCGATCTTCTGCACCCTTTTGATTGGATGTTTCATTGCTCCAACCTTGCATCCAGATACGTTCAAACGACACAACCTCCTATACCCAGCTCTATACCCCTTCTTCCAAAGAGCCATAAGAATTCTAGAGGCAGTAACATTCTCCACCTCTACCTTTTCCAACTGTCCCTCACTTTCCGGAACAAACCCATCCAACCCATCCATATCTGAAGACCTTTCCATCTTTTTTGACACCACGTCGTCGAGGTAGTCTTCCGAGATCCAGGGTAAGTTCCTCTTAGAGGAAAGATTGTCACCATTGTCTGGTCCTTCACCAGGATACCCCTTGGTGCTGTCAAAGATCTTACCAGTAGCGCGGTCCTGCGTAGAGAAATCCCAGTTGGAAGCAACGCGAGAGTACACTGACCACAAGAAAATCCTTGTGCTAGCCAGTCTTGACGACCCACTGGATGTCTCCTCTTCCGGAGAAACTTCTGGCGCTTTGCCATCCCTTCCAGTGTCAGCAATTGTCTCACCTCCAGCATCTTCAATGGGAATAAGGGATTCATTGTTCCCTGGATCAAGTACCGCAACTTCCTGTCCAAGAATTTCCAGCACAGTTGTTGAAGGATCCACTTCTTCATCAGCATCGTCGTCCATCCTTTTCCAGAGAACCTCCAATTGATCAGCGCATGTCGCCGCCTGAAGGAACTCCATCAATTGAGCCCTCCCGCGCTGCCAGAGAAATTCCAAATTCACCACTGACCCTTGGCCTCCTAGGGTAAGGAACGGAGCAACCAATTTGGCTACCCTCGCCATAAGTTCGACGTGAACTTCCATGCCTGGACTGCGGCTCCAATCGTAGGCAATTGCCTCCATAGCAGTTCCAAACTTATCAGTATTTCTGAATTCCCCTTCCAGACCAATGCACCCATCACCGAAAGAGGATAATTTCCCACCACTGGCAAGCACGGATTATCATGGAACGAATGATGCAAATCACCATAATGTCCTTGATCTCTCCTTTGAAAAAGGAGTGCCCCAGTCCCTAGCTGGGCATTCAATTCATCCACTTGAACCATTTCAGCACATATCCTCTGCGCTGCAGTCGCTATTGCCGGCCAGATGGTACGATCGGTCAAACCGCGACGCATAACCCAATCAGTTGTTGGCGACTGAATCAGCGTTCCTGGATCATACACCATAACCACCATCGCACCATCATCCATTGACTGATCAGCATCGTCCTCCAGTGCCAGGTTCAATTCCTGTTCGCTTGCACCTTCGGATGACATGCTAATAACCAAATTTCGATCCATCTTATTGGACCCCTTCTGACAGTCCCTTTGCCCCACAGGCAACTTGCCGACAGCAACCTTCCAATAAATCCGACTCAGAAGGCCTTTAATAAGCAATTGCTGAGGGTCCTTCTTCACCGGACGAACATCCAATGTCTTCGCACCATCACCACGGAGTTCATTGCTCCCACCTTCTCCTTCTTTTTGGTCAGTCTCCTCGCCAGAAATTTGCACTGCTCCTTCCAGCGCCGTCTCCTGTCCAGCCACTTCTTGCCCAGGAAGAACTTGAGCGCTTTCAGATACATTCACCTGTCCAGCAACACCTTGCCCAGGTAAAACCTCATCCGTGGAGCCCACCGCCAGCGAACCAACTATAACTGGGCCATCCCTTGCTCTTTTTTGAGACTGTTCAGTTCGACGAGAAGGTTGTGGTAGCGAAAAAACTTGAGAAGTCACTTCTTGGCGGGTCTCCCCCCGCGACGCTTTGTCGCGCCCTTCGCCAAGGTGAACCGATTTTTTCTGCCCATCATTGGGGCTTGAAGAACCAACCATCGGAACATTGCCACGAATCGCAGTTCTCTGTGAATCCCTTTCTCGCAAAAAGATTTCCCTCATGCGTCGCGCGGCATTGGTCTCTTCTTCGCTTGAATCGCCTGAGGAATCGTCATAAGAGACCAAAGCCTCTGCCTGATCATCATCATCCACCACATCTGCCCACGCTCTGCTGAACCGACACGACAACCCACCACGAGGCTTCAGTTCCAGTGGTTTTGGCTTTTCCACCACTTCCGCCGGGCTGCACTCGCCGTTGTGAGCGAGAGCGTGGCACCTGTCGCACCTGTTTTTTATCCAGCAAGGGCCTTCCCCTTTTTACAGGGTTTGATCTTGACCGATACTTTTTTGTTGGCGGGTTCACCGGCGGCATTCCAACTCCCACCAACTGCAGCTTCTGTACGCACAGCGGAGACCTCTGCGCAAGCGTCCAAGCGTCACGGTACTTGACCTTATCAAAAAGCTCCCGATAGGAGCCTCGCGGCATTGTTTTTGCACCGGAGCCTTCAGCTTCACGCACCTGAGCGAGGATTCGCACCGCCTCTCTTCCAGCTTCCTTGCTCCCAGAAGATTGTTGTACCCGTACAGATGCCTCGGAAGGAACTGCTTTTTCCGGTCCCTCCGGACGATATCGGACACCACCCACCAATTGCAGAATTTTGCATGCTGTCACTTTGTTGATCCCTTGGTCAACCAAATCCTCCACAAAGATGAACTCCTGCAGGTCCGACACGTTGGTCACACCAAGTGTAATCATCACCTCACTCACATGAGGGGTATACACCCAAAGGTGTTCGTTGCGAGCCATCCAATTTTCAATTGGCTCCTCTGGATTTTGAAGCAGAGTACCAGTGGACTCAGCCACCGAATTCTTTTGTTCATCATCTTCTGCTTCATCCAGGGTACCCTTTTCACCTTCTTTTTGTGACACATTGGTCATTTGCAGCGCTTTTGGTACTGAGGATGATGAAGATTCAGCTCCCCCACTCGCAGGTGGCTGAAAAGTGCTCCTGTCCGAAATCTCCAATCCTCTCTCTCTTTCAAACCGGACCTGATTGGCCACATGTACCAAGTGTTTCAGGTGCGCCAGCCGCTCATCTGACATCTCGTCGTGGGAAAATCTGCAGGAATTGAACCGCTTACGGCAATGTCCTCTGAGGTAATAATCGAAACAGCAATGGTGGAACCCCGCGTCCCTTAGTGCCTTCCTGGAAGCATTGTCCCAAGCTTTGCCGGGTTCCCAAGTCCCTTCCAATGCTATGTCATCGTCGTGAAGATACCTGCATGTACTCCCATACTTGCAACCACCTTGATTGTAATATAGACACAGCCGACTTTTTGGCTCACCCAACATAGGTTCACCCTTTGATGCACCTTTACCAAAGTTGTACTTGGCCCGGAAGGCTGAATCCTCCCGCTCCTGCTGTGCCTCATCCACTGTGCCTTCCTCTGTAGGAGGGTCACCAATGTTCCCATCCTCATCTCCAGCTTTTTGGCTGCTCCTTGGCTCAGTTGGTCCACCCCCTGGCCAACCTTCACCATAACGACGATGCTCATAGGAACACTCATCACCATTGCGACACCTTCCCTGATTGAAGAACTTGCACAGCTTGCTGTATCCAGGTGACACAGTCTTTGGAGTCATGTGAACCTTTTTGTACTGGTCAGGATCCATGTAGGCTTCCATTGGCTTGCCCTCCCTTTTACTCATGGATTCCACTGCACCATCAAGCTCCTGCAAAAATCGCTTGGTGTCCAGCCAAAGCGCGTTCCAAAGCTCATCTTTCCCTTGACTCAGCACCGTTGCCACCGCTTCACCCACAACTGGTCGAGTAAATCTCCTTTTCCTACATGCCAGTTCGAAGAGCGCGTTGTGGTACTGTTTTCGGGAAAAGGTGATCCTCTCTCCCAAGCCTGTGCCTTCTGTACCATCGGGCTTCCAACCATCACTTTGCAAGATGCCATACGCGCGCCGAGCTTCCGCATTCAGGAATGCATGGTCTGCAACACACTCCTGTATCTCATCCATTGGACGACCCAACAGCATCCCAGTGATTTTGCCCACATAGGCCTTATCAGCGTTTCCATCCTCAAGAAGAGCTTTATAGATCTTTTCTCCATAGAGTTGCCTTTCCTCTCGTTCTTCTGAGGATAACTCCTGATCGGCAAACCCTTCATCGGATTGCTCTTCCTCCCGTTTCCAGTCCCATTGACCGTCGGAACTTTGGTACCATTGACCAGCATACCATGAATCTGTCCACCACGTACTCCAGCCGCTGTCTTTCCATTTGCGCAGCGTCGAAGAAGAGTCCTCCTCGTCCTCTTCCAAAACCAGAAAGGTGTCCAAGATCACGGTACCATCATCTTCCACCCTTTTCACTGTTCCATTGACAGTATCACCAAATTTGAAAGGAGATGTACTCTTCCCTTCCGCAGGAATCAGTACATTCAAATCGCCATAGTCCAAAAAAGCTCCATGCCCATTGATGCAGCGTACTAGACCAACGATCTGATCTCCCTCTTGATAGCAATGCTTCCCAGGTGTATCCAAGGCTCCCGCTCTGGGCACTTTCTTCGTTGGTTCTTCAGAAACCGGAATTGTTTCTTCGGCTCCCGGAACATCCCTTGTTTCCACCTTGGAGGCAAACTGCTTGTCCTGCTCCACGAGTCCCACAGGCTCATCTCCTTTGCTCTCCTGGATTTCACGACCTTCCTTTTTTCCAGCCAATGGCTTTGCCTCATCTGTTGTAGTTCGCTCGGTGTCGACTTCCGGCGATCTTCCAGACGGCAATACTTCCCCCTTCATGGGAGCGGACCCATCATTGGAGTCTTTTGTCACACCTTCTGCAGCAGGCAAATTTTCTTCCACTGCAGGGCGATTGGATTGCTCATCCACGGCAGGTACATTTTCTTCCACCGCAGGCTCCTTTGGCTCCATGGTTTCCAAAGGAGAATTGCCACCATCATTGACCACAGCTGCCTCATCGGCTCCGGTGTAGCCCTTGCCATTTCGTTCCTCGCGGCTAACTTCAGGTTGCACCAGTGCGTCCACCTGTGAACCTCCGTCATCAGCTGCTGCGGAGACCTGCGCCCCATTGTTGCAGTCGCCCGTGGAACGTGACACCATATGCACCTCAACCCGTGCTTCTTTCGCACTCCAGGTACTATCTGGCGCATTGACCCGCGCATCATTGGCGCTCCAGGCCTCATCTTTCAGATCTTCCGTGTCTCCAGCTATTCCAGAAGCTTCTTTTTCTCCCTGAATGGCAAGATTCTTGGCACCAAACGAAGAGACCTCCTCAGTCGTGACGCACAACTTTTTCCCTCCGTCCTCCAAATCTCCAGGATCACCTTCCTGAACGACAGGTACCACATCCACCACTCTCTCTTCTGCAGCCGACACAGTTCCAATCTCCACATTGGGCATTTTTTCTTCTGGACCCACCGATTCCACCGCTGCCACACCCTCAGAAAGCGCTTCCATTCCTTCCCGATCCAGATGTTCTTCAGCGATGTCTGCTCGGATCCCAGAAATCCCTTCCTCATCAGGAGAACCCGAGGTCGGGGCGTCACCACCAGCCCTAAGACCGCTATCCCTGATAGTAGAGGAAAAATCCTTTTCACCTACACTATTTACACCGCTGTTGACACTTTCCACGCTACCCTGTTGTGCCCTGAAAGACTCAGTAGGCGACGAGGACGAAGTAGTACCCAGTGCTGGCTCTTCTTCCACAGGGACAATGCCCATTCCAACACCAGACCCTTCACTGTTTCCAGCCATCCCAGTCTTCTTCGGCAACACCCATTGGGTATCTCCCGTGTCTAAGCAGTAAAGATATTCTCTCCCATACTCGTGAAAATGGCGTTCCCATGTCTTCCCATCACAGTCGATGATTGGAAGGTCAGCAGCTTGAGACACTTTGCCTCCACCATCAGCGTATAAGTCTTCATCTGACTCCTGCTGTATTCTTGCTGCCTCCAATTCCAGGATTTCTCCTTCTCTCATCACCATAGCAACAGGAACGACTCCTTCTGCGTCCCCAACGACGAGGATACTGCTTTTTGTCGCAGCAACAGGCGCAGTTTCTTCCGCTTCACCTGTCAACAGATCACCACTTGCAGCCGCGAAGCTCACTTTGTTGCGAGCTCGCTTGGAAACAGGGATAACATCCCCAACCAGCTCTGTCTGGCACCCTTGCTCCACCATCTTTGACGTAGAGGAGCTTGTCGTTGGCGCTCCCGTTGATTCAGCAGGTCCCGCAGCTCGAAGACAAAGCCCATGTTTACTCAGAAGGCGCAGCAAAACTGCTTCCATCTGGTCTTCCAGTCCTTCCACCACCGGCTTCTCTCCGCCACGCATACCACCAGCATCAACCAGAGCTTCCACATTGGGAACAACTTTTTCACCCGTTGCAGACCTTTTGACACCACCTTCACCTTGATCGCCCACATTGGAGCTCGATGATGCCGTACCAGTCCGTAACCAGTTGGTCGCCATGGCTTCAACTATCACCCTAAAGCCGAAACACAGACCGCAGGGAACCTAATTTGGGCTCATAACCTACGGGGGCAACCGAAAGGGAGAGGAAACCAACCCCAACAGTCGCCAAAGATTTCACCCTGAACCAACCAGCAAACAACAGGAACTCAAAACTTCTTTTTGCTACCAGGCGCATGGCCCAGTCTTGAGCCATGAAGATTACCGGGTACATTGACCCTTTCAACTCCCAACACCAACTCCTTTCTACAATACCAACTGCAGCTCCGCATAGGGTTTAGGGTTTAGGGTTTAGGGTTTAGGGTTTAGGTTTGGGGTTAGGGTCTAAGTAAGGTCCAGGGCTCAGGATTTTGCCAACGTGCTTTTGAGGGTTTTGAAGAGGGCTTTTAGTGGGCTGAGGTTTTAACCCCTGAACCCTAAACTAGGAGGGTTTAGGGTCAAGCTTCCCGCAACCTCTGAGCCGTAGACCCCAAAACCCCAACACCCGACTCCTAAACCCTAAACCCCAAACTCCAAACGCTAAACCCTAAACCCTAAACTCCAAACCCTAAACCCTAAACCTTACACCCTAAACCCAAAACCGTAACCCTAAACCCTAATCCACCCATCCCGCAAGCCCCAAACCTCACAGTGGACCCTAAACCCAAACCCTGAATACCCCGGGGTTAAGGTTCAGGTTTCAGGGTTTTGGGCTTAGGTTTCAGGGTTTCAGGGTTTCGGGGGTATTGGGGTTTTGGGGTTTTGGGGTTTTGGGGCTTTGGGTTTAGCAACAGTCCTGAATACGGATTATCATAGGTGGTACTATAATCCCTATTAAGGACTGTTAGTATAAGGGGGAACCTCCCAAGGTTTAGGGTACCTTAAACCCTAAACCCTAAACCCTAAACCCTGTGTAGGGTTTGGGGGAATACCGGAGCGCTGCCTCGGCTTCAGCTGGAGACTGGTCGGCTGGAAGGCGACGAGCATCACTACCTGCTTGGAGGTTCATGGTACTTAGCAACCCAATTATAATTGTACTTATAACCCAAGTGTAACCCAATTGGGGTACTTAAGAGGTTTATAAGTGGGTTATAACTACACTTATAGTTGGGTTGTAAGTACCCTGAACCTCCGAGTGCAGTTTCGGGCTTCAGGTCTTGGTAGCCCAATCACCACATGGGAGTTTACGGGACCCTTAGTATAGACTAGTTACTTTAGACGGGAACCCAGAACACAGAAGCATGGAAAGTGGTGGGTTTGGGGTTTAGGGTTTCCCCCCCCTCCTGTGGTTCATGGTCTGTGCTTCATAGTTCATGGTGCATTTATGGTTCAGGCGTAGCTGGGGTTTAGAGTTATGTAGGCTTCATGGCTTAGGGTCAGGTGTAGGTCCAGGGTTTCACCTCTCCCTGGTTGCGCGCTGGGTTTATGGTTCAGGGTTGAGGGTTCAGGTGCTTAAGGTTTCAGGCCTGCCCTCTTGACTTCCGTGGTTCATGGCGGGGTTTTAGGGTTCAGGGTTGCGGGTTTTTGCGAAGGGCTTCACTCTTCTCCCTTTCCGTCCCTAGAACTGCTTCTATTCTCCGAAAACCCGGCGTCCTTGAATCCAAACATTCTACACCGTGCTCAGAAAGTCTACGGCCGCCTTACGGCGTCCGCAGTGGAGGATGTGGCGCCACACCTCTTAAGGGGTAAAAGGAGATGCAGTCCCAGTAGCCCCTGAATAACCTCTAAAGAACCCCCAAGGTCCCTTACTTGAACCTCTTCCGAAGCTGCTTGGTGGGGTTGATGGTTCAGGGGTTGGGGGTTTCGAAGGTTTTGGGTTCTGGGTTTGGGTTTAATGTCGTTCGGGCCCTAAACCCTAAACCCTAAACCCTAAACCCCAATGAAGTTTAGGGCTGGGTGCCAGGATCCCAAATGCTCTATTAGATTTTAGGGCTTAGGGTCCAGGGCTTTCGGTTTAGGGTCGAGGCCCTAAACCCCCCCAAAAATCGGGTGGAAGGCTATCTGGGGTTTGCCGCAGAGCGACCTCAGGAGGGCTCTTCTAAAGACCTTGAAGGGGTCCCAAACCCCCCAAAATCGCCCTAACACACTGTGTTAGGGCGATTTTGGGGGGCTTGCCCGCAAGCCCGGGTGTAGGGTTTAGGGTTTAAGGTTGAGGGTTGAGGGTTGATGGGTGCTGTGACGGGCGCCAGGATTGTGATGGCTCTAGTTCAATGATAGGTGGTTCTGGAACCCATGCCAACCCCTAAAAACCCCAACTATGTCAACCACTAAAAACCCCAACTATACTACACCCCTAAACTCTAAGACCCTAAACACCCGAAAACCTGAACAACCCTCAAAAAACATGCCCAAAAACCTCTCACCCTCGATGGATCCAGCCCCCCCTTGGATCGCCTCCTGTGGGCCCAACTGCTTGACCTTCTCCTGCAAGGGTCGGTCGTCCCCGGAGGCCTGAAGGAATTGTGGAGTTAGGAGGTTTAGCGGGGAGGGTCATGGTAGTCCTTGAGCATGTCATGCGTCATTTTCCGGAGTGTACATGACATGAGGCAGGATCTGTATTTCCAGTATCTCCAAAGGCCGAATATGGGGAACTAGCCTCGTCAATGCTTTTCAAAACACGCTATGTCAACTACAGCAATAATTAAGCCTCCTGAACTCTCCCAGGAAGGGCTGGGAAGGGGAGGATTGGCTGAGCTTAGAGCTCACCTTGACCATTGGGGGGCAAGGTTTCAGTCCCGACCTCGTCTTCAGAGACCTCATCTTCAGACTGGTCCAACTCGGAAGTCCCCGTGGGGTGGTGCACGAGCCTGCTGGCACATACACGACTTCCCGCATTCCGACATCGCTATGCCCCCAGGAACGAGAAAGCTCCGGCCCTAAAACCTGGAACCCTGCACCCCTCAACCCTCAACCAGCCACCCTGATCCCTCAGCGCTCCACCCTAAACCCTAAACCCTAAACCCCTAAAGCCCCCAACCAGCAACCCCAAATCCTGAACCGCCTGAGCCCCCATGAGTTTCCCCTAAACCCTAAACCCTAAACCCTAAACCCTAAACCCAAAGAGGCCAAGGCACGCCGCACTTCGACTGCTCACAGTCCGGGCAAGGTGCAGCCGTGCAGCCCTTGGGATCCAAGGAGCTTAGAGGGATCAAGGGGATCAAGGGTTTGAGGGGTTTAGGGTTTAGGGTTTAGGGTTTAGGGTTTAGGGTTCAGGGTTCAGGGTTTAGGGTTTAGGGTTTAGGGCTTCGGGTTTAAGGTTTAGGGTTTAGGGTTTAGGGTTTAGGGTTTAGGGTTTAGGGTTTAGGGTTTAGGGTTTAGGGTTTAGGGTTTAGGGTTGGCTTAGGGGGGGTTTAGGGGGTTGGGCGGGGAGGGGAAGGTTAGGGTGTAGGAGCGGTTTAGAGGTTCCGAGGGGGGTTTAGGGGTTTTAGGGGGTTTAGGGGTTAGGCTTTAGGGGTGTAGGGGTTTAGGGGTTTAGGGCTGTAAAGGTTTAGTTAAGGGTTGAGGGTTGAGGGGTTCAGGGTCTTGGGGTTTAGGGTTTTAGGGGGTTTAGGGGGGTTTAGGGGTCGGGCTTGGGATACAGGGACTGGTGCTTAGGGCAGGATGGGTGCCGGCCAAGCACTCCTGAGCCCTACAACCCTAAACCCCCCAACCCCAAACTTGGGACATTCCCCCTTATACTGACAGTCCTGAATGGGGATTAGAATAGGGGTTACTATAATCCCTTTTAAGGCCTGCTAGTATAAGGGGGAGTCAGCAACCCCGCATCTTGCAGAGTTTTCGGTTTTCCCAAGTGGTTTTTAGGGCTCTTCTTCGCTAAAAAAGGGGACCCCTTATACACCCCTGATATGCCCCGTACAACCCCAGGGCCCATACTTCAGAAGCCTTTCAAGGAGGTACGGGACCATATTACAGGGCCATAGAACTACCCTTAGGTAAACACCCCAGACTCCGCAGGCCCCTTGAACATGCCAAACCGCCCCACCAAGCGCTCAACCTGAACTTATCTGGGGGTTTCCGAAAATAGGGGTACCCTTTTTGAAGAGTCCCTTTAAGGGGATTCTCTTCTATTTGGGGTGTAGACAGGGGTGCCCCTATTTTGGGAAATCCCCATCTTGTTTCCGAGCAGCGCAGCAACCACGCCGCCAAGGCCCTCGAGACTCGCGTCGATGAAGCGCAGAGCCTTCTGGCCCTGCACGCGCTTCTGGTGGTTTTAGGGTCTAGGGTTTAGGGTTTCGGGTTTACGTAGGGTTTAGGGTTTAGGGTTTAAAGTTTAGGGTTTTAGGGTTTTAGGGTTTTTAGGGGGAGGTAAGGGAAGCTAAACCCGCCAAATCCAACAATCTCCCAACCCCCCTGCCCCCCCAAACCCCAAAGCCCTGAACTGTTTCAAGCTCTGTCCTGGCACTCCTATGCCGCACGGGCCGTGCACCTCTGCAAGTACCCGGCCCTGCCCCTTCAACAGGGTGCCTTGATTGAAGTGCTTAGGACTTCTTAAGGGGTTGGGAGGTGTCACAGCGTTTCGGGGCCTCGGCATTGAAGACATACACCCCATTGCTTCGTAGAGCACGGGTTTTGGAGAGGGTTCTTTCTCTCAAGCAAGGAGAGCCCCAACTTAGAACTAGAATCCTAAAACGCCCTGAATCCCTAAAACCTCAAAAGCCCTCAAACCCTAAACCCTAGGCTCAGCCCCTCAGCCCTATACCCTACCCTAACCCCTAAACCCTCAACCCTACACGCTAAACTCCAAAACCCAAAGCCTAAACCCTAAACCCTATACCCTATACTCTGAAATATACTCTGACACCCTCAACCCTAGACTCCAAACCCTAAAAACCCAAAGCCTAAACCCTAAACCCTGAACTCTAGACCCGAAACCCTAAACCCTAAACCCTAAACCCTAGACCCTAAACCCCCTAACCCCAAACCCGAGAACCCGAAGCCCGCCTCGGGCACTTCGGCGGTCGGGGGTGAGAGTTGCATGGTCCACCCCGAGGCTTTCCCGAAGTAGGCGCTGGCCACCTCTTGCTTCTTCGGGGGGACTTGCCTTTTGGAGGCCAAAGGAACCCTAGTAGGGTTTAGGGTTTAGGGTTGAGGGTTGGGGTTTAGGCTTCAGGGTTTAGGGTTTAGGGTTCAGGGTTTACGGTTTGGGATTTAGGGTTTAGGGTTCAGGGTTTAGGGTTCGTGCACCTTCATAGGAGTTTTGTCGTATGACCCCAAGCTTAGGGTTCATCCGGTCCCAAGGTTAGCAGGCCTTAATCCTAAACGCTCTAGAGGATCATGGGAGGGGCTTAGGCTTTAGGGCACTGTTGAGGTTTTTAGGGTTTAGGGTTTAGGGTTTAGGGTTTAGGGTTTAGGGTTTAGGGTTTAGGGTTAGAGGCTCAAGGTCTAGGGCATAGGGCTTAGGGCTTAACAGGGTCATGAGCCATGGGCGGGGCCTGCCGCGGCGTTCGTGTGAGGCGGTCTTCCAGTCGATGCCTTCGGGGCTAAGGTCTCAGGTTTTGGGCGTTTTTGGGTTACACGGTTACACGGTTTATAGGCTTCAGGGTTCAGGGCCAAAACACAAATGACCAATTCCACTCTGCTTCCGAATCCCACAGCCTTTGAAGAGACCGTTTAAGGCGAAGGGTTTCGAAATTTAGTATTGAAGGCTCCCACAATTTCCCGCCGTACACCTCCAGACATACCCCCCCTCAGTGGCCCGACCAAGTACGGAACCCAGCACCCGCCGACGCTAAACCCTAAACCCTAAACCCTAAACCCTAAACCCTAAACCCTAAACCCTAAACCCTAAACCCTAAACCCTAGACCCTAACCCTGAACCCTAAACCCTAAACCCGAAACCCGAAACCCGAAACCCTGCTTTGGGGGACGATGACTCCTAAGCCCGGAGCCCCGCACCTTTAAGAGCCTTTGAAGCCCTGAGCCCTCGAACTCTCTGACGCCCGAGCCCCTCAACGCCCTGGCGCCTCAACTTACTGGTTCTTCGTAGGGCTTAGGGTGTAGGGTTTAGGGTTTATGGTTCTGAGTAGGGAATGAGGGATGTGGGCACACTGAAAACCAACCCTTTCGAGCGGAAACAAGGCACCTCTTTCCCGAGCTCCCTTTTAAGAACCAAGTTTCGGGGGTGACCACCTTAGGGTCGCGAGTTGGGATCCTCCCAGCCTAAGTCCCAAACCAGCCTGACGATCTCTTGCCTCGCTTGGCCCAGGGATCCTGCGCAGGGTTTAGGGGTTAGGGGTTAGGGGTTAGGGTTTAGGGTTCAGGGTTAGGTTTTAGGGCGAGGTTTTAGGGCTTCGGGTTCAGGTTTAGGTTTAGGTTTAGGTTTAGGGGTCAATCTTCCAGGGCACCTTCATGCGGCTTACGCAGCAGGGTCACAACCGACGATTCAAGTGCACAGGTGATCCCACGAAGGTTGTGGCTTACGTAACGTTGTGTGGAGATGCACCCTGTCTTGCACGGCGGCGTGGGTTTAGGGTTTAGGATTTAGGGTTTAGGGTATAGGGTTGTAATTGCACTGCTTGCGTGGATGGCCAGTGGCCAGTCCCATGTGACAAGTGCGCAGGTTCTAAGTTCTAAGGAGCAAAGAAACCTAAACCCTGCAACCCAAAAATCCCTCAACCCCAGAACCTAAACCCTCAACCCTAAAACCCTACAAGCCAAAAACGCTAAAAAACCCTCAAAAACACCGAAAAGAACACCTTAAAAACCTTAACCAAAAAAACCTTTAAACACCTCAAAAAACAAAACGAGAAACACCAACAAAATACCTAAAACCTCTCAAACCCCTCAAAGCCCCCTAAGACCCCCAAAAGCCCCCTAACCCTGGGTGCCTTCGGGAACGGCCAAGGGTATCAGGCAAGCGCCGCGCTGGCGAAGGAGCCGGCCAACCCGGTCACAGGCCGCGCGGGGCTCCTGAGCTGAAGGGCTTTTGAATGTTTTTGTTTTTTGTGGAGGGGGGGGGGGGGGGGGGGGGGGGTTTAAGGGGTTTAGGTTAACTCCTAAGGTTTCAGGGGTTGCGGGTTCAGGGACTTGGGGTTGAGGGGTTTGGGGCTTTTGGGGTCTTGGGCATGAGGCTTTTGGGGGGGGGGGGAGGGGTAGGGTCTAGGGTTTAGGGTTTTGGGTTTTGGGTTTTGGGTTTAGGGTTTAGGGCTTAGGATTTAGGGTTTAGGGTTTAGCGCTTAGTGCTTAGGTTTAGGGTTTAGGGTTTGGGGTTTAGGGTTTAGGGTTCAGGGTTTAGGGTTTAGGGTGTAGGGTGTAGGGTGTAGTTTAGGGTTCAGGGACCAATTGGAAGGCCCGATCAGGAGCTTAGGGTTTAGGGTTTAGGGACCAACTGGAAGGCCGAATTAGGAGCCAAAATCCCCGAAACCAAACATCCATAAGTCGAGTACGAGCCTCATGTCAACGAGTCATGCGGGCTGATCTAAGTAACCCTAAACCCTAAACCCTAAACCCTAGGCCCTAGACCCTAAACCCTAAACCCTAACCCTAAATGGGTCCCTGGTCCCTGCCTAGGTCTACTGTTGCAATGCATTTCGGGTTTTTTGGCGTTCGAGGGTTCTAGGGCTTAAGAAACCCTAAGCCCTAAGCGCTAAACCCTAAACCCTAAACCCTAAAAATTAAACCCTAAACCCTAAAAGTTCTTGGGCTTCAGGGTCTTAGGGCTTTCACGGCCTTAGGGTTTACCAGGCTCAGGAACGGCCCAGCACCCGGAAGCCCTCTTTGACATGCTTGAAGTTTTTACGGGGGCTCCGTGGAGGCCTTCGTAGCTCTGGGGCTTTTAGAGAACCCCAAACCCTGAACCCTGAACCCTGAACCCTGAACCCTAAACCCTAAACCCTAAACCCTCAACCCTCAACCCCAAACCCTAAACCCTAAACCCTAAACCCTAAACCCTAACCCTAAACCCTAAACCCTACAGCTGTTTTAGGGCTTTAGCGGCTTCAGGGTTGCAATGAGGTCCCGGCCAGCTCATGAAAGTCTGGGATGCGGAGCCTCGGCTTCTTGCACGAACTTCGGGCATGAGGCACCTTACTCCCCTCTAAGGGATGATGCCCTAAACCCTAAACCCTAAACCCTAAACCCTAAACCCTAAAACCCCCCGAAAGGCTTTCTCTGGTTTAGGTTTCAAGGTTCAAGATTCAGGGTTTAGGGCTTAGGCTTCGGGGTTCAGGGTGGTTCTTGGTAGGGACTTCGGGAATGAGGTACCTTACTCCCCCCTAAGGGCTGCTGCGCCCCAAGCCCCCCCAAAAGGCTCTCTCTGGTTTAGGTTTCAGGGTTCAGGGTTCAGGGTTGAGGGTTGAGGGTTCAGGGTTCATGGTTTAGGGCTCAATATTAAACCCTGTTAGGGTCTCTGCTATCAGAATCTCCATCGGGCTTCGGGTACCCAAAGAGCACAAGGTTCAGGGCTTCCAAAGAAGGAAGGCGTAACCTCTCGGATCTTGGGTCTACGGTCCAAGGAGTAGGGATAGGATTAGGGGGACCCTTGGGGATATAGACCTTCTGAATAAGGTCCCTTTTTAAGAGATCCAGAAGAGGGTTAAGAAGGGTTCCCTTTTAAGGGTCCCCCCCTTCTCCTACGTAGGAAGGAGAAGCTGTAAGAAAGGGCTTGAGGTCGAGGACTCACCGTGCAGAATCACTGGCAGGGCCCCACATTCTGGGTTGCAGCCCCGAAAATTCCCCATCATCAGCCAGAGGGCTCCTCCTCTTTGTCCATAGCCATGAGTACTGAAATCCGGGCCCCAAGCTTTGGGGGGGGTCAGGGTTTCGTTTCAGGATTTGGCCGCGTCTTTGTGGTGGACTCTCCGCGTCGTTGAGGCCACTTTCGGCTTCATGGGGGGTTGCTGGCTAAGAGTTCGATGACCTCAGGAGAGTTTATGCAGCTCGCGTCTGCAGCTAACAACCAATCTCGAAGCTCAGACTCAAGCTAAGGCGATGTAAACTCAAGCATCCTCATTGGTGTGTTGTCTGACAGCTTCTTCTTGAGCCCAAGGCACGTACAGGCAGTGCACACAAGGCCAAGTCCCAACAACACTGCAAGCCTCGCGCTGGAACCCATAGAAACCTTCGACCCAGAAAGCCCCCTGGTAAAGCCAATATAGGGGTCGGAATAATTACCTTTATAAGTATACTACAGTAAACCCGCCAAACCCTGTTCCAATTATTCAGGCCCCGATATTGCAGTACAGCCGGAACGGATCGCAAACATTGGGACTGGCTCGACGAGCTCGAAACTTATTTGCAACCGGGGGCTTGAGAATCTGTCGCTCGGCATATACGTGGAGGTTTACGAAAAAAAGGGACCCGGAATGTGCAGTTCCCGAAAGAGGAGGATTCCCGTAGAATCAGGACCCCAATAAGGTACCCCTGAATTTCGAAAAAAAAAACCCAAAATTAAAACAGCAAGTACACACAAGCACATGTCCAATTTGGAGCGGGGTCCCTTTTCGGGGTACCCTGAAGAACCGGGGCCGCCTCCAAAATATGGACCACGAAAGGAACCCTAAACCCTAAATCCTGAACCGTGGACCGTATGTTAGAGAAATGGCCACATGTGCTGGAAAGTATGTGTGTTTGGACCTGTTTGGAAGGAGGTAAGCAGCGAGCGAAGGACAGAGCAACAGAGAGAAAGAGAGAAAGAGAGAAAGAGAGAAAGAGAGAAAGAGAGAAAGAGAGAAAGAGAGAAAGAGAGAAAGAGAGAAAGAGAGAAAGAGAGAAAGAGAGAAAGAGAGAAAGAGAGAAAGAGAGAGAAAGAGAGAAAAAAAGAGAAAGAGAGAAAAAAAGAGAGAGAAAGAGAGAAAAAAAGAGAGAGAAAGAGAGAAAAAAAAAGAGAGAAAGAGAGAAAAAAAAAGAGAGAAAGAGAGAAAGAGAGAAAGAGAGAAAGAGAGAAAGAGAGAAAGAGAGAAAGAGAGAAAGAGAGAAAGAGAGAAAGAGAGAAAGAGGGAAAGAGAGAAAGAGAGAAAGAGAGAAAGAGAGAAAGAGAGAAAGAGAGAAAGAGAGAAAGAGAGAAAGAGAGAAAGAGAGAAAGATAGAAAGAGAGAAAGAGAGAAAGAGAGAAAGAGAGAAAGAGAGAAAGAGAGAAAAAGAGAGAAAAGAGAGAAAAGAGAGAGAAAGAGAGAGAAAGAGAGAGAGAGAAAGAGAGAAAGAGAGAGAGAGAGAGAGAGAGAGAGAGAGAGAGAGAGAGAGAGAGAGAGAGAGAGAGAGAGAGAGAGAGAGAGAGAGAGAGAGAGAGAGAGAGAGAGAGAGAGAGAGAAGAGAGAAAGAGAAGAGAGAGAGAAAGAGAAAGAGAAAGAGAGAGAGAGAAAGAGAGAAAGAGAGAAGAGAGAAGAGAGAGAAAGAGAGAGAGAGAGAGAAAGAGAGAAAGAGAGAAAGAGAGAAAGAGAGAAAGAGAGAAAGAGAGAAAGAGAGAAAGAGAGAAAGAGAGAAAGAGAGAAAGAGAGAAAGAGAGAAAGAGAGAAAGAGAGAGAGAGAGAAAGCGAGAGAGAGGGAGAGAATGGAAGGTGAAACCCAGTAGCCCTAAGCCCTGAACCCCTAAAGCCTTTAAACCCCAAAGCGCCCCGAAGCCCCCACACCCCTAACCCCTGAACCCCTTAACCCCCAAACCCTTAACCCCTAAACCCCTAAATCCCTAAACCCCCTAAGCCCCCTAAACCCCGAAACCCCTAAGCCCCGAAACTCTAAACCCAAAACTCTGGAGGTCGCCTAAGCCCTAAACCCTGAACTGAACCCGAAACCCTAAACTCGAAACCCTAAACCCTAAACCCTAAACCTTAAACCCTCAACCCTAAACCCTCAACCCTCAACCCTAAACCCTAAACCCTAGACCGAGGACCTTGAAGCACCGGCTGCCCGCTGGGAAGGGTCACGGAAACCACCGGCCAGGCTTCCTCAGGGCTGTGGGGTTTAATTTAAAGGGCTGTGGGGTTTAGGGTTTAGGGTTTAGGGTTTAGGCTAGGGTGTGTAAGGACTCCGGTTTAGGGTTGAGGGTTTTAGGGTTCTAGGGCTCTAGGGTTCTAGGGTTCTAGGGTTCTAGGTTTCTAGGGTTCTAGGTTTGTTCTAGGGTTCTAGGGTTCTAGGGTTCCAGGTTTTGAGTGTTCGAGGGCTCGAGAGTTCCAGGGTTCTAGGGTTCTGGGGCTTTTAGGGTTTTAGGGGTCTAAGTATTATGGTTTAGGGTTGCGCCTGCCACCCCCCGCCCCCCCTCCCCGCTTCCCAAACACACCCTAATGCACACATCGTCCCTAGACCCTTTCTGGGCCCTGCTCAGCTTAGACGGCCTGGTCCCAAACCTCGCTATCCCTGGCGGCCAAATGGACCCTAAAACCAGGGGGTCACATACCCTCTACTACTGAGGCATAAGAACCGTCAACCCTGTTAGGGTTCAGTTGGTTTCTCAAGGAACACACGGAAGCAACTCCCCTCGCCTTGCTGCCACCAAACTCCTGACTTGCGTTGAGGGTTCAGGGTTTAGGGTTGTAGGGTTTAGGGTGGGGGTCTGGGGGCTGTATGGCTTGACTTGAAGGTTTGCGGGTCGCCAGTTTCAGTGGGTCGGAAAGTTTAGGGAGCAGGGGCTTTCGGGCTCAGGGTTCGCCCCTAAACCCTAAACCCTAAACCCTAAACCCTAAACCCTAAACCCTAAACCCTAAACCCTAAACCCTAAACCCTAAACCCTAAACCCTAAACCCTAAACCCTAAACCCTAAACCCTAAACCCTAAACCCAAACCCTAAACCCTAAGACTTCCGGTCGAGACCGGAGAACCCGCGCCTCGCATGCCACCCAGCCCCTCGAAAAAGCTTGGAAGCCCGGAGCTGTGTCAGGGCGAACGCCCGCAAACCCCGAAACCCTAAACCCACAAACCCATAGGGTTTAGGGTTTAGGGTTTAGGGTTTAGGGTTTAGGGTTTCGGGTTTAGGGTTTAGGGTTTAGGGTTTAGGGTTTAGGGTTTAGGGTTTAGGGTTTAGGGTTTAGGGTTTGGCCCTAAACCCTAAGCCCTTAACCCTAAACCCAGAAACGCAGAAACCCTAAAACCTGACCCCCCCCCCCCCCCCCCAAATCCTCCGAAACCGCAAACACCAACACCAGAACCCATGGCTGACAGCCCTTGAGAACTTCAGGCCTCGTCGTAGGGGCTTGAGGGTATTTCGGCTACACTCCCCTTAGAGCGACAATTCAGTTATAAATGTTTGCTACTCCCATGGGTTGTAGATCAAGAAAACGAAAGCAGAACTCAGCGGGGGTAGCAGGAGCTGAAGTGTCAGTTCTCGGTTCTTGAAACCTTTTCGGGGTGAGGTATGGGGTCTGTTCCTCTCCTTGGCGAGTAGGTCATAGCCGACTTCCTTGTAGACCTCCGTGCGCAGCCCTAATACCCAAAGCCCTTGTCAGGCCTAGGGTTTTGGGTTCAGAGCTTGAGGCAATTCTGAGGTCTTCTCCCCTGAAGCCCTAAGTTCTTACACCCTAAACCCTAAACCCTAAACCCTGAACCCTGAACCCTAAACCCTAACCCTAAACCCTAAACCCTAAACCCTAAACCCTCTCATAAGCCTCCTGCAGCTCTCTGAGAGGTTTCAGGGTGCGGGGGTTCGGGATCGATAAACCGAAGCTGGGGGCCTGATGATTGACTTCGGGCTGAGGGTTTCAAGGTTTAGGGTTAAAGTTTTAGGGTTTAGGGTTTAGGGTTTTTAGGGTTTTTAGGGTTTTCAGGGTTTTTAGGGTTTTTAGGGTTTTTAGGGTTGAGGGTTTTTGGGGCTTAGGGTTTTTAGGGTTTTTAGGGTTGAGGGTTTTTGGGGCTTAGGGTTCTTAGGGATTTTAGGGTTAAAGTTTTAGGGTTGAGGGTGTTTGGGGCTTAGGGTTTACGGTGTAGGGCCTTTGGGGTTTAGGGTCTTTTGGGGTTTAGGGTTTTTTGGGGTTTTGGGGGAGTTTTTTGGGGGGTTTTGAGGGTTTAGGGCTGAGCGGCTTTGGGACTTGGGGATGCAACAAGACTCCAACAGCCTCACTCCCAGGTCGCGGCCGGTATTGAAAAAACTTCCCCTAAAGCCCAAACCCTAAACCCTGAACCCTAAACCCTAAACCCTAAACCCCAAACCCTAAACCCTGAACCCTAAACCCTAAACGCCAAACTGTTTTGGAAGCGCTCCTTCATGTGGGGGAGGGGGGGGGGGGGATTCTGACGTACGAGCCTGGGGACCCTGACCTAGAACAAGCCGGTCGTCCCTGTCATAGGCCAAGTCCTTGTCGCTTCCGGCTGCGCAACTCACAGATGGTTTGCCATCGTGTTTGGCTGGCCTTCGCCAATCGCCCGAAGTCAATCAACGTGGCGGCAGGTTGTACAAGTATGCCCTACACCCAAACCCTAAACCCTAATCAGCCCTAATCCCTGATGGATTTGGGCCAAGTATCATGCCTGCCGCCAAACCGCAACAAGGGCACCGCGAGCGCTAGCGAACCGAAGTTTTTGCGGTTTAGCATTGCTTCCCCCCCTGCACCTGAAAAGAGCGAGCGCGCACGCGCGCACACGCGCAGGCGCATGCACGATTGAGGGCATCCAAGCTCGCTGTGTTGAGTGTGCCTTATTTAGTTCCTACCAGGTGCCTCTATGAAGGACATGGAGATGGAGAAGTCTTCACCACCTTGTCGACCTTAGCGCGGAGCGGGCTTATGACCGACAGAACCATCCCCCCAGGATATCAGCAATTGGATCTCGGACCCCCGTTTGAAAAGGGTTTATGGCTGAGGGCACATTCATCCAAATACACTTCAACAAGTCATCCACAGAAAAAGCCCGGTTAACTCAACTAGTTATGGGGCTTGCAATCCCACATCAAAATCGATTATTGGAAGAGCTAGGAGGGAACAAAGCGGAAGACAAAAACAACCTTCCTGAAAACAAGCCAGTATTATCACATGGAGATCACGACTTTCGTATCTTTTGTCGCTTAGATGTTTGTTGGCCGAAGACTCCGTGAGATAGTGAAAGATAAGAAGCTGGAACGAATGCATCTGAAAATGGACCCAAACTCCCCTAGTAACGTCCTAGGTGAATAGCATCCATCGATCTGGCCCCATACTCAGAACAAGGCTGAGTCCAGTCCAAATCAGACAGCGTCAACTGGAGATGAACGGAAGAAGTTCATCTAACGATGCCTAGCAACCACAGCTGCACATGCTTGCAGGCGCAGTAAATCTTTTTCAGACCTGCGTGCACAATGGTGCACACATGTCTGTGCACATGCTCTCCCTTGTTGCTGTCCAACGTGTCTGCTCATGAACACATATCCTCTGTGACAAAAGCCCACTTTCTGATTGGAGATACGCACTGGGACAATGGGAGCCGCTCTCGTGCCTGGGAGACCTAGGAGGATATGGGGGGGTTTCCGATATTAGTGGTACCCTATTGGGGTCCTTACTATAAGGAAATCCTACCATTTGGGGGTCAATGTTGGGGTCCCCTATTTTCGTAAACCCCCATATGTAAACGTTCCAAGGCCAGGGAGTAGGAAATGTGGAAGCATCTTGCAATATTCTACTTACTTCCCGAACTACAGGTGAGAGGATCTTTGCTGAAGATGCAAGCACCATCGCCTACAGGACACAAGTTTCTGAAGTTAGGACACATCCTTGTGTTCTTCCTATTCCTGTTCCTCCTACTCTTCCTCCTCCTCGTGCTCCGGCTCCCACTCATTCTCCTCCTCGCCCTCCTCCCCTCCTCCTATTCCTACTCCTGCTGCCCTTTCCCCACTCATCATCACAACCGCAGCTAAGCAAAGGCCCTTCATCCCCAAGCAGCCCTAAGCCGGATGCAGAGCTCCGTAAAGCCGCATTCAGGGCTCAGGGCTTGGCTTAGGCTTTTAGGCCTCACTGACCACGGATCAGGGATTTCGGAGGGCCTTTGGGCTGTTGGGGGCTTGGGGCTCGGGGCGGTTTAGGGTTTAGGGTTTAGGGTTTAGGGTTTAGGGTTTAGGGTTTAGGGTTTAGGTTTTTAGGGTTTAGGGTTTAGGGTTTAGGGTTGAGGGTTGAGGGTTGAGGGTTTAGAGCTGAGGGTTTAGGGTTTAGGGATTAGGGTTTAGGGTTTAGGGTTTAGGGTTTAGGGTTTAGGGTTTAGGGCGTGGGGATGTTCAGGGTTTTGGGCTTCAGGTCCTTGCAAGCCGAACCTTCCCAGAGGATCGGGCGTTCGAGGGCTTCGAAGATGGCGTTCAAGGATCGAGGGACAATTCCTCGCTCCTTGTGGTTGCCGCCTGGGTTTAGGGTTTAGGGTTTAGGGTTTAGGGTTTAGGGTTTAGGGTTTAGGGTTTAGGGTTTAGGGTTTAGGGTTTAGGGTTTAGGGTTTAGGGTTGGTGCTGCGCCATGGCCCGGATTTGTTCGGCGACTTTTTGAGAGGCTTAGTAGCCCAGTAACCAAAGAATAATAAGGGCACCCTTTTTTTGGTTGGCTACTTTATAAGGGAACCCAGAACCCAAAAAAAGGGCAAAGGGTAGCACAGGGCTACCAAGGAGGTCTAGGGCTCTGGGATAGTTGCCAACGGTTTGGGTCTACCGTAAACAGCAGACCTTCTTTAAAGCACATCTCCCTTTCTTAGATTCTTGAAGGGTGCTTTGGGGTTGGATTTGCATGATACTCTTTGGCACGCGTCCTGAGACACGCCAAACTTCATACTCATAGACACATGGGATTGGCTAAGTTCTCAGCATGTTTTGGGTACCCGAAATATTCGGGGCCGCCATATAACAGTAACTCAAAAAGGGACAATGATTTAGAGAAGTGACCATCAGCACTGAGAGTTAAATCTAATTTCTTGAGAGAGCACACGTGTGCAGGAACAAGGACTATCTAACGTCACAAACCCATACTGTAAGGGAAAAACATGGTAAAACGAAACCATGAGAACCTATGAGGACCCTCTACCCATCAACCTTAAACCCTCCCCTCAACCCTAAATCCTCACCTCCAAACCCTAAACCGTAAGGGTTTAGGGTTCTAGGGATTAGGGGCCAGGGTTTTAAGGCTTTAAGGGGCTTTAGGGATCTCTAGAAGTTCCAGGGCTCTTTAGGATTGTTTCAAGGTCGTTGAGGGTCTTAGAGGGCGTTCGGGGCCCTGCTTCCTTCTGAAAAGGGCAGGACACTCCTTGACTGCAAACTCCGAAAACACCCCCTGAAACCCTAAAACCCTGAAACCCCCAGAGCCCTAAAACCCGGGTCCTAAAACCCTAAGAGAACCCCGAACCAAGATGTCGCGCCAGTCAACTGGGGCCCTGGCAAATGGTGTACGTCTTGCCGCTGCCCGTCCTCAAGAAGAAACCCACATCCCTAAACCCTAACCCTAAACCCTAAACCCTAAACCCTAAACCCTAAACCCTAAACCCTAACGATCAGGCCGTGGGTCGGTCCGGGGAGGGTTTACGGGTTCGGAGGTTGGAGGTCTGTGCTTTTTTCGGGGGCAGCGGAGCATGGAGCTAGGGGGGTTTAGGGTTTAGGGTTTAGGGTTTAGGGTTTAGGGTTTAGGGTTTAGGGTTTAGGGTTTAGGGTTTAGGGTTTAGGGTTTAGGGAGTCAGTTCTCTGCCCGCGGCTTGAGGCCGGCGCTGTCCATATGCGAAGATGGTGCAGTTGACGCCATCTAATGCCCCGAGCACCAACTCCTGAGAGGCCGCCGAAGTTGAAAACTTAGTGGCAGAGTTCATAAGCCCCCAAAAAGTGTATTCTATAGGGGGTTATAGTATCCCAACAAGTGTAAAGTGTACTCACTCAGCTATGGATCTAAGGGTTCGACTTTGGACCCTTATGCCCGTACCCCTGGGTTCTTGGGGTCCCTTCTGAAGGATCCCTAAGGGTATATAAGGGCCATGAGAGGGTAGATCTAGGGTTTAGGGTTTAGGGTTTAGGATTTAGGGTTTAGGGCTTAGGGTTTAGGGTTTAGGGTTTAGGGTTTAGGGTTTAGGGTTTAGGGTTTAGGGTTTAGGGGCAACCTTTAGGGGTACATCCTTAAGGGTACGAGTCGACTGGAACCTCCCCAAATCAAATACCCAACAACCACAAGAGCCCAGGAGCCCAAATATCCCCGGTTCAAACCGGGACCTTCTGAAACATGCTTCTGGCCGCGGTTTGAGGTTCAGGGTTTAGAGTTTAGGGTTTAGGGTTTAGGGTTTAGGGTTTAGGGCTTAGGGTTTAGGGTTTAGGGTTTAGGGTTTAGGGTTTAGGGTTTACGGTTTAGGGTTTAGGGTTTAAGGTTTGGGGTTTAGGGTTCAGGGTTCAGGAGAGAATTGTGTCCTTCGCAGCGGCGTCGAAGACCGTGCGTTGAGAGGCATCTGGGCCGAAAACGCGTGCGAATCGGAAGCCGTACCTGCGAAGCTGCTACGTCACGTCTAAGGATGAGCCCTCGGCCTCGTATGGGACCCTGAAGGGCGGGAGGGGTACATAAGGATTGCACATGTATTGTATATACCTTCCCCCCAAGTTGGGGATTCTCGATCCACGTAAGGATGACACACAGCCCAGCGCACTCTTCCACCTGGTTGTTGATGACATCATCGCCTTACAGGACAAAGCAAGAAGACGTGCGATCGTCGAACGCGGACTGAGCTCTCCCAATATGGCACCCACTCCCTTCCTGGCAATCCACGAAGTTGCATTAGGGGGGATAAGGAGGGCATCCTGGAAGAGACCCTTAATCTTATTCCCTTATATAACTCTTCTATATACATACCTTGTGTATTCACTACATACCTAAGTAACCCCCTGCATTGCCCCTCAGGTCCCTTTTACGGGTCCCTCCGTTTGTCCCTTGATGCATGACTCGTCAAAGGAAAGGGGCCCTAAACCCGAAGCCCACCCAGCAAACCTAATAAACACACCAAACCCCTAAACCCTAATTAAACCTAAACCCTAAACCCTAAACCCTAAACCCGAAACAATAGCTAATTTCCGGCTCCCCCCCCCCCCCCCATCAACAGCCGGACCAACGCCTCGGGGTATCTGGACAACCACCTCCTTCTCCGCAGCTCGGACCTTGTCGGCTAAAGGAACTTAACCCATGCCCTACACCCTAAATCAGAATCCTCAACCCTGATACCAAGAACACGAGGAATCTGTGGGGAATTTTGGCCCCTAATGAGCCCGAAAGCGCCAAAAACCCTACATGAACTGTCAATACGTCCCTGTAGCCTTTTTAACCTCTAAACCTGCATGCTCTTTACCCTGACCCGCGGGGCGCAGCCCACATTCACAGGGGTTTTCAACCTCAATAACCACAATACCTGCAACCCCAACAGGGAAACGGGAAGGCGATGGGGTGTTGAGATTAAGGTTTCCTTAGTAGCCCAGTAACCATATTACAATAAGGGCACCCTTTTTGTGGTTGGCTACTTTATAAGGCAACCCAGAACCCAAAAAAGGGTAAAGGGTACCACTGGGCTACCCAGTTTAGCATTCAGGATTTAGAGTGCGGAGGTTCAGGTTGAAAACCGCATCAGCCCAAGGCCAGTTTGTACCCTAAACCCTGAACCCGAAAACCCTGAACCCTAAACCCTAAACCCTTGCTGGAAGGTCTGCAGGGAACGGAGTTGCACTCTTTCGGTAGAAATCCTCCAAGCTCTGTAACCCAAAACCTTGAACCCTCTTGCAAGCCCTAAACCTCTCTACTATAGCTTTCCCAACAATCCCAAAACCCTCAACCCTAAACCCGAAACCCTCAACCCCAAAAGCCTAAACCCTAAACCCTAAACCCTAAATCCTAAACCCTAAACCCTAAACCCTAAACCCTAAACCCGAAACCCTAAACCCTAAACCCTAAACCCTAAACCCGAAACCCTAAACCCTAAACCCTAAACCCTAAACCCTAAACCCTACCCTTCGCATGGCGCGGAACGTGGGGCGAAGGCTGCGGCGAAGGACGGAGGCGAGCCACCACTGAGATGTGCTCCTTTTGGGGGCTTCTTGGGGTTTAGGGTTTGGGGTTTAGGGTTTAGGGTTTAGGGTCTAGGGTTTAGGGTTTTAGGGTTTAGCAGTGGGGTTTCTTAGGGCTTTTTCGGGCTTCTTGGGGCTCTTCGAGCTTTGGGGGTTTTAGGGTTTAGGGTTCTTTAGGGCTTTTAGAGCTCTTAGAGGATTTTCCGGCTTTAGGGCTTAGGGCTTTTAGGAGTTTTAGGGCTTTCAGGCCTTTTGGCGCTTCTAGGGGCTTTTGGGGCTTTAGGGGCTTTAAGGGTTTCGGCCAGGTGCTCCTCTCATGGCTCTCGAGGCTTCTCAGGGTTCTCTCAGGGCATCTAGGGTTTAGGGTTTAGGGTTTTGGGTTTTGGGTTTTGGGTTTTGGGCTTGCGGAGCTTCATAAGCTCTGGGGCTTCAGGGGTCTACAGGAATCTCGGGCTTTAAGGGCTTCAGGGGCTTAGCGGCTTCTCAGGGCTTTAGGGGTTTTGCAGGCTTCAGGGCTTTGAGGAGTTTTAGGAGTTTTAAGATTTCAGGGGCTCCAAAAGCCCACACGCCTCCTCGACCCGAAGCCCCACCCGACCTAAACCCGAAACCCTAAACCCTAAACCCTAAACCCTAAACCCCTAAACCCTAAACCCTAAACCCTAAACCCCAAATCCTACACCCTAAACCCCTACACCCCTAAACCCCCATGCTGACAAGCGTGGAAGCTCGTCGCATCCTGCTCCCTGCCGGGATCGGACATGCCATGGCAGTGGCTACTCTCGGCTTCTGCTGGCGGGTTGGGGTTTAGGGTTTAGGGTTTAGGGTTTAGGGTGTAGGGTGTAGGGTTTAGGGTTTAGGGGTTTAGGGTTTAGGGTTTAGGGTTTAGGGTTTAGGGTTTAGGGTTTAGGGTTTAGGGTGTAGGGTTTAGGGTTTAGGGTTTAGGGTTGCGGGCCCCTGCACCCTGGACATTCTTCTCTATGCATTGGGATGTTCCCCCTTATACTTACAGTTCTTAAAAGGGATTCTAGTCCCCAAACTATGATGATGCCTGCTAAGGACTGTTAGTATAAGGGCGAACATCCCAATCTGTGCATGTCAAGCCGCTCTTGGCCTTGTGAGAAACTTGGTGACCTGATGCTCGGATACCCGGGAAGATTTTGGGTTTAGGGTTTAGGGTTTAGGGTTTAGGGTTTAGGGTTTAGGGTTTAGGGTTTAGGGTTTAGGGTTTAGGGTTTAGGGTTTAGGGTTTATATAGGAACCCGGGAGGTGCAACAAGAGGAAAACGAAGGCCACTGCCCAAAACCCGGCAGCAGAGGGAAGCCGCCACCCGTACTGAAGCAACCAACCACCAATATAGTTTAGGGTTTAGGGTTTAGGGTTTAGGGTTTAGGGTTTAGGGTGTAGGGTGCAGGGTGTAGGGTTTAGGGTATAAATTTAAAAAGAATGGACATGTGGGCTGCTACTTTGCGCGTAAACAAGTAGCAGCACACATGACCAATATACTTAAAAGATCATGCTTCGCACGACGAGAAAAAACTGATTTAGCAGCAAAGAGGTTGGTACTTACAAGAAGGGGTAAGACATCACTCAAACTCTCTGCCCAGCGCAAGAAGTCATTTTCCTTGAGCAAGGATGCAGATTGGCAACCCGTAAACTTTGCGGTGACACATGTACAGCCCAGGCGTGCCACCTACGTCTACGTCTGGCACTTTAACCAGGGACCACCTCGAAACCCTAAACCTCCCCCCCCCCCTCTCGCACAAGACTTGAGGCAGCTTCAATTCCGGCAAAGGATGACAGTTACCCGAAAGGTTAAAGGCTACTCAGCTACTAAGCTTCAAAAGGCACCTCGTGTGAAGCGGGCAGATCCTGTCACCGGTGTTCGGGGGTGTCCAGGCAAAGCCTCGGAAAAGGCGAAAGACGTCGACTAACCTCTGGCTTCTTGTGGGGACCTGTCTTTCGAGCTTACAGCCTGTCGTGCTCACGGCTGGCGTATGCACATATATATATATATATACATATATACATATATATATATATATATAAATATGTACACACGCACATGGGGTTGTTTAGGTGGCATAAGGTGTCAGGCGTGCGAACTCAACAAAAGGGTACTGCACTCTCCGACGCTGGAGTTGAAGCGCGCAGGCGCGACTTTTGGCATCGCGTCGCGCTTCTCTGATGCGGTCTGGCCATGCCTGTTCAGCCTCTACAGCTGTGCTAGGGATTGCACCACAAGCTAGCGCACTCTTTCGAGTGGATCGTCTTGGGCACATACTGAGTGCTCAATGAACACTACGTTCAAGGTCAGAAGGAAGTCAAACAAACAAAGGGCCTTTGGCCCCGCGCACGGCACGGGCCCAAAAAATCTGCATGGAAGAATCCACAGCAACTTACTCGTTCTTAGCAGCGAAGCATGGAATCTATATAAAGGGGTGGGTGAGTATGAGTTATATAAGGTACCAGAATCCCAAACTCCACTGCTAAGAACCAGTAAGGCAAGTGAATCTGCTAGAACGCAGACAAGAACGGGCCAAGCATCAAGGCGACAAACATGCCCACTCCGCAGGCAGCGCTCGCCTCAACTTGTCCAGTCGTGGTTGTCGTCGTCTCAAAAGGTTCGAAGACCTTTCCCGGGCTGCACATAGGGGGGCTGCGGGCGCGGCCATGGATCCGTTCGCAGTGGCCGAGTGAATCGACAAGCGGGCAATCGCTGTGACTGACCACCTGCTGCGCATTGTTGTCGCTAGCCCGGCGAATGTACTTCTGCCCACAGGTGCTGGTGAAGTCAGCGTCCCAGATCGCCTCCATCAATCCGGCCAGGGTCTGCTGCGGCTCCGACTGCTGGATGTCGAGCCAGCCCATGCCAACCGTGCCGTCCTCGAAAGGGTCGCTAATGTACCCGTCAACGCGAAAGATGTTCGGCGGGTTCCGTGCGAGAGCTGGGACCTCCTGGGGCGTGACGTTGTAGACTGTGCCAAAGCCTGGGTAGGCGGAGGCGGCATGGGTGGGCCAGAGGGAGAACTCGTCGATGATCACATCCGCCTCGGCCAGGATGGACTTGAAGCCTGCGTCGCCGTCGCCGATGTCGCAACTCAATCAACTCATCGTCTTGGAGCCGTCATTGTTGCTTGCAAAGGTACAATTCTTGGGGGCTGTGGCCGGCAAGGAAACTACCTGGGCCCCTGCGTCGTCGATGAACCTGCTCTTGTAGATGGCGTTGTTGATGATGTTCTTGCCACCCCACCTGGTTGGTTTGGCTCCTATACCACCCCATGAAAAACACTTTCAAGATAAGCAGCCCTCTTAAGCCCAACATACGGGCCAGAAGTATCAAAAAGTGCCCTGAAAAAGGTGCTGCCGTGTCACTGCGTCACGAAGATCGCCTTCGGCTGCTCCCCGTTGTATTGGGTGCTGGGGTCGGTGCGGAGCTGGTTCCCGATGGTCTTCAGCGCGTTGTAGTCTGCCTTGACCTGCTCAAAGATGTGTTCTGCCTGCTCTTCCTCGTTGTAGAACCTTGGGGAAGAAAACAGCTGCTTAGGGTCCATCTCTTGGATTTCGGGACTGTTAGGTTTGCAGTGTAAGATGATCCGGGGTTCTTCTGAGTCGAGGAACAGGGCCATGAACTTGACCCACTCGGCACGGTCAAGGGTGCCGCGGTCGAGGGAGATCTGGAAAGGGACGTCCTTTTGCGCATCGCCGAAGTACCCAGCACCAAAGGCATCTGAGAAAAGGAGGTCCGTCTGGTTCGCCCGGGCGGTCCATGTCGCGTTGGATGTCTTGATGTGCATTTCGGGGAAGCATTGCGCCATGAGCTGCATACATGGCGACGAGGTGAGCGAAATGTCGAGCAAGTCGATGGACTGCGTCACGCCCAGTAGCTCCATGAAGGGGAGAGGGACAGATGACCCAACTGTTGCCTTCTTGACGGGAATCTCGAAGAAGCGAGCATTCGATGAGACCCCAGGCGAGCTCGTCGTAGGCTTCGTGGTGCCGCACTGGTAGAGCACGATTGGTGGGACCGACGTGCCTTTCAAGGCCGCGTCCGGGTGCCAAGTCGAGCTGTACATCGAAAGGACGGGGGAATATTCCAGCACCTTGTACTGGTCATAGTAGGTGACGTCAAAGAAGTCAGCGTAGCTGATCTTGTCCAAGCCCGCCAAGTTGCTAGGAAATGGCTTGCCCCACGAGGGGCAATCACCCGCTGCCACCTCCAGGCAAAGAGCTGCGGCAAGAGCCGCCAAAGCGAACATGGCGCGAGACACTGGACAGGTCCAATAAAGCACCGCGTTCCTACGCAGAGGCTGTCGACGACCTGAACCATAGATGCCACAGATGCTTGCTACATGCTCAAGCTTCAGCAGCAAGATCCAACACACTCAAAAGTCACTTACAGAGGCACCTCGTGTGAAGCGGACAGATCCCGTCACCGGTGTTCGGGGAGTCCAGGAAAGCCTCGGTGCGAGGCTCAGAAGCGAAAGAAACCGACTAAACTCTGGTTTGTTGTGGGGGCCTGTTTTTCAAGCTTACCCATCACCACGAGCTTGCGGATTTGGGTGTACTTGGAGGTTCGTGGTACTTATAAACCAAAAAATCCTGAGAAGGCTATACCTGACTCAGGGTTTGTGGGATTTAGGGTGTTTTGGGGTTGTTTGGGTGGCACAGGGTGTCAGGCGTGCGAACTCAACAAAGGGGTACAGCACTTCTCCGACGCTGGAGTTGAAGCGCGCAGGCGCGACTTTTGGCATCGCGTCTCGCTTCTCTGATGCGGTCTGGCCATGCCTGTTCAGCCTCTACAGCTGTGCGAGGGATTGCACCACAAGCTAGCGCACTCTTTCGAGTGGATCGTCTTGGGCTTTTTCTGAGTGCTCAATGAACACTACGTTCAAGGTCAGAAGGAAGTCAAACAAACAAAGGGCCTTTGGCCCCGCGCACGGCACGGGCCCCAAAAATCTGCATGGAAACATGCACAGCAATCGTTCTTAGCAGAGAAGCATGGAATCTATATAAAGGGGTGGGTGATGGTGGGTGAGTATAATTTATCTAAGGTACTGAATTCCCAAACTCCACTGCGAAGAACCAGTAAGGCAAGTGAATCTGCTAGAACGCAGACAAGAACGGGCCAAGCATCAAGGCGACAAACATGCCCACTCCGCAGGCAGCGCTCGCCTCAACTTGTCCAGTCGTGGTTGTCGTCGTCTCAAAAGGTTCGAAGACCTTTCCCGGGCTGCACATAGGGGGGCTGCGGGCGCGGCCATGGATCCGTTCGCAGTGGCCGAGTGAATCGACAAGCGGGCAATCGCTGTGACTGACCACCTGCTGCGCATTGTTGTCGCTAGCCCGGCGAATGTACTTCTGCCCACAGGTGCTGGTGAAGTCAGCGTCCCAGATCGCCTCCATCAATCCGGCCAGGGTCTGCTGCGGCTCCGACTGCTGGATGTCGAGCCAGCCCATGCCAACCGTGCCGTCCTCGAAAGGGTCGCTAATGTACCCGTCAACGCGAAAGATGTTCGGCGGGTTCCGTGCGAGAGCTGGGACCTCCTGGGGCGTGACGTTGTAGACTGTGCCAAAGCCTGGGTAGGCGGAGGCGGCATGGGTGGGCCAGAGGGAGAACTCGTCGATGATCACATCCGCCTCGGCCAGGATGGACTTGAAGCCTGCGTCGCCGTCGCCGATGTCGCAACTCATCGTCTTGGAGCCGTCATTGTTGCTTGCAAAGGTACAATTCTTGGGGGCTGTGGCCGGCAAGGAAACTACCTGGGCCCCTGCGTCGTCGATGAACCTGCTCTTGTAGATGGCGTTGTTGATGATGTTCTTGCCACCCCACCTGGTAGGTTTGGCTCCTATACCACCCCATGAAAAACACTTAACAGATAAGCTGCCCTCTTGAGCCCAACATACGGGCCAGAAGTATCAAAAAGCGCCCTAGAAAGGTGCAGCCATGTCACTGCGTCACGAAGATCGCCTTCGGCTGCTCCCCGTTGTATTGGGTGCTGGGGTCGGTGCGGAGCTGGTTCCCGATGGTCTTCAGCGCGTTGTAATCTGCCTTGACCTGCTCAAAGATGTGTTCTGCCTGCTCTTCCTCGTTGTAGAACCTTGGGGAAGAAAACGGTTTCTTAGGGTCCATCTCTTGGATTTCGGGACTGTTAGGTTTGCAGTGTAAGATGATCCGGGGTTCTTCTGAGTCGAGGAACAGGGCCATGAACTTGACCCACTCGGCACGGTCAAGGGTGCCGCGGTCGAGGGAGATCTGGAAAGGGACGTCCTTTTGCGCATCGCCGAAGTACCCAGCACCAAAGGCATCTGAGAAAAGGAGGTCCGTCTGGTTCGCCCGGGCGGTCCATGTCGCGTTGGATGTCTTGATGTGCATTTCGGGGAAGCATTGCGCCATGAGCTGCATACATGGCGACGAGGTGAGCGAAATGTCGAGCAAGTCGATGGACTGCGTCACGCCCAGTAGCTCCATGAAGGGGAGAGGGACAGATGACCCAACTGTTGCCTTTTTGACGGGAATCTCGAAGAAGCGAGCATTCGATGGGACCCCAGGCGAGCTCGTCGTAGGCTTCGTGGTGCCGCACTGGTAGAGCACGATTGGTGGGACCGACGTGCCTTTCAAGGCCGCGTCCGGGTGCCAAGTCGAGCTGTACATCGAAAGGACGGGAGAATATTCCAGCACCTTGTACTGGTCATAGTAGGTGACGTCGAAGAAGTCAGCGTAGCTGATCTTGTCCAAGCCCGCCAAGTTGCTAGGAAATGGCTTGCCCCACGAGGGGCAATCACCCACTGCCACCTCCAGGCAAAGAGCTGCGGCAAGAGCCGCCAAAGCGAACATGGCGCGAGACACTGGACAGGTCCAATAAAGCACCGCGTTCCTACGCAGAGGCTGTCGACGACCTGAACCATAGATGCCACAGATGCTTGCTACATGCCCAAGCTTCAGCAGCAAGACCCAACACACTCAAAAGTCACTTACAGAGGCACCTCGTGTGAAGCGGACAGATCCCGTCACCGGTGTTCGGGGAGTCCAGGCAAGCCTCGGTGCGAGGCTCAGAAGCGAAAGAACTCGACTAAACTCTGGCTTTTGGTCCGCGGGGGGGGGGGGGGGGGGGGGCGTGTCTTTCAAGCTTACAGCCTGTCGTGCGGTTACAACCCCTTGCAGTTGCATACTCTGCGTTGGCATATGTGTGTGTGCATACATATAAATATAAATATAAATATAAATATATATATATACACGTGTTTATGTATGTATGTGTACAATATATATATATACACACACATGTACATTGCACACACATGTTGTGCCTTTCTACCCTACACCCTGAACCCGAACCCTAAACAGCCCAAACCCTAAACCCGGCCCTGGACCCCACACCCTACACTCGGCCCTAAACCCTAAACCCTATTTGGACATGGAAGCCCCCATTTGGGTTTAGGATCGACGATGCGCAGCAGGAATCCGGCTTTGGTTGTTCCGAACCCTAAACCCTAAACCCTAGGCCCTAAACCCTAAACCCCCCGAACAAAAAATTGGGGAGGGGAAATCATCATGTAGAGGTTTCCTGAATATGAGGCTTCTCTCTTTCTTTCTTTGCTTTTTTTTCGGGGGGGAGGGGGATCCGAGAATAAGGAATATAAATATGCTAGGGGGGGGACCTCATTTCTTTCGGCAATGTCTTTGGGGCCCGTGGGTTCATGCGCACCCTCAACGCCCTAAACCCAGAACCCGACACAAGCTATGGACATGGGCACCCAACCAGCTTCTTCCCTAAACCCTAAACCCTAAAGTTTAGGGGTTAAACTGAAAGGTTGCCGGGCCTAATCCCCAAACCCCAAACCCTAAACCCTAAACTGAAAGGTTGCCGAAAAGCGTGCGGGTCTTCTTGCCTGGCGACGCGCCTTGGGGTCTTGGGAGGATCAGGGGATGCATTTAGGGCAGTTTCGAAAATTTCGTGGATTTAGGTTTTAAGGTTTCTTTCAGGCTCAGGGGGTTAGAGTTTTAGGGTCGTTTGTAAGTTTACGGGTTTAGGGTTTAGGACTTTAAGGCCTAGTTAGGGTGTAGGGTTTGTAGGGTTTCGGGTCGCCATACTCATCTCTATGAGCTCCGGCTCGCTGCTTGTGGTTTCGGTCGGGTACGGGCCACTGGTGAAACCTCGTGTGACCCATCACCACGAGCTTGCGGATTTGGGTGTACTTGGAGGTTCATGGTACTTGTTAACCAACTATCACTGTACTTTAAACCACTTACAAGCCCCTTCAGTGCCCCAATATGCTTATAAGTACAGCTATAAGTACAGTTACCCTAAACCCTAAACCCTAAACCCTAAACCCTAAACCCTAAACCCTAAACCCTAAACTGGTTAATAAGTACCATGAACCTCCAAGTATGGGGCTTGGCAGCCGGGGGGTGCAGGATTTCGTGAGCGCTCTCTGGGGGCAGGGATGCTTGGCTACGATTTGCTTAAGAACCCCCCCCCCCCAAAAAAAAAAAAAAAAAAAACACTCCTCCTTATGAGGGCAATACAGGGATCATTATCATAGGGATCATTATCTTTTATTCTTTTAAGTTCTTAAGAAAATAGTAGTTGGGGTGCAGGGGTTTAGTCTTGAGGGTTCAGGGCTCCTCGGGGACTGCAGTCAACGAGCACTGAGGCGGGCCACTCAACACCATATCATACTATCTTGAACCCTAAACCCTAAACCCTAAACCCCTGAAACTCAGAAGCTCCAAATCCCTAGTGACTGTTCGTGGGGGAACATCCCAATGTCCCTTGCTCACAATACTACACGCCTTGTCAAGCCAGTGCGGGCGGAAACATTGGCCAAGCGCTAACCTCCCACAGCTTTCAGGGCTACTCGCCAGGACCAGCAATCATCTCCCCAGAACATGTATTTAGGGTTGAGGTTTTAGGGTTAGGTTTTAGGGTCTGGGGTTCAGGGTTTAGGGTTTAGGGTTTAGGATTTAGGGTTTAGGGTGCAGGGTTCAGGGTTTAGGCTGAGCACGACTGTGGCCTTCCACAAGTGAGGGTGACAGGCCCGGCCCAGGCGCGAAGGCGGTTCGGACGGCTTTGACCTGTTTGCATGTCTAAAGAAGGGTCTTGAAGAATTAGAAAATGGGTTTTGGGGGAGCTATTGTAGTAAAATTATAAAGGGACCCTAAGGGAACATCATTAGTAATCATTCCGACCCCTACATTAAGTAGGCCAAAGCAAGGTCAACAACAGAGATTCGCTTTGGCAGATGCTATGCTGACCGCGATCTTACACAACATTGCAAGGCTTCTCTCGCGCCGTTTCTGACTCCAAAGCGATGCAAAAACGCCTTGGTGCGGTTTGGACGAAGCTCCGAGCATGAAGATCCGTCTGTGCACGTGCCATGTGCAAAGCTGGGCCACGAAGGTGGCAGATCCGACTTGCCCCCGCCGCCCACTCTGATGATGTGCAGCTGCCAAGTGTGGAAGATGACAAGCCGTTTCGGCTTGTCAATAGGGGCAGCGGCAGAGATCACAGAGCAGAGTCTGGCAAGAGATCCAAGACGGTTTCGGGCAAAGCCACGAACAGGGTGAGACACCGAAACACCTCCTTACGAGGTTTTGTGGCAAAAAAAACGCTCGCCTCTTCTGAACATTCGAGCTGCACATTTCGCATTTGTAAATGGCTGCAACGATTCATAGAATCCTAGAAGTATTTCTTCACCAAGTCATGCTCATCCTCTCCCGGATCATCTTCATGCACAGGGTCATCTCTAGCCTCTGCAGCTTCTCCAGGTTCAAGCCTCAGCGGCTGTGCACCGCCAGCGACCTTATTCAGTGTCGGAGCTTCTTCCGCTCCCAGCATGCTGTCGCTTGAGCGCCATGACCGTGATGACTGGCCGCCGGTGCTGCGTCGGATGCGTGAGCTCTTGATGCTGCTGGCTGCTGTGACCCCGGAGACGACGTCCATGGACAACATGGTCAGGCACTCAGCAACCATCCTCTGGTCTGCCGTGGTCAGGGCCATCACGTTTTCAAGGACGAGGTCTTGGTCTTTCTCCTGGCTTCGTATCGCATGTGCGAGGTCGTAGAGGGCATCCACAAGCTCTCCAGGAGGGGTTAGCTTACCCAAGTCCAGGAAGAGCCACCTCGCCTCCGTCCTCGTCTTGACATAGTGGGCCGCTGCCGCGGACGTTAGCAGCGCAGCAACAGACAACACAAGCGCCGGCGACGCTGCTGAGGTTGCGCCGGCAATGGCTGCAGCCTGCAGCATGGCCTCGTCCATCTTCGGCAGGTGTAGTGACCCTGCAAGCACCAGCAAGAGCAATGACCAGGTGACAGCGGCATCCATAAGATTGAGCAGTGGGATCTTCCACGGCCATGTACAACTCAAGGTAGCCTTGTAGGCCATGAGGGCCATGGACATCAGCACGACCTGCGTGGCTGGGTTGTTGGTGAAAAGAGTGACCGGCAAAGAGAGGAGCGGGCCCCGAAGAAGAATGGGCAAGCCGAACCACCAGGAGCTCGGGCGAAATCGGTCTGTCAGGAAGGTCGCAGCCCTCAGGAAGTAGAAGTTTTCTTCAGCACTCCAGCGAGGAAGGTGCCAGAGCACCCAAACGCAGACGGCCCAAAAGGCGATCAGGATGGAGCCGAGGCAGGTGCCCGCAAGGATCATCGCATCGTGCTGGCCCGTTTCGCACAGGATCGAGAGCATCAGCAAGTTGCTGCTCTTGCCGTTGGGGTGCTTGTAGCACATGAAGGGAACCAGAGACAGGTTGCAAGCGGCTGCGAAGCACGCGACCACGATCTGGCCCAAGTTCATGAGCAACTGCGCCGAGTCGAAGTGCGCTCTGAGTCTCAGCTTGTGAAGAAATCCAAAGAATGCCGCCCAAAGCAGGACTGAGGGGAGGAACAGTGCCTGGAGCATGAACTGCACCAAGGTGTCGCTGCCAGTGAGGCAACTGATCCCTAAGTCTGTGAGCTCGAGCGCGAAGACTTCGAGCAGCGCGAAGCCATCAAGCAGAAACTGCGGCCACTCCAGCGGCATCTGTCCAATGATTGCTAGGGTCTGCAACAAATTTCCCCCCAAATCAAGGGTGGAACTGAAAGCAAGGACCAGCATTTCCATTGTGACAGACTTCTCCCACCTCGCGCGGCCCCCCACCAGCTGTATCAGAGCCAAGCCGACAAAGAGGATGACAATTGCGAGCACCCACCCAACCGTCACCCAATCTTCGCACTCTATGCACTGCTCTCCATTCCAATGCTGGTATTGCCCGCACTCTGAACAGGCTACACCACGCCGGCCTCCGCCGCAGGTGCCGGGCCGGCCTCCAGGGCACGAAGCCGGGCCACCGCACTTGAAGGTGGCCATTGGCTCTTCTGCAGAGCTCATGAAACCCGGAAGAATGGCGGGCACGAAATCTTCTCCCAAGTCCGACTCACCAACCTGCAGGCCTGTCAAGCTCGACAGCACCGGGCAGTGCACACCATCCGGGCATGCTTCGCAAGTGGCCGCACCCTCCCGGCGCCCTGTCTCTATATGCCCCTGCGTGCAACCGCACTCGACCTCGAGCATGGACCCCAATCCGACAGTGGTGGTGCCAGTGCTGCACTTCTTGCAAGTCAATGACCCCCGCTGGTTCTGGTACTTCCCGATGCCGCATCGCTTGCAGGCTCTACTACCTGAGCTGTTCTGATACTCGCCCAGGGGGCAGGGCGTGCAAAGAGTCGCAGCGCCGGAGGGCTGGCTGCTTCCCGGAGCACAGGGCGTGCAAACGAAGGTTTGGCCGAGGGCGTCACGGATCTCCGCGGAGTAGCGACCGGACTCGCAGGCTTTGCACCGAAGGTTCCTGGGATCACTCCGATCGACCTGGAACTCGCCAGTGCTTGCGTCATAAAGCCCGAAGCCCGGCCAGCACTGGGTCTCGTCTGGGATCCAGGAAGCCCAGACACCCCGGTTGCCCAGAAGCCAGTTGCAGGCGGCCTCGAACCAAGGGTCACCGCTGTCACCCCGCGCAGCGATCTGAGCAAAGTCATCCAATGCGTCGTCGACATCCTGTGCCGAAACGTCTATTTTGTTGACCAGAAACTCCGCGGCCGGAACCAAGAAGCCCAAGTCATGTGACACCCATTTCATGTTGGAGAAGCCCTCCAACATGGATGTCACGTCTCCATTGCGCCATGCCACGGCATTGTGAGGAGGGAACTGTAGAAGCTCCCTTTGTATACCATCAAAGAGCCGCATATCGCTGCCACAAAACCACAAAACCCTGTGATGACGGGGGATTTCCCAGCCAGGACTGCCGAGCGCGCCGACTGTGGAGGCAATGGCGAGGGGCATGTTCCAAACGGCGCTCTTCTGCAGGATCTGCATTATGTCTTGGCCAGCCGGTGCGATTCCCCCAATTACCGGCACACAAGCGGAAGGTTCCATCCGACAGCTGGGGGCAAGGAACCAGTAGAAGTCCGGGCATTGCGCAGTCCCATTCGGGTGCAGGCCTTGCGCGTCTCCGCTGATTCGCACGTACCTTGCCATGAAGCCGGGATTGCCCAAGAAGGACGTTGCACATGGCTGTAAATGGTTGGTTGGGATGGCCGTGTAGTTGTCGAAGTACCTGCCTGGCTGGTTCCACGAGGCATTCCAGCTCTCATAGTATCGAAGTGGTAGGCCTTCGGCAGCTAGGGCATCATCGACGGCATCCTTGTGCATGCACAGGGTCGTAGATCGCCACATTCCCAGAGCTCCGAGCTGCTTGGGCACTTTTCCTGCCAGGGCAGTGTCTTGTTCATGGAGATCTCCATCGATGAGGCTCAATGTCAGATGCTTGCGGGTGGCATTGCCAAAGCAGCTTGCAGTCACATATGGCTCCTCGCAACCCGCTAAGGCATACATGGTCTGTCTTGCCCCCCATATCGTAAACGCATCTGTCCTGTAGCCAAGGACTTCTTCCAGCAAAATCCTAGCAAGGGCTGAAGTCAGCTCGCCGACCTTGAAGCCCTGCGAGAGCACTCCAAGGGGGTAGGATTCGCCATCCAGGTTCGTGACGTTTTGTCGGCTCTCTTCTGGGATTGCTTCGGGCAGGCAGGCGCCAAACCCGTGTGAGAGTGCAGCAGCCAAGAAAAGCCCAAGCGTATGCACTGCAACCATCTGTACCCGCCAGCACGTTGGCCAGGGCGCAAGGCTCGCAATGCTCAGCAAAGCCTCGAAAACGCTAGCGGCTGCGCTCTTCACTTGAGCCAGCCGATGCACCGCCGTTACCACTCCGTTACCACACATTGCAGCACTGAGAGAAGGCATCTGTGGGTTCTCGAGACCTTGATGCACACGCACACACTCACGGCGCCTCTCCCGTGCACCTCCGATCTCTCAGCACCTTGGAGGACAAAGGCGGACGGGGGCATCAGCGTTGAAATTCAATTGAAAGAAAAACACAACCAAGTCCTGGGCAGGTTCTCAATGATCACACTTCCTCCTGAAACTTCAGCAAGCTCAGCGTGCACCGGTCTTGCGAGCGCGCTTACAGCAAAGAAACCCAGCCCCTCGACCATGAGCATGAGATCGCACAAGGAAGGTTCAAGGAAACCCTAAACCCTAAACCCTAGGCCCTAAACCCCCTAAGGAAGGTTCAAGGGAGCATGGAGTACACCAAGGGAATCCTGCCAACTCGCAGCCGCGCCGCGATATCTTGCAGGACTTGCAGCCTCGAAGCGCGCGCGAGGCTTAGGTTCTTGCGCAGGAACTTGAATTCAGCTACCGCGACCTCATTGAAATATGCAGTATCTCAAGCAGTTTCATATTTTGTGGCGAATATCATTCAGATGTACTGTGCTCGTAGGACATGAGGAAGCTGACAGCCAGTTCTTTGCCGAGGGCTTGAGGCAAGCAAACACTGCCCAGATGCGAAGGCTGTGCCGTTGACACCATCTAAGGGGAGAAGCCGCTGAAATTGAAACAGGAGACCCATATAGAACTTCCCCAAAATAATGGTTTAGGGTTTAGGGTTTAGGGTTTAGGGTTTAAGGTTTAGGGTTTAGGGTTTAGGGTTTAAGGTTCAGGGTTCAGGGTTCAGGGTTTAGGGTGTCAAACTTAGCTTACTCGATGATCCCCACCCTACAGCTACCTGATGTGGGAGCCCTCTTGCCATTCTCAGACAGGCAATGCTGGCCACTTCGCCGCAAGCTTCTGTCGCGGTACTCCCCGCGGAATTTCGAGGATACTCGGCGGGGCTCTTGCTTCTATGAGTACTCCCAGGGGTGCTCGGCGGGACTTCCTGTGGACACTACAGGGATGCGGACTCCTTGTGGGGGTGGGCACTCCAGGGATACAGGGCGAGACTTGCTGCGGCTCTCCAAACTTTAAACTCAGCAACTGTGCCTGACACCTTCCCCTATCCTCAGCAAAGCTCCGGACATAGCCCCGGCCGCCCTCTTCCGGGTGGTTTTGAGATCATCGCCTTGCAGGACTGAGCAAGAATCACCATCGAATCGATCGCAAAACAACGCCCGACTTCCAGAAGCGCCCCACAAGGCCCGGAGTGCAGATGAAGCGAAGCTTCCACAACCTGAAAAGTTCAGAGGGGCTCCGACACCAAACATACCTCCTCGACCTGGATCCTCAGACCTAAAACCCCATGTACCCCAAACCCTAAACCCTAAACCCTAAAAGAAGCTAGTCGCACCCAGCTCCTTTGCAGGGTCGAACATGCCAGGGCCGTGCTTCTCTTAGGAGTCTCAGGCTGAAAGCCTTCCTATAACAAAGGGTTGGGGTATGGACGTAGGACATGGAGTCACAGAGTTCAAACTTCACAGGCCAAGGGCCCTGCGATGGGTTCGGGGGGCCTGGGGGGGTGCACAAGATTCGCAAGAGAGAGAGAGAGAGAGAGAGAGAGAGAGAGAGAGAGAGCGAGAGAGAGAGAGAGGGAGGCAAGAGACAAACCCTAAACCCTAAACCCTAAACCCTAAACCCTAAAGCTTGCACAAGGTGAGCACAGCCGGCGCCGAGCTTCAGCATGGCGCCAAGATGGGAAAGCAAAAGCCCCCGAACCCTAAACTCTAAGGGGGTTCCCCCCAATATAGATCCCCAAATAGTAGGATTCCCTCATAAAAAGGACCCCAATAAGGTACCCCTAATTTCGGAACCCCCCCCCAGAAACACGGAAGCAACTGCCAAAACCGGGCAGCACGATTTTCCACAGACCAGACGGGCGAGGAAAACGGGCGCGAAATCCAGCAGCTCAACTCGTTACAAAACCCTACGGTAGAGAAAAGACCAACCACTAGCTTAGCATCCAAGAGGTTGGTACTCACAAGAAGAGACCAAGCTCCCAGGTCGGTATTGCTTCAAGTTTAGGGCAGCTTGGACTTAGGGCATCTCCAGGAGGGGCGCGTCCGAGGGCATGGGCAAGCGCAGTTGGCACGCAGCCTTCATGCAGCCGCGAAGCTTGGTTGACAAGGCCGACAAGGCTGGTCCAAACATTCTGCTGTGCGGGGATAAGCACCTTGCACCTCTGCAGTGCTGTTGACACGGTCACGCTGGTCTCCGCATCGTGGACGCTCCGCACGCTAGCAGTTTGCCAAGCTGGGTTTTTTTCCAAGGATCCTTCAAATCCGAGTCCGGCACGAGGATGTGCTTCTAGCTCAGCACTTCGCTCACAAGTCGGGATCTGGCTCCCTCCGCCGCACACCTCCAGGTTAGTGTTTCAGCTGGGGAAGCTGTCCCTGAGGCAACTTGCAAGCAATGGCTGGCATAATCTTGCTAGGCCGAGGAGAGTGTGCGCAAGCATCCGGACAAAGAGCCAAAGAGCTAAGTCCTTGATCCTGAACGGTCGTGGCGGTCAGTGTTGCCTAAATGAGGCGGCACGTAGTAGAAAACAACGGACCTGTTGTCAGAATCAACATGCAATGCCAGAAATTCTGGGGCTCTTGGTTTTGACAGGCCGTGAGTCACATCGTTGCAAGTGCTACCTCCTGTGCACGCCTGCATGGGCGTCACTTCAGAAGCAAGGACCTTCATCCCGTCTTGCTCGTCAGGGACCGAGCACCCAGAAGGATTGTGCGAAGGCCCACCCTACTGACACATCGGCACATAGATCCCGACCGTCCCAGAGAACTGTTTGCCACGACCAAGACAGAGACATCACAGCCTGACGGTACCTGGACTCCACATAAAATCACCCCGCATTCACCTCGCTGCCTGCAAGAAAGAACATCGCATGGATCCTCCCTGGGATTGCCGTGCTTCAAGGCGACGTCGCTGCCGGTTCCCAGCGTCGATTGCGTTTGGGTTGTCGCCTAAGTTGAGGAGGAACGTGCCACTTCGTGCCCTGGGTAATTCCAAATCCGGTGCGCTCACGACTGGGCAGAAGAACGCTTCGCTGCGCAAACCTCGTGGAGCCGAGGATGCCCAAAGACATAGGTTGCTAACGTCCTCAGCGCGAGACCAGGGTTGATGCAGCGGCCTTGCGTGGCCACGCCACCTTGGGAGGCCTCCTGTGCGCTGTTCGCCAGCTTAGTGGGATGATGCTGTCGCGCCCTAAGACATGCGCCATAGCTGCACGTATGTTGTAGGATTGTAGGAGGCTCAATGGCGCTGGTCCCTGAGAGCATGATGTCATTTGTGGCAAACTGGAGCAAACTTGAAGATGACCTGGCAGCTGCATCCCACGCCTTTGGCAGATCTGGAAATCTAGGATTCTAACTTAGAGGGCGTCCTCCCTGCGCTCAGGATCGAAAGAATGCACAGGAGGGTGTCGCAGACTCTTGCCTGGCTTCCGACGCAGGAGTGCGATGGTCGATTACGCCGACCTTTCTAAGCACACCGAAGACGTCTCGAAGTTTTGTATGGCTTAAGGATGGCAGCTTTGGTTAAAGGAATGTGCAGACGCATGTTCGATGCATCCAAGCGCCACACAGCCTGATCCCAGCAATCTAGTGCGTGCTAGGCGAGGGCGGCGTAGCGAAGTCTGCACCCCGCAATCTGCGAAGATTTGATGCTGGCACTGACCAAGTACATTCATGTTCCGGTGCGCCAGCTGCAACTCTACCTAGACGTCCACGTTCACCCAAAACCTGGTGGCCTCAAGGCGTCCCGCTGCAACGATGTCATGCAACCGGCTGAACTCAACTTCGCCACGGGCTCAGCGCTCTTCATGGGTTAGTGGCCGACATCAAGCATATCTTGCCAGGGCGACGGCGCTGTACCTAGCCAACCCACATCGGAGAATCGGAGCCGTTCCCCAGCGCGACCCATGCGTGTAACCCAACACTCCTAAACCCCTATCGCCGGCCGGCCACTACCAGTCGGGCGTCTTCAGGTGAGCTTGGGGACTGGCAAAGGGGTTTCTTGATATCTTCGGAACCCTTGGCCAGGCCACCTCTGCAAACGCGAGGATTTTGCCACGCCCTTCCTTCCTCGAGCTGCGGCCCTGTCTGCCTGATCACCTTCACCCTGCGCCGGCAACAGAAGGAAGCAGCAGGGATGAGAGCAGGTCGCGAAAGGAAGCTCGATGCGCGTGCAGCATTAAAAACTGGAGTCTGGAACCTCGATCTCCAGAAGATGTGGTCAAGAGATGCGAAGAGGAACCCAAGAAGCGACACCTTGTTCCGAGGAACTCGGGTTTTGCGGGTTTCGGGGACTTTGGAACGTCTCTCTGGCCTACCGATGTCAAGTGGCATCGGTGAGGCTTTGGGCCATTGCCATGGCCCGAAACCCGAAGCCCTGACACCTGAAGCCATGACACACTAGCGACCCAGAAATAGCGCATGCCAACCGCTGCAGGGCTTCATTCGAGAATGCTTCCCTTGACTGCCACAGAAGCTTCTGCAGGTTCTGCAGGTCTCCCGAGTAGCGGGGACCACATGGCTTAAGCTTCCAGGTGAAGTCCAGGCCTTCTCGTGGGAGCAATCAGATGATCCGGCAGCTTGCAAAGGTTGGGACAAGGGATTCTGGGGACGACCAGACACACTCTGTCAGAGTGGCGGAGCCAAAAAAACTGTCCTTCTCGTTCCCTTTAGCCTCAAAGCCTCCCACAAAGCAGCGATCCAGACTTTCGGGCTGCTGCCAGCATGTCGGCGCAGACCGGGACATGTCCAGAAGCCTCAAATGAGCGAAGTTGTGCTGACAGGGAGTCTCAGGAAGTGCTGGCAAAAGCGCGAACACCATGCGCTCATTTGCTCTCCTCCGTCCTGGCTGCAACTTATAGGGTTCAAATCCGTCTTTCATTGTACCTCTCCCAAAGCATGCACATCTTTTTCATGGCATACAGAGAAATTAAACGTGGCTCATAATTACAAGGAAGCTAATCATCCCCACTATAGCCAAACACCACATACTCCCATCGTAGTCTGTGGTACCATCGGGGATTATGGCTTTCCCCAGTTGAAAACTGGACAAACTCTGACCTAAAGAGTGGATTTTGGGAAACCCTAAACCCTAAACCCTAACCCGAAACCCGAAACCCGAAACCCAAAACCCAAAGAAAACGCAATGCCTTGGCCCTAAACCCCACCGCTAGCAACACTTGCATGTGCCGACCCACCCCCCTCCCGCCGACCTCTTCCCGACAGAAACACCGACATGCCCAACCAGAACTAGCTGCGCTGCCCTTAATGGACGCTGTTTACAAAAAAACATATACATAGATATACAAAAGTAAAATTTGGTTCAACTAGAGAACACGAAAAACAATGAGTATCACAAGTATAGCATACTAAATTAACCTACACTTTACCGTTCACAAGAGCATTTCGCAATATTTCGAAACGGGGTCTGTCAGGCCTCTGTGTGATCGGATGCAAGCTTTGCCTTTGCTCCCAACTGAGTGGACACATCCGTGCATTTCGCAGTCCGATTTCCTCCATGCAGGCGCTAAGAACAGCATACCGGTATGCAAAATGATCCGGTAAGGTGGCGGCAACATACCGCAAGAAATCCGCCGAAGCATGTGGCAAGAATAGCAAGAGCGAATGACCAAAAACGCAGACTGGCAACAAATAAAAACAAACCCCTTCAGTGCTGATTCTGCGGCTGTAGCCCCTCACCAGTTCGCGAAGGCATGGCACTCGCCTGGCCCGCTTGGCTCAGAGGGTTGTTGGTTTTGGGTTTGGGGGTTTGGGGTTGGGGTTTAGGGTTTAGAGCGGCTTCAAAGTTGAACGTTCAGGGTTTCGGGCTTAAGGCGCAAAATTTGGTGAGTTTTTTGAACATCAGGGGCAAATGTTCTGACACATGTGAGACACACCTTGACTAAGCAGAGCTCCTAGGATTTTGCACATGACGAAATCGTCTGAACCTTCGAACAACGAGACTGCATCATCTGTGCACAGCAGCGGGGCTAGAAGTGGCTTTTTTGCAGCTTTGCTCTATGCCGGGTCACTGGCTCATCTTCCGCATCATCTGGCATATGGCAGTCTGGAAAGCAAGGTTGATCTCGCGGCAATTCTCTGTGATCTCACCTCCGTGCTCACGGTGCAGATTCTGGTATTGCTCTTCAACCTCCTGTAGGTCGACGTTGGAGCGCAACTGAAGGACCCTCAAAGCTTCCTCCAGAGCACGGTCGTCCTGCGTGCCCCAGATAGAGTGGGAAATTTCCCGCACGGCGATGCTACCAACACCCGCCGCCAGGAATCCGGAGAGGGCAACTCCCATTGGGCCTACAAACATGGCCTTAGCCACAAGCACTTCGGCCGCCGAGCAGCAACCCTTCGAGGACACTGCCGCTGCAATGGATTCCAGCATTTTCACAGTGTCAGTTTTCCCTGCCCCGCGCTTCTGTGCTGCTGAGCCAATTCGGAGCATCGTCATCCAAGCAGAAAGCGGGGCGTGCTCCAAACTGGGATGAACTTCGCCTAGCATGTGCGAGAATCTCTCAAAATACCGTTCAACGTGGTGTGACACTTCCACAAGGATCTCCTGCAACTTTTCGGCAGGCAAATATTCTTTCAGCACGTGAAGGACGTCTTCAAAGCTGTGACATATGTGACATTCCTCTCGCTGCAAGCTATGCTCAAAAATCTGCGTGGCAGCAATGACCTCGGGATTCTGCTCGGCTGCTGTGTAAACCTCATCCGCAAGTGGACCATTGTCCAAAGTACCCGTTTGTTCTGCAGCTTCCTGCAGCGCCTTAGACCAAGCCTTTTGAAAATTCTCGCGTGCTGCAGCCACCGGTATGGAGCATTCTTCAATCACAGAGCGGATAAAGGCATGACCGTGCGAGAGCGCAGGACCTACCGCATCAAAACCCATCAAGAGATCGAAGACGAGATCTTCTGCCATGTTGATGCCATCACGCTGACTCAATGCTGCCATTAGAGCGTCTGCAAAGCACTCCAGAAAATTCGGAGAGCATCCACGTGGAGAACTTCCTGAAACAATGAATGTCAACGCTGCTGGAGACTTTACATTGATAGGGTGCTTGCCTCTGTCGCCCCGAGGAACGAAATAGCCCAGACCTTTCAGCTCTTTCCCAAGGCTGAAGTCGTCGATTGCACGCACTTGCTCCTGAAAATCGGCGAAGGCCAGGGCCGTGACGTAGGTTTCACTATCGTGCCCCTCGAAAGCATTGTCAAACACCCTGCAGATGTCACGTAGCTCTTCTCGCCCTTCATGAAGAACAGCTTGAACTGCAAGCTCAGCAGCACGAATCACTTGTGGCAAATGCTCGCCCAATGCCTCACGCACCGTGTAAGGCAACCACACAGTTGGTGCATCGAGGCCAACGGGCTTCTTTCCAAAGAGGAAGCCGAAGTCAATGCGGAAGAGTTCACCTGATTCTGTCAGCATCAGATTGTCTCCATGCCCATCTCCAATGCCGAGCAAGTACGAACAAGCAAGGAAGCCAGCCGTGGTAGCAGCAAGCACTTCAAGTCGATGTGGCTTGCTCTCCAAGTCCAGGTATCGTCGGACTCGTGTTCCAACGCGTGTTCCTGCCCATAAGTCTCTCCTTTTCAGCCTCTCAAGCGTCATGCTATTCTCCACCACTTCAACCAAACTGCTGAACGGATCCACCAAAAACATGCGGTAGGTCTTGACCCTCACCATCTGGCCAAGAACTTGTATGTCACTCTCCGCCCAAACCTGGTTGAACCTTGACAAGATCTCCATGACACAAGCCTCTGAGCCAATATCTTCAGGCTTCAAGATAAGCCTTTTTGCTGGCTGCTGTACACGGTCAGAATTTCTGAGCTGAAACATCCATGGGCGGGTGATGGAATTCATTTGCTTCTCTACTTTGATTTCGTCGTACTCGCACAGGTTTGACCACAATCCCGTTGGCTCTTGCTGCCATGCTTCGGACAGCGTGTCCTCACTCAAGTAAACGCCCGCCGCCAGATTGTGCCATTCATGATCCTCATCAGCGATCTGGCGTACGGCACGAGGTAGCACATGAAGGTTCTTGGAACACCACCGTGTGGCGAGAGCCGCATAGCCAGTATAACATTTGTGCTCAGTATAGAGCTTGCAGAGCTCCATTCCATTCATGACAACCTCAAGACAAACCAAACAAAAGTGCAATGAGAACTCCTAGGCCAATGTGGAGATGTCGACAGGTCAACCAGTCAGACACAAAATCGGCAACCCCCCCCCGGCCAAACTTCGGAGATCGTTCGAGCCGCATCTCGCACCAACCGCAAACTCGGAAAACCTCATGACCACATCACGATCCATGACCAAACGATGCTCACTGACTCATGGCCTTGAGCTGGCATCCACAGGCACCACCGCCGGAAGCACCTGCAAAGAGGGCAGAGCCGTTGGACGGGCCAAAAAAACACGTGTCGGCTGACCCGCTGGCATGATGGTTTCCATCACCCTATAACCTTGCTAGTGACAGGTACTCACCAACGTGGTGAAGACTTCGGCGTTTTGTGCACTCTTTGCGAGAGGACGGGCGTTTCTGACTATAAAGTTCAGAGAGCTGTTGTCTGCCTCACAAACAGCTTTTCCATTTTGCTCTGTTGTATGAGCTCACATGTGCTTCCACCGTGCAAAGAAAAAACAAACCGACATCGCCTGTCAAGTTGAGTTCATCATGCTGCAGCATCTCAGCACCCTACCGGCCTTACCCCTTACAGACGCAGTCGAACTGTCAACTCGTTGCAAAAGGTGAACACAATGCACCTTTCCACAGACACTGTGAGCTTCGAGTACGCCGAGGTCAAGCTGTTCAGCTACTTCTATTTTTTGCGCGGATGCCTCTTTACGGCGTCGGCTGCCCAGTGGGCGAGTCTGCAAAAGAGGTGAGACGGCTTTGCACCATGGCCGACGAAACAAGCAGCGCAACAAGAGAACCAACCAGCACACACCAGCAAAGGCACAAAACAAAACACCGTCAATCACGAGTATTCACAAAGCACGTGCCATAGTCCCCAAAACCAATTGACGTTAAGTGTACATTGCACCGAGTATCATCTTTCTGGCCATCAGTTTTCCTGGCAAATGCATTCTCAACAAATCGATCACTTAAACAGAGTGACTTACTCATTCAAAGTGTGAAAAGCGGCTCACAATCTTGCAATGGTTTTACGGCCTGTAAAGTGGAGCCGTGTGGAAGCATTTTATTGTTAGTGCAGCTGCTCTCATGCGAGTTGGCTTTGCTGCCAATTTGAAACAAGCGTTTTTGAAAGCCTCTGATCGTGCCGTTCGGACAGAAATCAACTGCAGGACGAGACGAGTTCAACTGTCGTGTTCATACGTCAATGTTGCGTGCAAGCCCAAACCAAACGATTGAAAACGCAAAGTGTTTTTCCAAAATGTCGGGGGTGGTTCCCTGGACCCCCTTGGGGGGGGGGGGGGCTTCAAGCTTCAAGGGCTTGAGGGGGAGGGACGGGGGAGGGGGGGATGAAGACCAAAAACAAGAAACGAGGAGAAGCGGAATTTAGACTAATTCTCCACTCTCATTTTTTACTTCTCTACTTTCGAATTATGACTTCAAAACAAAAAAATAAACGATGGGGTGGAATTAGACCATTCTCCACTCTCTGAAATTATTCTTAATTGCTGAGAGGGGTCGAATTACAATTGGTTCTCTACTCATTCTTTTCTTCTACTTTTTCAAATCTCCAGCAACAAAAAAAACAAGGTGGAATTCAAATACTGTGCCAGTTGCAAGTGTTACTTGTGTCAAGCAACTTACAGGGCCGCGTGGCACAGAGTGGCTGCACTTCTCCGATGAACCGGCATCAAGATCACCAGGTCTGAGCAAGGATGAAACGCTGGCAGGGTGTGATGCCCAGCAACACTGACGAATTCTTGAGCATTGCACTGAAGGTTCAGTCCCATCCGGACTGTGGGTCGGAAAATGGGGCCCAAAAAATGGGGCTCCCTTCTTGCAAAAATCCGGACCTAACAAAGCCCCTTTTTTTTGGCTTTGCTTTTTGTTCCCTTCTCCAATTTGCTCTTGCGTGGCTCTGCCTTGAGCTCAAATTACAGGGCCTGTTTTTGGTGACGCTTTTTCCATTACGTATTTTGAAGTCCATGTCGAGGTGCATTTTCGGCCCCTTCAAAAATCTTACAAGAACCAATTTCAACCGAATTTATCAAACGTCAGAAAGTCACAACCACTTGCACATGAGCAGTCACTCTATCATCAGCAAGTCAAGAAAATTGCTGTTTCCAGCAAATGGAAGCTGCTTCCAAGTGACCATGCCTTGATCATACAAAAATGGCTCTCTTTTGTTGGTCGTCCAGCAATTTCTGCACTGGGAAGGCCCTTTCAAGCGACCAGTTCAAACAATTTTTGGAGCTCCCCCAAAAACACCAGCCAAACTTCTAATGGCAGTAAAGGTGCTGGAAGCACCTTGCTTCCTTCGCCTTTCTCGCTGTAAAAACTTGACACTGCGACCCACACACACACACGCACGCACACACACACACACACACACTCACTCCGAATTTCAAACACTTGCTATGGAGGTCACACCAGCTTCTCTACTTTTGTTTGATTTTGCTGCCTCTTTCCAAAAGCACACACAGACACACGCTTTTCTTGAGGCACCCCAGAACAAGCTGTTTGTGCAAAGTTCCAGAAGAAGGAACATATCGTCAAAGAAATGATCAAAGCAGAACGAGAAGAAGCACTGGGTAAAGTGCGTGTGCTTTGCAAGACCGTGCAGTGCAGAGTCAGCAAAACCAATTCTGGCTTGATCTGCACAAGAGAAGTTACTGGGGAGGAGCCAGTTTGGCCGCAATGGTTTTATGGCCTGCAACGTGGAGCCGTAAAGCACGTTTTTTTGTCAGCAGCTGCTCTCATTCAGGCGAGCTTTTTGCCAACTTGAAACAAGCGCCTTTTGAAAGTCTCTAACAGTGCCGTTTGAACACTGTTCAGAGACGTGAATGTTGCGCAAGCCGAACCTTGAGACATGTTTTGGTTCAAAAATTTTGTTTTCTCTCAGTGGTGTTGAAACACGCCGTAAAAGACCAAGGTCACGAATGATACGCACTTGTAGAAGCATCAAAGAAAGCCCTTGGGGTAAGATGCAAGATGGACGGGCTCAGGAAGCTCAGGCACATAAAGTTGAGTTCCGTTCCTGCTTCTTGCAGTCCGAAGTGGATGGGCAACATCTTGGTGGTCTCGATCAAAGGTTTGAGAAGGAAGCGACTGCCTTTGCCTTTGTTGTGCAACAGGACAGACCAAGCCTGGTCTTCCCTACCGGGCCTACAATGGAGCACCTTCTGATTAGGCCGCTACGCAGCAGGGCTGGACGATGGATGGAAACTTGCAGGTCAGCGTGCCAGATCGGCCGGAGGACCGCACACGTATTGGCCAAAGCTACAAGCTCACTTACCTGCTGGCCGATGTCGCTCTGACTTTCGGGCGTGCAATCCGAAAGAATGCTCGAATTGGCTTCGTTTCCCAGTATGAAAAGGTTGTCACGCAAATCAAGGCACATCTCAATCTTTTACACCCTGAGGAGGACATTGCTGGAAGCCTGTAGAGAAGCCAAGGACTGCCCTTCTGGTGATCCATGCCGGCGGGACGTGCTCGAACTCCGGCTTTTGCTAAGCGAGTTGGTGCCCTGGCGCTTCTTCGAGGCCATCACCAAAGAAATGCGCCACCGGACTTGGGGTCCTCATTTTCGAAGTCTCCGGCTTCCTCTTCCAGCGCACACTTGCGGCCTTGGACCCGTGGTCCCAATGTCGCCGCCTCCAGGCGCCTGCTTTGTGTCTGCAAGATGCAAGACACAAAGAACGCTGAAACTACAATCGTCTCTGGCGACAAACTCCAGCTGGAGCAGGTGCACATGAGAGGCGAACTCAAGGATGGGTTTACACACTGTGGAGGTGTCTAGATCGAGGCTTGTGAGGCTGCACAAACTGGCTCGAGGAACATGTTTGCATGAAACATGACAGTCTGCTCGAGCACATCTTTTGACATTGTCTTGCTGCCATCTTGACTGTTGACCGTCGGGTTTCCATTGTGCCAGAACTGAGGTCTTTTCCGGAGAACCTGCTGGCTGCCTGCCGCAGCTCGCAAACATGTGCTCTGCACTGGTGCTGGCTCAGTGCTATCGAAGCCATGATTTGGTGACGGGAAACCACTTCCCCCACCACACATGCTCCGTCACACGCCACCATCGCCACTCTTCCTTGTTTCTGGGGCTCCGTGAGCGGGGCGGTTGCTGCTCACGGGCCCCGTTCCAGAGTCCTCCACGATCTGCTGCTCGAACATATCCAAAGGTCTGCCTTTGCTGACTGAGGGTCTGCACTGCAAAAACTTCGCTTCTGTCCTCGATCCCACTGAAAGTTGATGAAGACGTCGCATCGCCTCATATCCTGCAGAAACACCGAGTTCCTTTTCAATCTGCTTCAAAATGTCAAGCCCCCAACAGTCGTAGCACTCGCCATGGCCCTCTCCAGGTGTCCTGCGACAATGACACCCATGACACGAGAGTTCAAAGAATTCGATCCAAGCCTCTGTCCGTGAAAAACCGAAGGTCCCTCTGGTACCTTTTCCCTTGAAAGCACGAACCCAAACCTATCTCAACCAAGTGCGGACACGTCTTTTTCACTCGCAGGCCTTGAGCCAAAAGTCACGAAGTGCGCAAACTAAACGAATTCACATGTGACCTTAAACTCAGCTTCAGAACAAAGTTCCTACACACTGCACACTCACTCAAAGTAGCGTATTGGGCAAAAACATACTCGTATGATTTCCTAGGGAAATCATCGAGGCTCGAACCATCGAGGATGGGATCATAAAGATTCCCAATCACTCCGAAGCAAAACAACTCTATACAAGCTGATCCAAAACATGGCAAAACCATCAATGATCAGCCACGATCTTCCACCCCCCGCATTTTGCTGAGGGTTCATGCCAAAGATCCAAAGTCCAAGCACAGCTCGGCACTTCAACACTAAGGGGATGCCCTGGCCACATTTCCCTTGGTGTGTACTCGCCACCAAAGGGAAACAAGCGACACACCAGCCGATCTTTGACATAACACTTAAACTCACGCAAGATCCCACCATAA